TGGTGTCGCGATCTTGGTAGACCCTTACGGGGAGTTCAAGGACGTGACACCATGCCTAGAGGATCAGTGGAGCCAGCATTTCATGGCGGTCAGAGGACACCTAAATGGTCGCCCGCTGGTCGTCATCAACGTGTACGCGCCTCACCAGATCCCCCAACGCGAGCGATTCTTCCGTCGTTTAGTAACCATAGAACTTCCGAGTGACGCGCTTGTTGCAGTGGGTGGCGATTTCAACTGTACGCTGGACGAGGAGGCTGACCGAAGCTACACTACGCGTGCGGGGGCGCATGATTCTATTGCTCTCAGAAATCTGCTCGTGACATGGGGCGTCATCGATCCGGTAGCAGCTGTCAGACCCAAGCAATGGCGGCCGGATCAACTTCGCCGCCACCATACCGAGACGCACACCTATCACTATCCGGTGGCTGGTCATGGGGACGCTTCATCCCGTCTTGACCGCTGGTACGTCAACAGACTGCTACGTGCATGGGTCGTCGGCTGGGAAGTCGTCGCCCCTGCGGTCTCAGCCGATCACCACGCTGCCAAGTTGCATTTACAGCAGCCGGACGACCCAGTCCGGGTACGCAAGGCGGCAACCGTACACCCCCCCTCCTCGTTTTGCTGAAGACTTAGTCAAACAACATACGCAGGGACTGCTCCAACAGTTCCTGGAGCGCGTGTCGGCTGACGGAGTCGAGGCTGGGGAGATGGCCAAGTGGTGGGACGAACTCAAGCTCCGAATCGTAACGGACACTCTTAAGATAACCCGCCAACGGAGGCGTACCAGGCGCAACACTTACCGCCAAAAGCTCCGCCGACTTCGTAACCAGCAAGCCCGCATCCGTGAGTGTGATGATGGCCAACCAGTAACGATGGAGACCGTTACAGATGCACTAGACGCGCTGACGCTCGAGGATATCCACGGCTCGACCCCGGCGGCCCGGCTCCGAAGTGACATTGCTGACTGCCAGCGAGCGAGGGCATCCTTACATCAGCGCCGCCACTTTGCTGCAGCAACTCATTGGGAAGGGAAAACTACTCGGGACTTCTTCAGACGCATCTCCAGCAAGTTCACGGACAATACCATACACTGCCTCGACCCAACCCCCGGTTCGCCGGTACGAGGGGTGCACGATAAGGCGGACATCCTTGCTGATGCCTGGACCCCCATACTGCAGCAACACGTGACGAACGCGGCATCGCAAGATGCAGTCGCCGGATGGATTGAGGACGTCGCGGAACCGACGAATGAACAAGTTGCTGTAGTGAAGGAGATATCGACAGCGGAGATCGAGGCGGCAATCGCGGCCTGCAAAGAGGGGAAGGCGTCTGGCCCTGATCGTCTCTGCAATAGCTGGTACCGTTCCTACGCTGATCAACTGGTACCGATCCTGTCAGTGATGCTCAACAAGTGGTACGTGGCAGGTGTTCCCTGAGTCCTTTCTGGAGGCGGATATATTCTGCCTCAAGAAGTCAGGGGATCTGCATAATCCTTTAAACTACCGGCCGATCGCGCTCCTGAATACGGACTACAAGATATTTTCCAGGATCCTAGCGACAAGAGTGCGAGAGACGTTGGACGACCGAGTGCATCCTCACCAGAATGGCTTCGTCCCGGGGCGGACGATCCACGAGACCTTACACATCTTTGAAGCCTCTCAGCAGACTGTGTCTGTAGATTCTGCTCAAGACGGAGCGCTGGTCATGCTGCTAGATTTCATGAAGGCCTACGACTCGTTATCCAGAGACTTCCTCTTGAAGGCACTCCAGCGCCACGGGTACCCGGAGCAGTTCATCCAGGCGGTTGGGGCTCTGCATGCTGGTACGACTGCTACGTTTTTGGCTAATGGTTTTAAGTCTCACAGAGTCGAGGTGACGAGCGGCATCAGGCAAGGGTGCCCCCTTGCACCGTTACTGTTCATTTTGGCGCTCGAGGCCTTGTACCAGGAGCTCGATAGGCGTCCCGAGTTACAAGGGGTCAAGCTCACGTCGGAAGGTGGCGAGGTGGAGATCAAAGTGGCCGGCTATGTTGACGACACGGCTGTCTACCTTTCATCTGTATCTCAAGTGGCGGCGCTCTTGAGGGTCACCACAGAATTTGGGGCAGCATCTGGGCTTCTCCTTAACCACAAGAAAACGATGGTGATTGCACTACGGCCGGACGGTCCCGCAGGGGACGCCTGCCTGCCACCTCCCCTGCGGTTCCAGGAGCCTGCGCACCAAGGACGCTATCTCGGTATCTTTGTTGAAAGCACGAGGGACCCCGAGAGGACATGGAGCATGGCAGAGCGACAATTAACCACCAGATTGTATATGGCCAGTCAGAAAACAACAACCGTCGACCAACGCAGCTTGATCGCTTCAGCGGTCATTATTCCCAAGCTGCTATACATCGGCCAGCATGCCTGGCCTACAACTGGCACGGTTAATCGGCTGACGACAAAGATCAAGAATGACGTGTGGCACGGCGTTTTTACCTCAGAAGTACAAGGGGCGAAGGCTTGGTTGGATGCGGATCTCGCAGCCTTGCCCCGGACCCAAGGGGGTCTGGCTGTGCCCGATCTGCGTGTGGAACTGATGGCGATGGCTGCAGTCACAGTCTCAAAGTGGACGGTCCTCGGATCTAATGTCGATCATATCGTCGGCGACATCTTAGTGTGTAAGGAGCTGATACCTGGTGCCCGTGCTCCGGCCACCTTCGTGACCCCAAATGCAAGAGTCCCACTGGTAGGCGGCATCCGCCGTCGTTCATCTATGTGGTCAACTGGGAAGGCCATCGTTTCCACGGCAGGTGGCGCTGCTGACCTTCCCGCTCGGGCACCGATGGTTTCAGCCTTGTACCAGTTGACCCGACATTTCGGATGTGTCGATCTTCAATGGAACGGCGCAAGGCTAGTCGCCGACGGGGCAGCTTTACGGTCGACTACCTGCCGTCTTTCCTCTTGGCTGAAGCTGCCGTCCATGGCCAACAGTGTCTGGAGTGGCTTCCCTACGCTTCAGTGGTGGATCTTCAGCTGATCGATGGCCGAACAGGCGCTATCGCCAACCGGACATGCTTTCGAAGCTTGCTTACGTACGGTGACCGGCTCCGTGATATCATTCACTGGAGATGTCATGGAGCTGGACTTATCACATTCACCCTGCTATTCCCCCGCAGAAGACGTACATCGGCAATTCGCAAGAGGGTGGAGGCCCTCGTTCTACTATTGGTCACGAATTACCCCCGCCTATTTTATCGAGGTGGCTTCGGCTCGGAGCTACGGATTGAAGCAGCACCAGCGGACCACCCGGTGCTCGGGAGCATGACTTCCAGTTCGCCACCATCTGTACAGCTGACGTCAGGATCGAGGGCTCTCTCACGGGACCACGTTATCAGCAGTCATCCTCGACTGTCTAAGTTCGTGTCCGCGACGGTCGGGCCCGAAATTCGAGTTCAGTATGTACATCCGCACCCGCGTGTCAGTCGTCTGGTCTGCTTATGGGTGGGTAATCGGCGATGGATCAAACCGCGTCGACATTTTCGAACTATTATTGCTGCTGCATCGCGGAGGCGAGGCTTCGCCAGTCGAGCGCGGCGCCAACAACACTGGGAGCGGCAAAGTCCTTCGGCTGCGACAGGTCTCTCTCACCTTGAATGGTCACGGATCCGGCGCATTGTCGGTCTTAACCCGTGGGGGGAGCAGCTCCTGTTTCGGCTCAAACACCAGGCGCTATCGCCATACGATCGCAGTCGTCAACAAGTTGGATGTCCTCATGCGGTGTGCGTTCGGCAGGACCGAGTGGATCTCTACCATGTATTCTGGAGTTGTCCAGCAGCGGTTCGGATGCGCACGCGTTTCCTACAGTTGGCTGGCATTGGGATTGCCTACGTCGGGCCTGGAGGAGGCTGTCTTTGGCCTCACGCTGCCAATGATCCCTGCGGGGTATGGACAATTGCGCAGCAGCTCTTCCCGACCGTAGCCGGCCTCGCGCTGGACAATCTCACTGTCGCACTCACGCGGGTGATGGAGAGCTGCTGGAGAATCGGAGCGGCCCTCTATTTTCACGCAGTGTGGAGGTGGCGAGTTGCTTTTTTCGACCCGCTCAATAATGTATCATCTGGATATCTTCAACACTCGACTGCGGCACGGATATGCCACTGTGCACCTCCACATTGCCCGAGGTCCACACGCTCCTATGCTTGACTGAGCGGCACAAGTGGCGCGCAAAGCGCTTCATTCGATTCCGGCCGTGCCAACCCCAGCACCCGTTGTTGGACGTTCGAAGTATCTCCTCTTTTTTGATGGCGGCTCCCGTGGTAATCCCGGGCCTGGAGGGAGTGGAGCGGCAGTGGTTCGGGTCGGCGAAGGGTGGGGTGTTTTCGAAATCTGCTGGGTTATCAGCATGTCATACGCGGCACCTTCCACAACGAACAACATTGCAGAGAACATGGGGCTGCTTATGGGGTTAAAGGCCTGTCATCGCCACAATTGGAGACCACTCCACGTGGTTGGGGATAGCAAAATTATCATCCATCAACAGCAGAAGCGGCGACCACCAAAGGCTAAACACCTCACTCAGCTATACTGGCAAAGTCGGCGGGTTGCGGATCAACTCTCGGTGATCAGCTGGCAGCATCACATACGCGATTTCAACAAGATGGCCGATGCGCTCGCCAACCTGGCGATGAATACACGGCGTAGCATGCAATGTAAACCCACTCGAGTCATCGGCTCCGACTCGATCTGGGAAGATCTTCATGCCTACGCAGCCAGTGACGTGGGGCACTGGCTGGAGCACATCAGCGATGAGAACGCTTCGGGATTCGGGGCCTTCACACCTTAACGGTTGGGGGCAGCCCTGAGTGTGTAGCCACTAGGGGTAATAAAGCAGGGAGATCGGTTAGAGACGACCTCCGTCAAGGTCATCGATGTCGTTAGCCACGAAGTTAAGTGACAACAATGTACCTCAATGCCAAAACAAAACACAACAATCACTTGGTCTTGACCAGTGCGCAGGCGATGCTGGTCGACTCGTACACCGTGCGTCCAGCGGATATGTACATCCACCTCGCGGCCGACGAAACCGTGCGTCACGTGACTCTGAGCTCTTTGAAAGAGCCAAAACTACGGTACGCGAGGCGGTTTATCACACAGAGAAGTCACGGGCTTCATCCCAGTGCCGAGTACTTCAAGGAGGAGCGATTCGAGACACCGGAGGGCGACTACTGCAACGTCCGCTTCGATCGGACCGCTCTGTGTGGCGTCACTGGAGGAGTGCGCACCGTGTTCGACGCCGTAAAACACGCTGTTTTCGACGCCGAGATCGTTCTGTCCGAGGCCTCGGGCAACATTACCATCCGCGAAGACGACTTCATGGACGACCTGGACAACTTCTCCCAGATGAGACTCGTCGCGCAGACGGCATGCGGGGTCCCTGTCGAGAACAACCTCGTCCACTTCTCCGAGCTGGTGGACGACAGCTGCGCGCTGGCTATGGCCGACTTCGTCGACGAGGACGAACGCTTCCCCTATCGCCCAATGGAGCGCATTCGCCGGGATGCCACGGCCATCGCATTGATCACGTCGCACAAGGAACCAGCCGAGTCAGCCGAGCCCGTCGTCGTCTTGACGCGCTGGACGTTCACTCGCATCCACGCCACCGAGCTCAACGTCCCCACTCAAACGCTCCGAGCCATGCGGGATGTGTCCATCTCAGACGTCATCCGCAACTGCGTCAAGGAGACACTGGAGGTCAATCTCCCCCAATAGTCATACGCACTTCAACTTCTCTCTCATTGGTTAATACATGACTCCAATTCCAGCCAATGCCATCTCGCCAGCCGCTAAAAAGCTGGTCCCGTCAGAACGCAATCGGCCATCATGGCATCCGTTGGCGCGCACTTCCCTCCTCCGGCCTCGTCGCGCCGCTTCCCGGGCTCCTTCCAGCGCCAAGACAGCGCCGAAGACGACGGCGAAGCGTACGGCGCTGACCGCCACGCCGCTGCGGCTCTGCGGGGCTTCTCCGTTCGCGCAAGAGACGAGAAACAAGAAAGCGTCAAGTCGGAGCCCTTAATTGAGACTTCCGACGCTGAAACCCCGCCCCCGCAGGCTAAAAGGAAGCGAATTTACAAGAAGCGGAAGGCCACGCACACGATCCGCAAGGAGGAGAAGATCGCGCTGGAAAATGAGATCGCAGAGCTCCAAAAGGAGCTGGAGATGCTCAAATTCAGGATCATGGTGGAGAGCGGCGAGGCCCCGCAATCCGACAGGAAACGCGTCGCCAAGACTGCCGTACTGAGAGAGGCAGTGCAGGAGCAGCACTTGGTGCTCGCCAGAGCGCAGGCCATGCTGGCGGGCCACTCGCAGCAGAGTGTGTTCCGACTGTACCCGACGGAGACCAAGATACGGCTTGGAAGAGACCGGTACGAGAGGATGAGGACGCTGAGTGCCCTGAGAGGCCCCAAGCTGCAGGAAGCGAGGCGGTTTTTGATGGAGCGCAGGCGCGGGCTCAGCCCCACGGCCCCGTACTTCCAGGAGGAGAGGTACGACACGCCCGGCGGAGATTACTGCATCGCGAGGTTCGACGTGACCCCGTTTCGAGGAGCTAAAGGCGGCGTGCAGGAAGTGTTTGCGGCGCTGCAACAAGCAGTGTTTAATGCGGAGATCATCATCTCCGAGTCGTCGGGACATATTACTATTCGGGAGGATGACGAGCTCGGAGACGAGAATTTATCGCACATGCGCTTTGTGTCGCAGTCTCCCCATGGCGTTCCACTGGAGACGAACCTCGTGCTGTTCTCGGACTGCAGCCAGTGTGAAGCCAAGGATACGGACATGGCGGAGAATGGGCGCTATGCCATCATGGCCTCGGACTTCGTGGATGAAGACGAGAGATTTCCCTACAGACCATTGGAACGAGTAAGGCGAGACTCAACCACCATGACCATGGTGACCTCCTATCGAGACACTGACAGCGTTGAAGGTGAACTCGTTGTAGTTGTCACGCGGTGGGCGCTGAACATTGTTCGACGTCCTGCGATGGCTACACCAGATAAAGTGTGGGATGATCTGCGCAATTCTCACGTGCGGTGGGCGGATTTGATGTTCAACTGCGTACGCCAAGCACTCGGACTGCCGGTAGTACAGTAAACACGCAAATATATGAGCCCTTGCTTCAGTCTTTTAAGTGCAGAGTTCAGTCCAACAAACGAACACCAAATACGCGCAGACAACCTACACTAGTAACCATCAGAAGGGTCTGGAAGAGTTTCCATTTTCTCTAAAAGGGAACGCCCCACAGCTCACGTATGTAAGCTTACTAAGGATCACACACTTCGCGCAATGTGGAAACCAACCGCTGGGAACGACACATGTCCATGGCAGTGACTAACAGCGTCTCTGGGCCAACCGCTGTAGGGCGGGGGTTCCGGAAATTGAATAGGAGCCGTATTGTTGTCGAAGCGTGCTAGTTCCTCGACGTTAGCTCCTTGTCTACACGCGGCGGAAACGTATCGTCGCTCTTCGACGTCCGTGTTTCCACGAGCCCGCAGAAACCCCTTGGCTACTGTGAACTGCAACAGACACTGCTGTATTCACCTCAAGTGGCAGACACCTACAAGCCGCCAAGGCTGTCTGAGAGCACCCGCCAAGACGACTGCTTGTTAAGTATCGATTGGCCACCAAGTACGAAGGACTATGAACTGTACGATGAACCAAGACCCAACACAGCGGAGGAAGTCAAGATCGTGCTCAAGCTTGTCGGCCCGGTGGTGCGTAATTAACCACTCAATTCTGGCAGTGGGAACTGCATGATGCAGTCTCTAACCTGTGCTGGTGTCTGCGTGTAGATGATAACAACACTGCTAGAATTTCTACCGGGTTTTGTGGCCGTCGCTCTCGCTGGCAATATTGACTCCCCATACGCTCAACACTACATTGATGCTGCCACTTGCTCCATCATGGTAACGTAGTCGAATCCACCATTGCAGCGTCTATTACCGTTCCTCTAACTCTCCCCTGTAGCTGATTAATCTCTCCTGCTTTTCAGTCGGATTCGGACTGGCAGCAGCACTCGACACGCTTTGCTCACAAGCGTACGGGGCCAAGCGGTTCGAGAAGATCGGAGTGTATTTCCAGACTGGAGTTGTCGTCCTCGGCGCGATTCTGCTACCCGTATTCATCATCAATTGGTTCACGGACGAAATCCTGCTGCTGTTGGGCCAGGACGCAGAGGTTGCCCGCTTGTCCGGGAGGTTCTCCCGATACATGCTGCCAGGGATCCCATTTCTCTATCTGTACGAGCTCACGCGGAAGGTGCTTCAAGCTCAGAACATCGTGACGCCGCTTGTCATCATCGCAGCGATCGGGAACACTGTCAACATTGCCGCAGGCTATATTCTAGCCTACCACACATCCATCGGCTTCCACGGCATCACAATAGGCTGCAGTTTGGGCAATGCGGTACTTCCGTTGCTGCTAGCACCGTACTTCATGTGGCGGCCTCACCATTTACGACAGTGGTGGTGCCAACCCTGGAACTTCAAGGCTGCGACTCGCTACGTGGGCGTGTTCTTGCGACTTGGAGTGCCAGCGATGCTGATGCTTGTGATGGAAATGTGGGCGTTCGAGGCGCTGACGATCCTCTCGGGGCTGTTGCCTCATCACGAGGTGGCCGTCGCAGCTCACTCGGTGCTCGTGAACGTGAACCTGCTGGTGTATACAGTGTTCGACGGCCTCTCGGTCGCTGCAAACATTCGGGTGGGCAATTGTCTCGGCGCTGGATTGGCGAAGACGGCGAAGCTGGCGTGTGTCGTTGTGCTGCTGATGACACTCGTCCTAGCACTGACCTTTACCGCGGTGCTCTTTGGATTTAGCGGTCAGATCCCTCGGCTGTTCCTCAACGCAGGGGACGGTGCTGATCTCGCGTCCAAGGTGCTGGCAATATGGTCTCCCCTGACGATCGTAGACGGCCTCAACGCTGTAACTCAAGGCGTTCTTCGAGGCGCAGGCAAGCAGAAGGCTGCTGCTATCACCAACGGCCTGGCATATTACGTATTTGGCGTCCCTCTTGGGGCGCTGTTGGCCTTCCAGTATGACCTCGGCGTCGAGGGTCTCTGGCTTGGCATGGGATTTGGTAGTGCCGTGAATTTTGGCGCCATGGCCGCGCTCATGCTGTGCTATTGGAGCTGGGAGAAGCTTGCGAGCGAAGCAAAAGATCTTACAGACTTGTAGGTAGTTCATCTCCTATATGACCGTCGCACTAGCAAAAAAAAATTCTTGCTGCGTAGACTGCATACAGAACTTTAAAATTAGTTTCTTTCCAGACCAAAGCTGAACGTAACTTTCAGGACCAGTCAAAATAGGATTTCAGTTCGGGAAATGGTCCCAACAGCGAGAAACAGAAAGACTGAAGTTGCCTCAGCATTTAAACTGCGACTCTATCGCATTACAAATGCTCATCTTGCACTCAACGTCGCAGCTCGTAGCTGCACGCGATAGGTTGCACGTGAGTTTCGGTCTCGCTGAAGGCGACAAAGGTTGCGGCCGTCAGTGTTTAACGCCCGCAATAGCACATTGTGAACCCATGGCGCATTCGCTAGATCGAAAAGTAGCGACATCAAACTTTGGTGCCGTTAATTACTGCCTGAGATCTGGTGAGAAGCTTGCTGTACTGCAGTTAAAACGTAGTTGAGATAGCGCTCAGTGTCCGACGTGTACATGCTTCAAACTATTCACTGCTCCCGTGAAAGTGTAGGATGAGTTGCCCCTTATCCGCCACGTTCAGCTCGGACTGGATAAAGCGCATCGATTTCATGCTGCTATCCATTCACTTGAAATGTACGCACACGCTCTGAATCCGTAGTGAGCGAGAAAGCGGTCAGCAATCCCAGCCAGCGGGTGGCATCCCGACGGTGCCGGGGTATAGGATCTTCCAGGCGTTTCCCTTGGACAAGTACGGTATCTAAAACCAACGCGCATGTTACACATGCTCGCATTGAGATGTGGTATGTCCGTCCTGATGGTTGGCTGGTTGTCGAGTGCTTGTCGAGCTCCTTGCCCCACACTGTGGATTTCTCCGGGAAGGTGATAGTGTACCGATACCTATGATCCAGGTGCTGGTAGACCGAGGCGAAGGCAATGACAGAGAGCCCTTCGTTACGATTACGTCTCCTTCGTGTCATCGCGAGCGCTACCGGTCGGAAGAACTGAAGCTCCAGACGACCGAGGAGGTCAAAACTCTGCTCAAGCTCGTGGGACCCGTGGTGCGTGTATACTGCTCATCTACCCACACAATTCTTGCATTTATTGTACTTACACCTCCGTTTGTGGATGGTGACGACCTTTTTCTTGTTTTTACCGGGGTTCATATCGATCGTTCTCGCGGGTAACATGGACTCGCCTGACGCACCCGAATACGTCAATGCTGCCACCTTCTCGATAATGGTATGATATTGTATTTTACTCACACATGCAGGAGACCAGGTCGTATCCTAATGCCGACTTTGGACTTGTGACTCTACTTTGAACGTAGCTGCTGACGCGCATGTCGACTGCGGTTGGGCTGGGACTCGCATCCGCGCTCGATACGCTCTGCTCTCAAGCCTACGGAGCGCAGCGCCTGGATAAAATCGGAGAGTACTCCAGACTGGAGTCCTCGTGCTCACCGCCAATCTCTTGCTGGTCTTCACCACGAGTTGGTACGCTGAAGAAATTCTCACGTTGCTGGGCCAAGACGCTGAAGTTGCGCGCTTGTCGGCCAGTTTTTCGCGCTGGATGCTGCCTGGGATTCCGTTCCTCTACGCCTATGAGCTGACGCGAAAGGCGCTACAAGCACAAAATATTTTGACGCCCCTCGTCATCATCGCGGTGGTAGGCAACGCTGTCAACATCGGATCTGGGTACTTGTTGGCGTACCACACTGCAATTGGTTTCGACGGTATTGCAATTGGGAGGAGTCTCGGGAATATGATTCTGCCGCTGTGTCTGATCCCGTACTTCATGTGGCGGCCTCACCATTTGAAGCAGTGGTGGGTTTCCCCCTGGAGTTCCAAGATCGCCACGAGTCACCTCCAAGTGTTCCTGCACCTTGGAGTCCCCGGGATGCTGATGAATGCGATGGAAATGTGGGGACTGGAGGCGCTCTCGATCCTGTCTGGCTTTTTGCCGGAAAGTGTCGTGGCTGTGGCGGCCCACTCAGTGTTGGTGAACGTGAATCTGCTCGTCTACACGATTTTCTCAGGACTTTCGGTCGCTGCCAACATTCGAGTAGGCAACTGCATGGGCGCCTGCTGCCCAAACAAGGCAAGGCTAGCGCGAACCGTAGTGCTCCGGATCACGTTTGGGGTGGCGTCTACGTTTGCGCTAGTACTGTACCGCTTCAGCGACGTAATACCCCGCTTGTTCCTTTCCGCCGGTGACAGCGCGGAGCTTGCCTCCAAGGTGATGGCGATCTGGTCCCCCTCTTACAGTTGCTGATGGTCTCAATTGCGTTACGCAAGGCATCTTTCGGGGAGCTGGAAAGCAGAAATCGGCAGCGATTACAAACGCCTTGGCCTACTACGGCGTTGGAATACCTGTAGAAGTGTACCTGGCATTTCAATGCCATCTCGGAGTGGAAGGCCTGTGGTTTGGCACCGGAATTGGGGATGTTTTGGCGGTCAGTACGTTGACGGTACTAATGTTGTGCTGCTGGAGTTGGGAAAAACTAGCGAAGGATGCGAATAAACGCGTGAATTTGTAAGAACTGGACAGCATCCATTGTGCAATGGATGCTGTCCAGTAGGCCTACATGTGCGCTTCTATAGAAGTTCTAGCAGTTAGATAGCCTTACATGCACCAGGATGTGAGCTCCGTAGCACCAACCATGGAGCGATTGCGAAGTCCGTTATTGACGAATGCTTGGCTATAAATTATAACTTATAATGCGTCTCATAGGTGGCGGCGGTACATGTACTGTAGCTGACCACCCCAGCAGTACCATGGCGTCGTCGTAATTATCGCCTGGTACAACATGGCACATCAGTGGCGCTGTATGTGGGAAGATAATTACATCCATGCTTTGTAAAAGAGGCATTCGGAAATTTCATTTGGTTCCGGCTAAATGAAGGAATCGGTGGGTAGTCAGTGAGCGGCTGCTACTCAATGTAAATAGTATTTGCATCCTTTTATTTTACGTTCAGGTTTCCAGCTCTCATGATAGGCCGTGTCACCTTGGAGAAACCCACATCTAAGAGCAAACGGAACGACGCCGCACGAGCTGGCCACGTACAGGTAGTCGTATAGCTTAGTTGCCAGGCCCGCGAGCCTCGATCTCCCAGACGTGTTCAACGCGGTCGCCGCGGAAACCCACAAGGTGGTCGTACATGTTGGTGGTAGGATCGCAGTGCCCAGGAACGAGGAGCAACTGGCTGCCGAGAGCTGGAAGCGTTACTTTCCCCATAGCGTTGAGCTGAGGCTTCAAAATTCCATGCTCATCGCCTCCGCCATGGTATTCGAGCGTGGTGGCCAACTCTTCCCCACCAACGAACGAGTGCACCAGCGGCGATCCAGAGTCGAGCGACACCGCCTTCGTTCCAGCATCAACGACAGCACGCGGCACCGCAGCCTTGTCATTCTTGCTCATGACCGCCGTCAGCACGTACAAACTCTGCTTCCAGTCGTGCACAAACTCTCCGTCTTGTCCACGGTTGCGCGCGTAGTCGGCGTCATTGAACAGGTACGAGCCCGGCTGCACCTCGGTGAACACTCCGCTGGCCGCTTCTAGCAGGTACGTGCCCGTGCCTCCGCCCGTCACCACGTCACACTTCAAGCCTTGCTCCAGCAATGCGTCACGCACAGTCTTGGCCTTCTCAGCCACAGCAGCGATCACCTTCTTCTTCTCATCATAACTACGAATGTGCTGCGCCGCGCCATGGTACGCCTGGATGCCCACCATCCGCAGTCGAGGGGCGAAGGAGTCGATCGTCTTGGCCAGGTGGACAGCTTCCTCCACTGTGTCCACTCCGCATCGGTCTTGGCCCACGTTCACCTCCACCAGCGCGCGGAAGTGGACGTTTGTGTCCTCCGCGACTTTGGCGGCCTGTTGCACCGTCTCGACGCTGTCGAAGATGAGCGTCACTTGGGCGCCGCCCTGGACCAGCCGCGCCATGCGCTCGTAGCGCCTCTCGCCGTACACTTCGTTGCTCAGCAGCAGGTCGCGCACGCCGCCGTTGAACATGGCTTCGGCCTCTCCGACCTTCTGGCAGCAGAGTCCCACTGCGTGAGACATTTGCAGCTGCAACTGTCCAACTGAGGAGGACTTGTGGGCCTTGGCATGTGGACGGATCGCGACGTGCGGATAAGATTTCAGCGACTCTGGGAGACGCTTGAGGTTGTCTTCCAGAGCGTCCAGGTCCACCAGCAGGCAGGGCGTCTCCAAGGACGAGACAAGGTCCCCCACGCTGCCAGGAGCACGGCGAATTACGCGCGATAGGGAGGAGGAGGAGGCGAGGCGACGCACGGAGAGCGCCGTGATTGCAGCAGCGGCCGCTGCAGCAACAGGTACCGACGCGGGGCGCCACATATTTTAGTTTTTGGCCAAGTGTTACTCTGTTTCAAAAAAGTCTGGACATTTTTGATCTGATTGGCTAAGGCTAAAATATTTGATTGAGCCAAAAATGTGTTGGATAATCAAACTGAAAGGGATCCATGAACTTGTTCAAAAACTTGCGCATAAATACACGTGCTTTGTGATACGTAGATCGCAGATTTGAACCTGTACAAATTTTTGGTTTGAGGAAAGGGAAAACTTCGGAAGGCGACTCAAAATAAATAAAAAATTGTGCAAAAAGGTGGGTGATACAAGGATTTGTGTCGTGTGGACTTGGCCATCGCGAGCACAACACAGATCGTTAATGTAGCCAATGATGTCATTAGGGCACTGCGTGTACGAAACGACGGCAGTGCCGGTCTAGGTGTCGTTGCCTACCAATAAATATACTGCCGGCCCATCGTGACCTCAACGTCCCTTGAGCCCGCACAGCCGACGCTGCACGAAGCATCGCCGACAGATATTGCTGCTTTACTCTATGTCACCGCTAGAAAACAATCTTGCGGCTTAATGCCGTGGCGGCTGAACTTGAGAAGCGTATGCCAATGTAATATTGGTATCGCCTTTTGCACAAAGATTCAATTTGAGTCACGTTTCGGAATATTCCATACATCAATGATACTGTTATGAGAGTTGTTTCGGTGAGTGCATTGTGAGGATTTCGGTTTTCGGTGAGTAGCGTGATCGGCTATTGTTGCAGCCCATCGGCTTCGGCTTGGGTTGCAAGCCAGTGTTGCAATCTAGTAATGTAAAATGGTACAGTAGACGCATTGCTCGGCTTGAATTGAGAGAGATTCGTAGCGAATGCGCTGGAGCTCTGTTTTGCGGGGGGATAACGTGACGGGCGGTTAGCTACCGTCGGTAGCACCGCAGTATAGTGGGTTAGTGAGTTATCCCTGGTTGTGTGGGTGTCAGCAGTGTTGCTCAATGTGCATGCCAAAATAGTTGCGCGTAGTGCATGCAGTGTTGCTCCATGTGCATGCCAAAATAGTTGCGCGTAGTGCATGCAGTGTTGCTCCATGTGCATGTCAAAACAGTTGCGTGTAGTGCATGCAGTGCGCTGTAGAACACCCTTGCAACAGGCTGGGATCAGCAAAAAAAACCAAAGCTATCCATTGGGCCGAAGTCATTCTCCTTTATACGGAGACCTCACCTCAGTCACTGGCGGTGTAGGAGCTGAAGAGCCTGACTAAGGAAGAAGCGACAGCGGCGATACGCAACGTACGGGCCCCGGCGCCTGCAGATGACGCTCGCTTGAGCGCGCAGTAGGACTTCAACTTGATGGGTTTGGCTTGTTACTACAGCGAGGGCATGCGTGTCCAGCAACTTTTTTTGTGAAGAGGTTGTTTTGCAGCTGATCAATTACATTGATATTTGCTATAATAGCGAAATGAGAAGTTCACTAAGTACTTAAGTGTTCCTCTTGTTTGCTCTCTGCGATAGCATATAATGCAGCAAGTTTGTTGCCGGGTCCCATCTTTTAGACGGTGACCTCAGGCATTGGCGGGATGCATATTTCACTGGAGGGGCTGAAGAGCCTGACGCGGACGCAGAGTAAGGAAGACACAACAGAGGCGATACGCAAAGTAGGAGCCCCAACCTGCAGATGACGGGTTAGCATCTGCGGGACCGGTCGTTGTAGTCGTTAGGAAGAACTAAGTGACAACAATGTACCTCAATTCAAAAACAAAGCAACAAGTTTGTAGAGTCAACCGAATCCGCTGTAAGTTTAGCTCGCAAGTTTGTGTGCGGAAGATCCGGATGAAATCTTGTTATGATGACTACCGATACTTAGAAGACCATAAACACATTTTCTTACAGCATTGTGGTGGGGGCATTAGACAAGTTGATATCAGTAGCTAGCAACGTTCGATACACAAGGCTGGTAAAGCCATCAACTAGCTACAGTATGCTTAATCCTAAACGTAGACCTCGGCTTTTGTGGTACAATACGTTTTAGCTACTCTGTACACGACTGTCGTCCAAACGGAGACATCTGCACCATTTCCAGTCCAGACCGGCGAGATACGTCGCACGGCTCTATCCTCAAAAATAATTTTGGGTAGGTTGAATTTTGGGTTAAATTGGGGAGCTCCAACGCAAGCGAGATTGGCTCCGGAGCAAGTGGGACTTTTCTATTAAATCGCATATGAACTTGAGGGGCTTAACCCCTATTCCCGGGCCGCTAGGCCAGCGGCCCGCCGCTTTTTTTATTAGGAACAGTCGTTATTTGTTTTCACATGGGCAAGAAGGCGTCCGCAGCACTCGTTGCTGTGCGGGACGCCATCGCCCTGACGAAGTTCCCTCCTGAATTGCAGCTTCCCTAGAAGAAGAAGGACTCACTTTTCTCCTCATGGCACGGCCACCCTACGCTCGCCTGGGCCCCGGAGTGCCTTCGCACTAGCCGCGTTCCAAAATGCGTTGTTGAGGGGTGTCTGTGTGAGCCAAAAGTGAAGGAGTATTTGCAGCGGTACGTACACGACGTCGATCACAATACTGTTTTGTATTATGCAAGGTATCGCTGTACCGGGCCTCATACAACACGCACATTTTCAACTATCGACGATGAGTATCTAGCATCATCATTAGAACTCTTGCTAGGATTCCCTTACCTTCTAACCTATCAAACGGGTGTATCACGCGAGCTGTTTAACTTTGTTTATGATAGCATGCTAACGACAAGAGGCATATCTGGGGCAAGCAGCAGCGTACCCGTTGTCGTCAGAGACGCTATTATGCTCTCTTATCTGTTGCAGGTGTCGAGGTGGAGAAGCGAAGGCAAAAATAAACAAACTATTCGCCTCCTATGCTAGTGTCATTGGAGCAATACATGGAAGCGAATGCATGTCTTGATGATGAGGCTCTTCAAAAGATATGGCTGACCCAGACTGAAATATGCTCTCGTTTGCTTGAAGCCCACATGACACAGTGCAAAATCAAACCAGTGATTCGTCTAGATCATTCTGAAAAGTTTTGCAGCAAACTCAAAGTATTTGGTGCTCAAGGTAAGAAAGATCAATCAAGCGAGGTACGTATGCTACTACTTGCCCAAAATGAAATAGGTCAAATTGTTGCTCGTGGCCTGACGTACTCAGAAAATCACGTTGAAACTGCGGCAATTCTAAAACCTGTGGCCGCGCGATTAGCGTCAGAACCACTTGAATCTCGCATCTGTATAACCGACCACGCCAACGGCACACGCAGCCTCATCGACAAGGTCTTCAACGGTGCATTGGTAGTCAAACAAGACCCTTTCCACGTAATCCAAAGGCTCACAGAGAAGGTAAAGGATCACGTCATGCGGGGATGGCTAGCGACTGAGCTGTCCTCTGCTATTTACACGGCCGACCACAAGATACGAGAGCCCGAAGAAATGGCTACACTGTTTTCAACCGCTCTGGGCAAGATTCCAGCTTCAAGCCTCAATGTCAAAGAGCCTGAGTGGCAAGGATGCATAGCTAGCAACCTGAACCAGATCCGAGTAGGAGATTTATTTGTTGGCAAGGCTGAATACGTCGAGAATGGCGGCAGGGTACGAGTACTTTCGACTAGTCAGCTCGAAGCAGTTCATTCCAAACTCCGCAAGCTCTTAGACCGTATTGTATCGTACGAAACGGGCCTTCGTATACTCGACATCTTCCTCTTGCAGGTAATTGCATGCAGATAATATTCTACTATATGCGTATCTAATGCTGTGGTGTCTAGCACAATTTGAAAGTAGGGGCCAAGTTCGGAAGAAATCCTGAGTTTTTTTTAGTTTGACTTCTTGACGATGTGCCTTGCTGCAGTTTTGGGTCGCGAGCAATTTCCTGTCTCTCCTCAGCTTGAGTTCATGTACGAGCTAATTATGCGCCAAGGTTCCAGTTTGTATAATCCGTCGTATCGTGCTGGAGTATCCAGCAATTACGAGAACAGACCATGGGAAAGACTGAGTGATCTAATCCGCCTGCGAACTGATAGAGCCGAAGGGAGGATGCTAGATCAGCATGCTCCGACTACAGATATCCGGCGGCTTCTCGTGCGCTCACGTGTGAATCGAAAGCAGACCTCTCGAGCTGAGTTTGTAACATTTCTTCGTTTGGACCCAGAATACGAATCCACAAATGAATTCTCCTCACACGAGTTCTCCTTGCTGAAGGAGGTTCGAGGGGAGCAATTGGCGTCGAGTCAACCGTGGAATACGTGCGAGGTGGTCGCGACTATACTATTTAACTGTGCTGTTGACCAGATCGACAATCCCGCGCTCGATCTTCGAAAGCGAAGTTTTAGATCAATCTCTCGTCGCCTGTCGGCCGTTGACGAGCAGATAGCACGAAGCCCCGCGCCAAAAGCAAGTACAGCCATGATCCCTATCACCGTGAAAGCTGTTGATGACAGCACCTCGTCCGGAGATGAACGAGTGTTGCAGGAGGAGGTATTCACGATGCTACGCTACTCGTCTGAGAAGGTGAAGCAAGTGTACTACAATGTGTACCAATTGGCGTCGTGTGTTTGTCCGGAAATTAGACCGAAGTCGACGGCCTGGTTGAAAAAGCGTTGGGAGTCACTAGGTAAACGACAGTTGCGCCGAAATCGTGATAATGAAGGTCAAGAGCCGACCGAAGTGGCGAATGCACCTTCACCTCGTCTACACGTAGGCCTGAAGTTGTCGAACAGCGAGGCGAGTGGTACCGCGTTGCGCGAGCCTGTACTTCTCGCTGCCAACGCGCAATTGGCTCCAGAGACTAGTTGTAAAAGCGCTGTCACGAACGGTGAAACGATTGCGTCTGTAGTCGCTGCAGTACCAGGGTCCCCTCGTGTGCTGCCCGAAGTCATGGATGCTGGGACCAAACAGCACCTGCGAAGTTATGCGGATTCGTTTGAAAAAATACACCTGGAAAATGGAGGATGATCTTCGAGGAATTTCAACGTATCAAACCTGGGTCGACACTGTCCATCAATGCTCTCCGCTGTCGCCTTGAAAATCGGTCCAAAAGGCGGAAGGTGTCACCAGCAGCTCAGTCCGATGCAGCTGCTCCCAATTACTCCGAAGAACCCTCTCCGCGCAAGAAGATGATAATCCAGACACAGCCAAACGCACCAAAAGACTCCCGCAGCAGTGATCAGCACAGGTGCGTCGTCCCTGCGAAGTACTCAAAACAGTCAGCCTGTAAGAGCTGCTACGAGTTGAAACAAAGATGAGGTCCATCAGGCAACAACAAGTACTGTAAGTACAAAGCTCAGAGTGGGAAATCAATCAGTGCATATTTTACGTCAGCCTACGAAGGCTCTACATGACCAACAACACAGAACAAATGAATACAACTGATCAATTAGTCCGCTTAGAACCATTAGACTACGGTACAGTACCTACGGTAATTAGTCTGACTGAGACTATTTTTTGTAAGTGGTGTCTGGGCTTATTTACATTAAATAGTCTGACTGAGACTATTTATTGACTAAGACTATTTATGTAGCACGAAAATAGTCTCACCTCTTATTCACCTGGAGCTGTACTGCTCTTTTGTGTATCTGGAGTTGAAGTCACAGGCTCGCCTTCGAAGTGGGCACGATGCTTCGCCACTACATCTTGGAGATGAGGATAGAGTTGGGCTACAGACCAGGTTCCGTCGATTCCAAGCGACAATCCGCAGCGAATCATCGCTTTTCGAGCGTAGGACATGCCGTTCTTGTCTTTCTGGTGATTGACATCTCTGACTGCGTCGGCTGCAAGCTGAAGGAAAAACGTTTTGCCAGGGTTTTGAAGCTTGCCCGACCACGACCCGTCCATGCGAATATTATTTTGCCAACAGTTCTCCTTGATCAGACTCAGCTTTTTCGCGTTCCACCTTGCGTCTTTTATCTTCGCAATGATGAAGGAATCTGCTGGCTGGCACAAGTCGGTGGCATTTAGAGGGAAGAACTGGAGATCTGCATTGATTGAGTTGAGTTCATCTTGACATTGGTCGGCTTCGAGATGGCCAGAGCAGTTGTCGAGGTAGATGGTCTTGTTGCGGCCATGTGGATCTGCTCGCATTGCTTTCCTTTCACTCAGATACTCTCGAAAAAGTCTTTGTGTCATCCATCCTTTCTTACTGGATCGATAACACACGCCCGGAGTGTCATCGGGTACGCCTCGGATAGGATGTTTCCCCTCAGCATTCATAAAGATCATCATTGAGGGGGGGGGGGATTCTTGCGCTTGCACCTCCCGAGAGCCGCACCACCATGATCATTCCTTCGCCACCCGACACGACGTCTGCATACTTAATCTGTTTTTCGCCTGAGAAGCCCAAAGTTATTCCATTGTCGAAATCAATGACAAAATGCGTCTCATCAATATTTTCGATTGCATTTTCGTCCAGTGACCCGTCGGCAAACCCACGCTGCAACTCTCCAAGGTGAAATGCAACCTCTTTCTCGATATGCAGGATCTTGAGCTGGCTGAGCTGTCGTTTGCCGGTCTGCCTCAGAACAATCTGATGGGCCTCCATGAAGCATTGGATCCAACGCGATTTGTTTTTCTCGATGATCAGAGCCTGTTTTGCATCGACGCTCATATGAGTATACTCGCCCTCCCCGTCTCGCAAAAGCTGTTTCGCGAGCTACAGCAGTAGTGGTGGCTCAAACTTAACGCCAAGTTTGCGTAAACGATCGAATTCGTCAAGAAGTTTCGAGTACAGCCACGTAACCCATGCGCTGCGAGGGCGGCCTCGTCCACTGATCACCTTGGTGCTGACACGCTGCCTGCCACCACGTCGTCGCGCCGAGACGGCAACTACGCCTCGTTCGGCCCCCAAAATCAGGTCCTTTTTCGCCCACCAGTCTATCGCCTTGGCTAGGTTGGCCGACGCTGTCTCTGAGTTGAAAATCGTAGGAAATGCAGCGACAGCTTTTGCAAACATGCCTTTAACGCCTTGCGTCTCCTCGTGCTTTTCCATCCACCGAACAACCTTCCGACGGTTTGAGATACTGCTCACTGCTTGCGTGTGACGTCCAACCGCGTGTGAAGAAGCAGGAGGAGGAGGCTGCGATGCGTCGAGCTCAATGTCTGACTCGCTGTCCAAAAGCTCCACAGCTAGATCAGTGGCCGAACCGGGGGTGCTCGTAGCAGCGGAGTTGTCAGAAGTGGTTGGAGCAGTCGCTGGGCCACGTTGGTTGAGCGCGTCGCACTTAGGACAGACTACCGGTTGTCCAAACCCTTCGTTCCCGGTGGGGCGTCCGCAGAATGGGTGCATATGACTGGAGCAACGTGGGCAGCGATGAACTGGACCCGCAGCTTCGCCGCATCCCCCACACGGGGCAGTAGATTTCCCGGACTGGGTAAGACTAATTTTGAACTTGAAGTGGTCAGACTATTTATGAATTCCAAATTTTCGCTAGCACAATAAATAGTCTGACTCAGAACACAGACTATTTTTAAACTCAGACTAATTACCGTGATCACTGTAGTAAATATCACAGTACCTTAAGTGCAGCGAGCAAACCTCGACGACAGGGCGTCAGGAGCCGAGCGCGCACGTCTGCAGCTGCTTGGTGTACGTGTTGAAGTCCTCGGCTGAGTCGAGGTACAACACGGGACAGTGCTTGCGATTCAGCATTAGCCGCAGCTAGCGACGGCACTCACAGTCGCCGTCGTTAGGCTGGAGGCGCCCTGTAGCGATACTTCCAACCAGGTTTTGCTATCCATCGTTATCTTGGCCATGCGCCTACATCATATAATAGTACAGTAACACACGTCATGATGCCGCAGAATAAAGCGATGCAACAGTGAGCTTCTCACCTTCAAAGACTTGCTACCCTCTGCCCGCCTTCTTCCTCGTCGCGACAAGCGTCTTCTCCTTAGCTTGCATGCGTACGCACGCGTTCTGTGGCTTAGTAGCGCGCCGCCTCTCGTATTGTGGGGCATGCCGACGAGTCCGCCACTTCAGATATGCGGATAGATGTCATGAACCTCCCCGTGTGGGTTCATTTAGTTAAACTATTAATAGAGGGTGTGTCACTTTAGGACAAGTCGGGACCCACGGGACATTATGAAGGACAGCTGGTAGATGGTCGCCGATGCTGGCATTTGGTGACGATTGGTCGCGGGACAATCCCAAGAATAGCGGTCAAGCCCCACTCGAGGAGTGACAGATGCGGTGGTTGCCAATGGCAGCACCCCATGGCTCGATGAATGTCTCGATATCTGCTTTCACATCCATCTACGGGGCATGATTGTAGGCTTGTTCGACAGCTTGATATGTTGTCTTGCTAATACCACCAAGAAATGCTGCGCGAATGAGTCGAGCTACGGCCTCGCCTTCTCGTTCTGCTTGCATTTTTCTCTAAGGCATATGCTACATGATGGGTAGTCTCAACATGGTCTGGGATAATTTACACGCTTTATTACGCTTGGGTAAATTACGCGGCCCGGCTCTCGCCCGTCCCAGTTTGCTCTGGAGACTGTCCCAGTTTGGACTGGAAATTATATTGTGAACGTTAGTGCGCCTTACGCTCAGGGAATAAGTGATCTACACTCTCCAAACGTGGTCCACACACACTACCGGCATCCTCCGTTCTTTACTGTCAGTCATGTTTGGCTACAACTAGCGGAGCATCACGGTCGCTGCGCTCATGTTGCTTTAGGGGTCGACCCCCAAAACTATGCTGACCACAGAGTTTTGGACGACGTCCCCACTTGAGGAATTTGAGTACAAAGCCGCTTTCAAATTCTAGCGCTTTATTTCCCCTTTCACGCTCCCCGATTTGCTGGCTATTTTGCAAACAACATAAGTACCATTCATACGTTGTTATTAACGGTAGACGGATACACCTGACCTGTGGTTCGAATGCCAGTACACTTGTATTTTACTTACTTGTGAATGTGAATAAGGGGTTAACTTTCGATGCTTCAATTTCGTGGTGTGTTCATTTTCAGAGTGAAAATACGAGCGAATTATTCCAGTAACCTTTCGCGATCCATGGTGAAATTCTTCCTCCAGATGTCATCTGCACCCAGCCGCAATGGCCAATGTTGCTGCCGCGACTATGGCATGCACGGCCGTTCAAAACTGTTAGTCTGTACGCGTAGGTAGATAACCTCATGCACGTTGAGCGCAATAAGGAAACATATATAATGAACGATAACTAGCTCAAAATAATGTAGTTGACCCTGATATCGTACCATCACACATGCATGTAGGGTATCAAAGCAGAGCTGCGACGCCCGAGATCGACGCAACAGAACTGTAGTTGAGTGGGCTAATGCATTTGCTTAGTCGAACATCTTTTCATGAGCAACGCAATGAATGAATTAACGCAGACTGGAAAGGAGCAAATAATCGGCACCTATAGCGTGCAGGAAGGACTTGCAGCTGTCTGATTTCTTCACAGCGAAGTAGCAGGCGAGCTCGAACGGGCCAAAAGAGAGCCATTGTTGCTACCAAGAAGCACCGACACGGACTCCGGCTCGTACACCCCAGCTCATCGTCCAGCTCGTCATCCGCGCATAGCCTTCAATGTAATTTAGAGAAGTTGCTGCTCGACAGTACCCGGTCATCAGCATGCAAAGCTGCTTGCTACTTGGTGTAGCGTTGGCGCTTCCTTGAGGCTCTGCTTGTTGATGCTTGGACTCTCTGTTGTGCGCTGGTCAAGCGATCCCGAAGGGGCGCAGACTTCTTACCGACGGCCGCAGAGCAAGCCCTTCTTACGACAGCATAAGGTTCGAAGGGCAAATAGACTTAATAAAGGGTCCTAAGAGGGTCCAAATAAGGGTAAAATGTCACGTTTAAGTCTATTTCTGATGTCCTCCATACTAACGGTCGAATTTGCTGTTTCATAACTTCGACCCTCTGGTTTTATGGCATCTAAAGATAGTGACGTCGATTCAGCTCAGAAAAATCCGTGCCGATACCACCTTCCGATAAGCATCCAAATGTTGTTCAACCGAGGTATTTTTTTTCATTTTTTGGTCCCCGTGTGAGCGATTCTAAATTGTGACCCTAACCCATTCGCAGAATAAATGTAAAAAGTAAAGCGGAGTGTAAATAAGAGACGTAAAAACTCCATTAAACGAGTCTCATGATTATAGGGGGACTTCGTCCCCAAAAAGTGGGTAAAAAAAGTGATTTCTGCCGCGCATTGTGAAACACACAAAAAGTTCATTGTTTCATCGCAGACCGAGCTACTCTCGATGGTATCATGCTCGACAGCCACAGCTCAAACTCTATGATCTATCAGACTCAGGCTAGAAAGCTGAGCGATAATTTCACTAGCTAGAACGTCTACTTTCTTCACTAAAGGCTGTGACATACATGTAGTCATCGCCTGCTTCCAGGGCCTGTAAGTGCAGCATCAAAGCCGAATACGCCCTCCCACGCAGTTCATTCATCCATACCACGAGCTCCTGCTCAGCTTCAGTGGGGAGGGCCATACCTGTGCCGCTCGTCCGAGCATTCTTTTTGAGAGCTGTCTGTCCATGAGCTTTCGCCGCGGTTCGTGGACAAAATCATCTAGACCGCTGTAGAAGGCGTTAAAAGCCGCGGTGATGTCACCGCACTGTTAGAAGGCGTTAAAAGCCGCGGTGATGTCACCGCACTGTGCCCAGGCATCGAGCACCTCGAGCTTTCTGCTGCCGTAATTGCGGTGCGTCTGCGAGCAGGTAGCATCTTGAGGATTGGGAAATGACCCATTTTTGTGTTGTCAGTTAAACGTGGAGGATGGCAATAAGGTATTTTGATTGGCTAAAATTGATTGTCAGTAATAAGCGAACGTCAGTAAAGAACGGAGGATGCCGGTACCCCTAGTAGTGGGCGGCCACTAATTGAGCTCCTACTGTCTTCACCGTCAGAAATGACGTAGGTATATATTCCATACACACGTTTATCATGATGACGAGCTGATCTCCATAATTTGCTTTTGAGTTGTGGATCAAAAGATAAATAAATTGGTCCAGCTTGCCGCTTAAAAGAAGGACGCTGGCTTGACTCGGAATTGCAGCCGTCTTGTTCCAGTACTGGTCGGGCTTGTAGACAATGCCGTCCCCATCATAGTTTCCAACATTGAGTTCATCACATGCAGCCGATTTCTCCTTCGAGAAGGCGCAGTACAGCGCATCCATGGGGTAAACCCCTCCGTCACTCATCTTGGTGCTCTCGTACCTTGCTCGTAAGTGGGAAACGAAGAGTGAAGGCGTCTCCCACTTCTCTGAAAAGATGATGAGGCTGTAGAGCACTGTCGAGTGAAACGCGTCGTCTTGGGATTTCCCTGAACTAAGCAAGCCCAAAGCAGTGCCAAATTGGCTCAAAACGTCGACATCCTCCGGTTCACAGCGTTGGAGTCGGTAAATAACGGGCGGGATCAGTGTCCGCAGGTACGTGTGCTTGAAAAGGGAACCCAAGACAAGACGCAAGGAATACGATGGCGGGTAGTCACCCATGTCTTCCGTTGGCGCTTCGCCCTCGACCTCGCCCATTGCCACATTGGTGATGAGTGAAGCGCAGGTTGCGTTTGGGTCCTTGTCAAACTGCTGAAATAGCTCGTCAAGAGTCCTGTTGAGGCTTTTGTGCTCGAAACGGGCCTTCACTTCGATGTCCTGCTCGCGCAGCGAAAGGAGTGCATCACCGACCTCTCCGAAGTCGATATCCCGCTTTGACATGTACAGGAACTCATCGCCTGGTGCCCCAGAGCTAGTGGCAATTCCATCGAGAACATACCCGGTCACCTCAAGGGGAGCGAGAGCCAAGATCGTGTCGTAGCTCGCGCCGTACACCGTGGTGTTGGCACCATTCGTAAACGTTGAGATGAAGGTCACGAGGTCGGTTGCAGCAGTCGTCACGGAGAACGAGGCGAGGTCCCCGTACTTTTTGTGCAGATCTTGAGCACACGCAGGCACCTCGGACGGATCGATTTGGGTCCCCCAGGGAGACCCCGTGGTCGTGACTTGGGTCCAAAAGCGTGCTGCGTCCGGTGCCGCGGTGGTCCATAGTGTACACGTTCACAGCTCCTTCCAGCTGGGAGTGCAGCGTCACCATGTCCACCTCCACTGCACGACAGAAGCATTATCATAGTCAGTAGGAGTATATGACTTGTATCCCTCTCTACAACTGCAGAATTTACGTACATGCCGTCGATGAAGAGCCCGGGCCACCCTGAAGCAGCCACACATGGGGAGCTGTTTCTGGGTTGCCGTTCGTCGCTGGCGGATGCTTGAAGAAAATGTCGACGTTGGAGTTGGCGGACGTGGGGGTCTCGCAGATACCAGGGTAGCACATAGGAGCGTTGTACATCGCGCATTCCGCGTCTTCGCTCGAGCTGCCTTCGTCCGAGAAGGTGTAGTCGGAGCACGGGTACCAGCCCCTGAGGTCGGTATTCGAGGTTGAGTTGGACGCTGCTGAAGCGTGAGCAACCACCATTGACACAGCGGAAGATTTTTTAAATGGGTCTTATGCAGAACAGGTCTTGGATTTGATCAGACTGTACTTTTTCTTTGAACTTGTGATTGGATCACAATTGCCACGCTGTGACGACGCAAAAAGTCTCACTTTGAATCCTCAGCCATGATGCTGGGAAGCCAAGCCTACCTAACGCTGCCCGCTCCTCGGTGATGCCAAAGTCACACCTCCACAGACCGAGCCGTTGAAGCACCCTGGGTCGCCGCCCTCGGCAATACCGCAACGGAGTGCGTCGGAGGAAGACGAGCAAGATCCTCGCCATGAGGAGCTCCAACGCAAACGAGCGCAAGCCCCACGAGCAGAGCAGCAAATGGGCATGAGTGAGGCCTAGAAGATGCAGCAGCACCATCGCAGGGGTCAGCAGGTGGACAAGATGCGTCACGGCAGCACGAACAGCAGGTGGGCAAGCTGCGTCAGGAGCAGCCCAGGCAGCAGTCGACCAGGAAGGCTTATAACGTCGACGGGTCAAGTCCGCCTCGCACCACGTGCAGCAGGACATGCTGCGCTGTGCAAGTGTGCTGTGCGAGCTGTGCTATTTGGGGATCGAGGACACGGATAGTGACGTGGTGGTGCGGCAGCCACCTTTTGTCGCGGTTACTGCAGTTGACGCACAGACCGGTGCGGGCATCGTGTAGGCGGAGGTGCTCTACATGCCCCATGAGTGTGGAGCGCGTCAAGTCCACGGAGGTTATCCGGGTGCATCGCTGCTGTTCCTGCTGTTCAAGCCCGCGTAGCTCGCCGCTGCACCGTGCGCCACCCCTCACTTGTGCGCTGGCCGCCGCTTCCGTGCGGCTCCGAGTTGAGCTTGAACGCGCGCACTTTGGCCGTCACCCACGAACGAGACTGGCGCCCGCGTATCGATGCCCACGACACTTCCATGGTGCATCTGGCGGTGCGTGGGTTCCACGCGTGTGGACGCGGTGCCCGACGAGGTGTGCGCGCAATCGGACAAGGCTGGCTCGGACGTCACGAAGACGCGCCAGCGCTGCTGCCGCTGGTCGCCCAAGGTTGGTCGCAGTGCAGCGTCTTAGCTTCAGAGAGGTTGTTACCGTGCTGCGGCTGTGGCGCCTCGCTACGAGTTGAAGCACTTTATTTTTCTCTCAGCCAAGCAGAAGGGAATCACCTCGTTGTGGCTACTAGGTATTCTAAAGTACATATACCATGGTAAACTAATTTTACGAGATATATGCCAATTGCCAACAGTAGACTGTCGATGTTGATTGAGAGTGTGAACGAAAAAGAACCCAGGTGTGCACTGCTTTGACTGATAGACGCATACAGTTCTCAGTGTACAGAAGTCTCGAATGGAATACAATTGAGCACCACCCATAGAAGCATGAACTGCGTCTGGTATTGCAACTAATGTATCTTGCTGTCAAGAGCAGTTGGGAAGGGAATGTTCCATTGCGGCGGCGACGCGTTCTACCTATTTGATAGTAAGTCTTAGGTGATAGTACATAGCAATGGACGCAATGATTGTGAGCACAACTACCTGCCAAATACCTCTTGAACCAAGATAACCGGTCAAAATGGACACTCTTCACCTGGAGACAGCACCACGAACTATTGCTAGAGCAGGAAGCCGAACGGGGCACACGCGAAGGAACAAGTCATGTCATGATCCAAAGTTGTGAATGTTTGGTTCATGTCTTCCAATTCGGTCTCACAATCAGCATGTTCAAATCCTGGACCTGATCTGCATAAGAACCAAAATAAAGGCAACCGACGCAGCAACGATATGGCAGAGCATCATGACTGCTTGTCAAGTGTCTGCGGAGTTGGAAGAAGGAAAAATCGGAAATGGTGGCTTGTATCTGCGTGGAGAGCAAGCCACAATCGCCAGATCGCCATGGTTGGAGCACGTTGTTAGGAAAGTGCATTGTGGTCGCCGTTTTGCTTTGAATCCGTGAACGTCACGAATACTAAGGCCTATCAAGGTTGGGAAGTTTGAAATAAAGATGTAGATAGATGTGGATTTTGTAATTTCACACAAGTACGCGGAATCTATGTGCTCCAAGGCGAGAATAAAGAGCTTCGACTACTCCCCGCATGATACCGTGTCGTCGACGCAAATGGTCGCTGGCGATCCGTGTAGTGAAACCTGCGGCATGAAAGCTCTTGCGTCGTACGTGCGAAATGGTGAACATCTCCAGCGTATGGACAAGTCGTGCGTGGAGGAGATGCCTGAATTTGACTTAAAGACGCCCGAGTACTATCTGCAGAGCGTCATGGGCACCGACGATGCCTACGATGGCGTGTTTAACTCCAGCTTGAGCTCGTATTAAGCATAGTGTGACGGGGCACACAGCACTCCTCAACAAAGGAAGCAGGAGTATACAAACTCCAAGTGAACAGCCGTTCACGTGTCCCTGGTCTGAAGGGGGCGACTTGACTTGAAAAGCGGTAGATCTAAGACTGAATGTATTTATAGGTTGGTACAGATTTGGCCTGCATACAAATCCTAAGTTCCCTATAGTTTGTGTCATACAAAATGTATCTGTTGGCTCTGAGGCCACTTGGGTCACTATCCAGGGGAGTGACCGATGTAGCCATCCCTGAATAGGGACAGGGTCACTATTCCATGTAACCCCGTTACATCCCCCCCACTTAGATTCGATCTTATCGACCAATCAGAGCGAGGTTACGCCGGCGACTCACATTTCACTCGCAAAGTTGAAATCCATCGACAACGGCGCGAGCTCTGGCGCCTCGGCTCCCGGGCCTCACAGGGCAACTGGCGCATCGCCGAGCAAGCCGCAGGGTCTCCACGTCGACCGGAAGCATGCCTCCAAAGCGCACTGCGCGCAGTGCGAAAGCACCTCCGAAACCGCGGGCCGTAGGGCCGAAGACCAGGGCGGCCAAGCCCAAGGACGAGTCGTCCGCGCTGATGGAGGCCACGAAGGCGGCCGAGGAGGCGGTGCGCTCTCGTAGCAGCACGCCGGAGAGTGGCCGTCAGGCCGGGGCTCGGAGCAAGTCTCCTGACGTCGCGCAAGGCAAGGAGGAGAGTACTCGGGGCCATAAAAGCCTGGCTCGCGACTGGGAAGCCGCCGTCTTTGACTGCACGATGGTCCAGTACTCCGGTGAGAGTTCGCCCGCCGACGAGAACGTCTCGGAGGGCAGCACGCACGCCGCCGCAGGCACGTAGCTGGCGGCAGGCGACATGGCCGACGCCTCGGCCGACGCAAAGGCCTCGTCGGAGAAGGAGGCGGAGGACGCCGAGTCAAGCGCAGGCGACAGCAAGCAGTCGCACGACGAAGTCGCCATGGCCGACGCTGGGGTCGTGGCCGAGAAGGCGCCGAGCGACGCGGGCTCCAAGCCCAAGGAGGTGCTGGCATCCATGCATCTCACGCTGGCGCAAGGTCGTGATCGTGCCCAAGCGTCGAAAGCGGCTGCCGCTGCGAAGGCCGCCGAGGCCAAGGCGAAGAATCGTTCAGCTTCCAGGTCGCCTCGCGGCTCCAGCTCCAAACTTTTCATCGATTCGGAGTCTGAGGACGAGGAGGGTGCCGTCCACGAGCTCAAGGAGCTCTCCAACAACCTCGACGAGCAGCAGCAGCAATACCACGCTGCTAGCTCGGGCGCGTATGCCAGGCAGCCGACTACCACGACTGCCATCGAGTCTTCTACAGGCGGGGATGCCACGTACCCGCAGGGCTACTTCCCGCCCGAGCCTGGCACTGGTGCGCCAGCGTTGTTGGAAAAGCTCTCGGCTCCTCGTGGCCTTATCGGCGGGTACACCTCGAGGGGTTCCTATGAGCGTGCTCTCGTTGAGAAAGAGCCACTCTTTCTTGGCAACGTTGAAGTCGCCCGGTGTGTGCTACTAGCACCACACAAGCTCACACTGAAGGAGTTCGCCACGCTTCGCAAGAAGCCGGAGTGTAAGGTTTCCACTGGGTCAAGCCGAATGACAACATAACCTGGAGCGAGGTGGAAGACCTTTTCTGGCGCTACGTCCAGCGCAAAGGGTATTCCGACCAACAGTTCAAAGAACTCCGTGAGGATCGCACTCTCTCCGCAATCCTGGACTTGCGCGAGCTCCGCATCGAGTTCGCTCAACTCGTGAGCAAGCGCAAGCTCCGTCCGAAGATGGACGAGCTCAAGCAAGAGGCGAGAGCCAAAGCTCGTGAAGAGCGTGGGCGCGGTGCGACTACGTCTACTACCGTGCCCCGGGTATCGGCCAAGAAGCCAAGGACTACTTACGAAGTTGCCGTTGCTTCTCGTCGCATATCACAACAGCCTTCGGGCAGTCTGCCTGGAGCTGCTCAACGGGCCCCCACGAGTTATCCGACTCAGGGTAGCCCCTCCACTTTACGAGCAGCTGGAGCTTGCCATGGAGCCGCCGCTCCCGGACGATGGGTGCTACACATCGCAAAGGCAAGCACGAGCTTGGTGCTACAGTAGAGTGCACACACGCGACAGCGTTGTTCTCCGGAAAGGCTAGGTTGGCCCCCCACGCGAATGCAGTGAGTGATGCGAGGCTACTGCTCTTCGTCTTGCTGTCCGCACGACACTCCAGCATAACACGTCTCTCGCCGTAAGATTAAAAGTTAATATGCCCGAGGATCCTTTCGCCCGGCGCAGAGAGGGTTCGCTGCCATTGGTAACGTCCGATCGCCGCGCTCCATGAGCTCCATGATCTTCGTTTTGCAGGCTCTCTGCATCCCAGCGTTCCACGTGGTAGTGGATCTGTCCATTACGATCAAGGAGGGCCGGTGGTAGCCTCGCACGGCCATGGCTACGAGCCTGAGGCGACGCAGCCGTATGCTGGGGCCCCGAGTTAGATGGTGGCCCTGCAGCAAGAGGAGATTCGTCTTCTCCGGGACCGCGTGTACGTCCTCGAGATCGCGCTTGGCGTCGGCCTTGGTGGCGAGGCTGCCGCTCGTGCTGGCCAGCGTGGTGCCGTGGAGCGGCTCCGTGAGGATGTTGTCTCGCTCTATCAAGAGACTCGCAGTCTCCATGGCCGCGTGGATCGTCGAGCCGACCTGTCGTCTTACGAATCGCTGCGAAACCAGCTCGCTGGCCTTCGGACCGAGCTTCATGGCCACGCGCCGTACCCGGAGCAGCAGCAGCCCCACTCGTATCAGGCCCAGTTTTGGCCAGGGCTCGTACGGGGCCTCTGCGTATGCTGCTCCGATGTACGCCGCGCCGTCTTATGACCAGCGCGCGTACTAGGCGCCTTACCGTGACGCGACGCCGCGCTTCGAGGAGCTGCGCTCTTCCCCACCGGGCCACCCTCCGCTTCCTGCGGGGCAGCCAGAGCCAGAGGGTCATGGTATCTCTTAAGACGACCCACGTAAAACGTCGGGTGAGTCGTCATTGACTTGGGTAAGTCTATGGTGTACGCCGCGCCATGCCGGCTGAGAACCGTGAAGGGTCCAATGAAGCGGTGCTTCAGCTTGTTGCTCTCGACCGAGCTAACAGTGTTTAGCGGTAGGTTTCTAGTATCTAGGAGAACTAAATCCCCAACCTTAAACACGTTCATGTTTCCTCTTCCATTTCGGTCAGAGTACTCCTTCTGTTTGTCTTGGGCTTGCGCCATGGTGTCTCTCACCCTGCTGATTATGTTCAGCCTGTCCTCGGCAAACGAGGACAGTTGCTTCCGCAAGGCGGCTGGACTGACGTCCGAGACTTGGGAGGAAAAGGGTTTCCGAGCCTCTCCCCCACTTAGGACCGAAGCCCCGATGCTGCCTCGTAATGTGAGCGGCACCTGAGGGTGGCGCAACCCGTTCAGGTATACGGGTGTAAAGCCCGTCGATGCATGCACCGCATTGTTGAGTGCGAACTCTACCATGGACAAGCGGTCAGCCCAAGTGCGGGGCATCTCCGCGCAAATACTGCGGAGCGTGTCCTCGAGCACGCGGTTGACGCGCTCCGTCTGGCCGTCCGTCTGCGGGTGGTCCGCCGTCGACATCGACAGCCGTGTACCGAGAAGGCGAAACAGCGTCTGCCAGAACGCAGCGGTGAACCGCGGGTCTCGATCAGAGACAATGGTCTCGGGCATACCGTGGTGTCGGAAGACACAGTCCATGAACAGGCGAGCGACGTAACCACCAGTGACGGTGTCACGAACAGGGGCATAGTGTACCATCTTGCTCAGACGGCACACAAAGGCAACAACACCGGTGTTGCCACGGTCATCGGCCGGAAGTCCGAAGACAAAGTCGAGACTCATCGACTTCCAGCAGTCCGCTGGGACCGGCAGGCTCTACAATGGTGCCGAGGCGTGACCGGCAGGCTTCACGCGCTGGCACGTCTCGCACGTCCGGACGTAGGTGGCGACCCACTTGTACATGTGACGCCACCAAACGTCTGCGAGACAGACGCGTACGTCTTCTCACGGCCGAGATGGCCACTGGATGGAGCGTCATGCGCCTCCATCAGGATGTCGTACTTGAGATCCTCGTCGTTGGGCACGACAATACGGGGAGGATCCTCGGGCTCGACCCTATAGTGGAGCAAGCCGTCAGCCCACTCATAGCGGTGCAGTCTTGCACGCTGTCGGGGCGTGAGCCACTCGGCCTTGGCGTCCGAGCCAGCGGCCAAGAACCGCGCAAGAGGTCCGAGACTGGCATCGTCTCGGTACCCCAGCCTGATGCGATCATACAGATCCGTCGTGACCCGACTAGTATGAGCAAGCTCGTAGTCGGGTCGGCGCGACAGCGCGTCGGCAAGCACGTTCAGCTTGCCCGGCTTGTACTCGACACAAAAGTTGTATTCCGCGAAGAATGACAGCCAGCGCGCCATCCGCTGCGAGAGGTGGGCGTGTTGACGGCAGTTCGCAAGGACGCGTGGTCTGTATAGACGACAAAGGGCTTCGAGCCCAGGAGATGTACTCGGAACTTGACAAGAGCGTACTTCATTGCAAGTAGCTCCTTGTCATGAACTGGGTAGTTCCGTTCGGCAGCCTTGAGCTGCCTTGACTGGAACGAGATGACCCGTTCGCGGCCTTCATCGTCGGCCTGCAATAGCGCACAGCCAATTGCGTAGTCAGACGCATCACAGACGACGCTGAAAGGCTTCGTCTCGTCCGGCAATACCAGGACTGGCACGCGCTGTAAGCTCGCTTTGATGTCATCAAAAGCACCTTGGTGGCGACGCTCCCAGCGCCAGTCGGCATCCTTCTTCAAGAGATCCGACAATGGCCGCGCCAGCTCGGCGTAGCCTGCACTGTACTTGTGCAAATAGTTGGCAAGGCCCAGCCACTGTCGTAGATCCTTCTGCGACCGAGGTGGCGGCCAAGCCGCGATGATTTTCACCTTCTCCGGGCCCGCCCGGACCCCGGCGCTGCTGACGAAGCAACCCAGGACCTTGATCTCCTCAGCTGCGAACACACACTTGTCGATGTTGGCATACAGCTTGTTCGCCCGCATGACTTCGAACACACGTCGAAGGTGCTGGAGATGCACCTCCATGGCCGTCTGGCCTGCCTCGGCACGGCTGTGGAGGAAGATGTCGTCAAGTACGTCTGTGTGAACGCACGCAAAGGTCGGAACAGATGTGTGACCAAGCGATTGAACGTTGCCGGGGCGTTAGAAAGCCCCTGAGGCATGATCAGCCACTCCCAGAACATACCGCTCGGCGTGCTCACAGCCGTGAGTGGGATGTCGCTCTCGCGCATCAGGATCTGGTAGTATCCGTCCACCAGGTCCAGCGCGCTATACAGCGTGCAGCCGGCCATGTTGTTGAGCAACACGTCGTTGCGCGGGATCGGTGTCTGCGCAGGCACTGTCGCGGTGTTCAGCTTGTTATAAGCATGAACCAGACGCCACTTTCCGTTCGGTTTGCGAACACAGAAGGTAGGCGTCGAGTGCGGGGACTTCGACTCCCGCACCATGCCTGCCTTCGCCTTGGCGGCAAAGAAGGCATCAATAACTTCACACTGCTCCCGGGGAAGAGGCCATTGCCTCGTGACACAGTACTTCGTGCCCGGCACGAGATCGATCTCGTGCCTAATTCCCCTGTCCGGAGGGAGACTGGACGGTGGATCCTTGGACACCACGTCCTCGAACTCCTTCACCAAGCGGTACACCGGGTCCCGGGGATTCTTAAGAATCTCAGAGCCCATGCGCGACGCGCGCTGTCTCTGGAACTCCTCCAGGACTTCCTGGTCCATGACCGAGGACGAGTTCAACTCGGCCGACGTGGATTCCGGTCGGAGAAGAACCAACTCTGCGATCTCCCCGGCCTTTAGCTCGGCCAAGAAGTCCTCCATGGCGAGCTCCTCAAGGTTCAGCAACTCTGAAACCTCGGGCAGAGCTGTAAGCTCGACAGCTCCTGTCTTGACCCGACGACCGGTCACGCCGTCGAAGATGTAATAACACTCTTCGGCGGCTGGAGCCTTGGCTGGAGGCTCGGAGTCGCTGGCGACTGGTGTCGTCGACCACACGACTAGGCCCGGCTTACGATGTGACCGTCGGTTGTCTTCGTCTCGTGGCGCCGCCTTGACGACACCACTGATCTTCTCGATCTCGTGCGGAACTACGTTGCCCGCCTTGTCCTTGAGCGGAACTTGATTACCCGCCTTGTTCATGAGCGGAACTTGGTTACCCGCCTTGCTGGGTGGAACTATGTTACCCACCTCGCCGTGTGGAACTTGGTTACCCACACCAGGAGCGCTTCCAGCGACTCCCGCATCAGTTATGGTCTGAGTGACCTCCTGTGGAACTATGTTACCCACATCGGAAGCGCCTGCAGTGCCTTCCTCATCAGTTACGGTCTGAGTGACCTCGCGTGGAACTTGGTTACCCACGCCAACGCCAGGGGCGCCTTCTCCAACAGCCCTTGCTGCCTGCGGTACTTCGTTACCCGCGTGTGGACCTACATTACCCACCTGGTAGGTGCTGCCCGGCACCTCCACTCTCTGGTCTTGTCCGGCCCGGTCGGAGTCGTCGTCAGTCTCGACGGACCCCAAGAACTCATTAGACGCTGCTGCGCCCTGGCGGCCCTCGCGGGCGCCCCAGCTGCTGCCAGAGGTGGGAACATGACTCACCAAAGCTCTGTCAGAGCGTGGGGGACGGCTGGCCCCGATGGCCTTGCCGCGCCAGTCGATCCAAGGCTCGTGTTTCTCCAGCCACGGCATGCCAAGGATCAAGTCGTACTTGTCCATGTCTAGGACCAAGAACGGCTCCGTGCTGTCGAAGTCCTCGAACTTGACAGTGAGGTCCATGTGGACCCGAGGTACTTCTACCACCGTACCGTCGGCCAGTCTTACCGAGACCAGCCCGTTGCCTTTGCTGCCTCGTAGCGCATCGGCGTACTTGTCGCGATTGCGTGCGACAGTCTGGCGGCGCGCAAAGTTCTTGGACGCCCCAGAGTCGATCAAGATTCTCAAGGGATGATCGTATCCCGGTACACTCGCGTGTACCACAAGCAGCCCACCACTGCCCTTCTCCGCTTCGAGAGTACAGAGACTCTCAGGGGCTAAGTCCCCATGGCGTGCGCCACCCGCACGCCCCTCATGAAGACCTAGTGTTTCCCCAGTAGGGCGCCCCGCCCCTACTGGTGTCCGGCGTTCCCCTGGTTCCTGGGGCGCGGCTTCTGCCAGCGACCCCTAGAGCCAAAGGGCTTCGAAGAGAACTTCTTCTTCAGTCCTCCCGCGGGACAGGCACGTTTCAGGTGCCCAAGCTTGCCACAGCCGTAGCAGCGAATGTCGCTCTGCTCGGCCATGCCCAGATCCATGGGAACCGGCCCGTTGATCGCTCCATTGCCGGAGTTACCATTAGGCGCACCGCCAGGCAGGGTTGCTCTGCCATACCGTGGCGGGGGTACGAGCCTGCTTGTTGCTGTACTCCTCCTGGAGGGCGATCTGAATCGCCTCCTCCATAGTGTTTGTTTGCACACGGAACAGTTGCGTGCGGGCAGGACCGACACGCAGACCGTCCATGAACACGGTCACCTTGATGTGCTCAGGCAGGGGGTTCCCCACCAAAGAGGCAGTGAGCACTCGCATCTCCTGGATGTACTCATGCAGCTCGCGCCTTCCTTGTTTGCAGGCGAGGAAGCGCGAACGCTGGCGGTACTCGTAGTTCGCCGGAAGAAACGCGGCCCGCAGCTGCTCGCACAGCTGGGACCATGATGCGAAGCATCCAGGCGTCGTCGCTTCGCGCGTATACGCCCAACTCTTAGCGCGACCACTAAGGTTGGAGAGCGCAAAGGCGACACGGAGTCGCTCGTCCGAGACGAGAGCCGAGCTCAACCTCTCGAACCCAGAAGTGAAGGTTTTCTCCTTCCTTCCCTTCGAAGGGGTGAACCTTCAGCCGCAGGGGCTTCGGTTGCACCGGCTTCGGCGCGGCCGCAGTGGCCTGCAGCCCTTGAACGTGGGCGATGAGCCCTCGCTCGTAGGTGTCGAACGCGTTGATACGCTCAACCTGCTCAGCCGGCGTCGCCGCCGCTAAGCTACGCAGAGTATCTTCCCAAAGATGCCTGCCATCTAACGAACGGACTCGTACTGCCAGTCGTTCAGATGGGGAAACTCCGTCCGATCCATCTTGGCTCACTCGATGAGACCACAGAGGATTCAGGTAGTCCAATCTACCCGCGTAGGCGTAGGATTGACTACAAGTGCTACCAAGTGTGACGGGGCACACAGCACTTCTTAACAGAGGAAGCAGGAGTATACAAACTCCAAGTGAACAGCCGTTCACGTGTCCCTGGTCTGAAGGGGGCGACTTGACTTGAAAAGCGGTAGATCTAAGACTGAATGTATTTATAGGTTGGTACAGATTTGGCCTGCATACAAATCCTAAGTTCCCTATAGTTTGTGTCATACAAAATGCATCTGTTGGCTCTGAGGCCACTTGGGTCACTATCCAGGGGAGTGACCGATGTAGCCATCCCTGAATAGGGACAGGGTCACTATTCCATGTAACCTTGTTACATATAGTTTGCAGCATCCGTGCTTACGACAACAGGTTGTCTAGTAGCTCCCAAGGATGTGTGCTGAGGAGCCAAAGGTAGACCTCTCGATACAACCAGGACGGGCATCTCGAATCACGAATGTTTTCAATCCGAACATTCAACAAACTCGCAAAGACTTTGAATTTTGATAATTTGTCGTTCAAAGTTTTGTTTCAAGTAGCAGCTCGATCGTTAAGTTCGATACCCTCTGCGCGAGTCTGTAATTGGTTCAAATTTGGTTCCGTAACTTAAGTTGACCCAATTGGCCATTATTTACTCGATGCTTGTCAAACAAGGAGAGCGATCTTTTGCGTGAAGAGGTGTGCGTGCTTAAGTCTCCACTATGGGCACGACGCGACTGCCTCGCCTGGTGCTGCGTTGGGTCTTCGTGTGCGCGCTTGCCATCGTTTGCAACAACTGCAACCTCGACGTCGCTGCATCCATCGCACCTCGCTCATATTTTTCCAGCGCTCGCACGGCTCAGACGCCAAACGACCCTGTCATCGCTGACGCTGCCAACGTACGCACATTAGATAATCACGCTTCGTGCCGTGCTGTAAGCTTCATATTAATATCCATTGCTGTTGTGCTGGGCACAGTTTGCAGTGGAGCAGCTTCGAGACCTGTCGGACTCGGGCATCTACCAGACCTTGTCGCTCGCGAAGGTTCACGCAGCAGCTACCGAGGTACAAGATGGAGGATCAATACTGGTGTTGCTGAAAGACGATTAACGGTTGCTATTGTGTTGCTAACATGTAGCTGGGGGATTTACACTATGTGATTCACCTGCAAGTGGCGCTAGCGTCGCCGTATTTCCGGAGTAAGCGCGAGGTGGAGGACTTCGAGATGATGGTGCTGGAGAGCAAGCCGCGCGTTGAAGAGCGCGTCGGTGGCAAGTACAACGCCACGCGCAGCATTGCCATCGACGAGTTCCCCGAGATGGACGAGGACGCGATTGAGAGCTTCTGGGTGAAGATGGTGGAGGAGCGGAGGCAGCGGCGTCGCGAGCTGTTCGAGAAGTGGGAGCGTGAGGGAGAGACTGCGGAGGAATCGCATGCCGAGACCGAGTCTAGCAACTCCAAGAACGAAGAGCAGGAAACAAAGGCTTCAGTCAAGAAGGTGACCAAGATGCTGACGATCGAAGAGCTGCAAGCCATGCCAGCAAAGCAGCTGCGGCAGCTGCTCACGGCGCCCGAGAGCACGGCGCCACTCCGCGCTGCCATCTCCGCCATTCTGGACGAGCGGCTAACGTTGCTGGAGCAGCGAGAAGAGGCTATGAACCAGCAGCCTCCGCAGTTGAGTCTCCAGCGCGACGAGCTATAAACTTACGTAGGGGGTTCCACATGAACAGCGTAGCTGATGTATTCAGATAAGCTTAAAACGAAGGGCGAACGGGCTCGTGCTCAAACCTAAATGAGATCTGCCACGTTCATGGGCATCTCGTCGATCTGCGTGCTATAGTACTGCTCGATGTCGCGTAGGATGCGGATGTCGTCGTCCTTGACGAAGTTGATGGCCACACCCTTGCGGCCGAAACGACCGGAGCGACCGATGCGGTGGATGTACAGCTCGCGGTTGTTGGGCAGGTCGTAGCAGATGACGAGCGACACCTGCTGCACATCCAGACCACGGCCCCAGACGTCGGTGGTGATGAGCACGCGCGAGCCGCCCGAGCGGAACTCCTGCATGATAGCGTCGCGCTCCTTCTGCGGCATGTCTCCGTGCATGGCCGAAACGGTGAAGTTGGCCTCGCGCATCTTGGCCGTCAGCCAGTCCACTTTCCGCTTCGTGTTGCAGAAGATCACGGCCTGCGTGATGGTCAGCGTGTCGTACAAGTCGCAGAGCGTGTCGAACTTCCACTCCTCCTTCTCCACGGCCACGAAGAACTGCTTGATGCCCTCGAGCGTCAGCTCGTCACGCTTCACCAGCACCTTCACGGGCTCGTTCATGAACTTGCGCGTCAAGTCCAGCACCTCCTGGGGCATGGTGGCCGACACCAGCAGCACCTGCGTCGACGGCGGCAGGTACCTGTAGATGTCGTAGATCTGCTCCTTGAAGCCCTTGTTCAGCATCTCATCGGCCTCGTCGATCACCAGCATCTTGATGTTGCGCGTGCGCAGGTTGCGGCGGCGGATCATGTCGAAGATGCGGCCGGGCGTGCCCGACACCACCTGCACACCGAAGTCCAGGCGACGGATGTCCTCGCCCACGCTCTTGCCGCCGATGCACGCGTGGCACTGCACGTTCATGAAGTCTCCCAGGGCCAGCACGACCTTCTGCGTCTGCTCCGCCAGCTCGCGGGTGGGCGAAATCACCAGCGCCTGCGTCTCATTGCTGGAAGTGTCCAGCGACTGGAGCACGGAGATGGAGAAGACGGCCGTCTTGCCCGTTCCCGACTGCGACTGGGCGATCAGATCCCGGCCCTGGATAGCCGGCTTGATGGCGCGCTGCTGGATGGCCGAGGGTTTCTCGAAGCCTGAGTAAAACAGCAATAATATCGTTAGAAAAGGTGGTTGAATCACTCTCGAGACTGTGCTGGAGGCTACAGAGCGAGCTAGAGCCCCGGAGCAGCACCGTTGAAGAGAGGAGACTCGTACCGTACGAGTAGATGCCTCGCAAAAGGTCCTCCTTGAGCCCCATGGCCTCGAACGTGGGGTAGACGGTGATGTCCTTGGACGTGGTGAACTCCACCGTGTCTCCGTCATCTTCGTCCACGAGACGCGTGCCTGCAGGGGTGAAAAGCACATCGGTCAATAGCGCAGAGAGTCAGCTACATGAACATGGTGGGCAGGTGGCAATGGTGCCAGCGGGGGAGGAGGTAGAGCGCCACGTACGTCGCTTGGTATCCTGGTCGCGCGGCATATTCCCTGGTCGCTTGAATTGTGTGACGTACGCCACCCACTGAAGCGTTTCTAATTTAAGTAGAAACGTTTCTATTGGAGGATTAAAAAAAGAACGGTACAGATGTAGGACCTACAAAATGACGATTATTTTCAGTTTAGAACAGCTTCTAGTCAGAGAACATCTAGCAAATTTTATCTTTCAGCTCGCGAAAAAAATCCGAAATCTATCTGTAAAAATGTTGACCTGGAACCTCAGCAAGGCTTCCTATGAACTCAAGCTGGAGTTGAAGGCACCCTCGTAGGCGTCATCCGTGCTCATGAAGGCTTGCAGGTAGAACTCGTGCGTCGTCAAGTTAAACGCGGGCATCTGGTCCACGCACGACTTGTCCATACGTTGAAGGTCCCCACCATTCCGCACATACGACGCAAGGATTTTCATGCCGCAGGTTTCACTCCACGGATCGCCAGCGACCATTTGCCTCGACGTCACGGCACCGTGCGGGGCGAAGTCGAAGGTGACGAGCTCCTTATTCTTCCCAACGAGCACATTGAACAGGGATTCAGCGAACTTGTGGGGAGTTTGGGGGTCCAGCTTCCCACATAACAGAAGGACGCTGGTCTGGCTCGGAATCGTAGCTATCTTGTTCCAGAACTGGTCGCGCTTGTACACAATGCCGTCACCTTCGTACTTATTTATCACGCTGCATTAGCGAGAAAGCAGCGTTTGCGTTGTCGTGGTCCGATTGCTTCTTCATCTCTTTATAGCGTACATGCATCTGCAAGGGAGTTTATCATCTCCGGAAGACCCAAACTGAAAAAGGCATCCGATACCAAAGTCTGCAACAGAATCTTAGGAAAAGTTAGGGGTTTGTAGATTTCGTCTCGTTAGGAATGAGGCAAAGTAGTGGACTCCACCTTTGTCCTATTGTGGTTTACGACCGACGATGTTGGCGGAAGCGTGCGTCTTGCTCTAGAAATTCCCAGACTGGCTCACTCAGCGCCAAGCTAACGTCAATACTACCTGTTGTGAAATCCTCAGCTTGATCGACTTGGTCCTCGGTCGCCATTAAGTACATCAGCCCGTCAATGAGCGAGATTGGCGTGAACGGCTGAGCTACAAGTGCTGGCGCGACGTCGAGCTCGGTACCTCGGTACATGCCAAACTTGTTCCACTGGCTCACCATCACGCCGCCTTCTTCGTAGCGGTAACAAAGTCTCACGCGCTGTTTGTCGGGCTGGGCAGCGAGCCAACGCAAGTTCTGCTCCACTTCGGATGGATCCAGGGGCTGAACTCCGTCACGAACCGCGACGGCGATGCTAGACAATGGAGCGTTTCGTAGTTCCGAGGCAGATAGCGAGAAAACGGGGCAAAGCACGCAGTTCGGGAAATACCGCGGCGATACCTTCAGTTGGCCGCGACTGCGCAGGTCAACGGAAGCGAGGAATTGCCGTGGGGCGTGCAGTTCTGCCTCCTCTGAGCGCATTCCCTGAGATTCACACAAGCTCACTCGCGCGCGAAAGATGTTCTGCCACACGTGGGCCGCCAGAGCGCAGAACGTTGACACTGGGCGGTCGGTATCGCCAGCATTGGCCTCAGTCTTGATAGCAGCGAGCTCGTTCGAAGAAAACCGCAGAATCTTGCCGACGACAGGCACGACGTTTGCCACAGGTACCGTCTCGCTGCTCACTGTGGACTGCGACTCTGGCGCGAGCTCAAACAGCGTCGGTTTAATCTGAAGAGCTTCTTGTCTCTCCTCGAGCGACATCTGCAGCTCAGACATGTACGCGTGAATTTCCGGGGGCGAGCTCAACAGTGTCGCATTTATGGAGCTTTGACCCAATTCGAGGTCTCTGACGCCGCGATACAACTCTGCCATGTCTCTCGCGAGCTGAAAGAACCCCGCGGCGTCGCACACGATGTGGCGGAGGCGGATACCGATCGACACTCCGCCGCAGGCGAAGCGTGTGCGCTGCACTGTCAGGATCGCATCACGCGCCGCCCCAGCCTCCGTCGGGTCGAAAGACGGCAGTAGCGCATTGCCCCTGCCAGGTAAGTTCGTGCCGATCAGCCGAGGTGTTGAGCCTGGGTTGTCGTCTTCAGACACGACCTCGAACGCCTTGAGCGGCTCACTGCACTGTGCCGAAAGCAGCTTCGCCCCTGTGCCGAGCTGCTCGATCTGCGGTCTCTGGCCCTTCGGGTCGATGACGATGCGACCGGTTAACTGCGGGTAGTAGTCCAACAGGCGGCTTAGCACAGCTCGAAGTCGATCGATGGGGATAAGCTCCCGGGTTGCGTCCGGCTTCTGACGGTACACGAAGACGACGGCCAAGGGGATGGCGAGCAGCGAGCACTGGTCCAGCGGGCCGAGGAGCATTGGCGATCGAAGGCTTTGGAGGGAAGATGGGTCGGCGCATTGCAGCACGAACTCCGCCGTCGTGGCCACCGTCGAGGATTCCTTCTCCATTACAGCGGAAGTGAAGAAGAATGTCCTAGAGGTTGCAAGCTGATATCTCCAGGGGGGGTCGGTAAGGAATGTTCGCAGAAGGTGCGCTGTGGTAATCTTTGTCACGCCGCGTAATATTTCACTTCCTACCAATGAAATCACAGCATCCTAAAACTAACATCCTTAGGATGTTAAAATTATAGTCTAGGATGTCATCCTAGACTATAATTTTATAATTTATTAGTCTGCAATACGTGCACGGGCAGGATAGGCGACGTAGGCAAGGCCTTTTGTGGTGCGTAATATTTCGTAGGATGTACTGCACGCGAAGAACGCAAAATCAGAGGGTCGAAACTACCTAGTAGGAAAAACTTTGGTCTGCCGTTGAAATTATCTGCCGTTCATAGTTATAACCAACTTAGTCCTTTACCTCGGAGATCCAGTTCTTGTTGTATTTCTGCGTGTACCAGTCATCGCTTCTCAATGATTTCAGTGCCAGGGTAGCTGAGAATAGCAAGGCGACCAACGTCAAGAGCAACACCAGACGCATGGCCCCGTCGGAAAACGCTTGCTCGAGTGCTGGGGCGCCAGCTTCGAAATGAGCTGTACGCCCAGTATGAACTGTGCAATTGCTTATGTCAGCTACCCTATTCGTTTGCTCACTGTAAAAAAGGTAGACCGCTGGATTTGCAGGCTGTAGTATTCGTGATAACTTACAATAAACTCATTTCGTGCACCGTGCCGTACAGTGCCAACGATGCCAATGATTGCTGGCGACCCGTGGAGTATAACTCGAGCTTGAGCTCTTAAGTATTCACAGGTCGAAGACCTGTGCTTGGCCCTGGCAAAAAACTTGTAATTTTCCAAAACCGGGTACCAAACCGGGTCTCTCTTTCTTAATTGTAATGTTTAAGCTAATATCTGCCGGAATCGGGTACCCGTCGATAAATGCTAAGATTTATGCACATTATTTATTGTGTTTTGCATCCATTTTGCCCTCCTATTTAGTGCACGAGTTAGTGTTCGTACTTCAGGATAAATCATAGAGGCTTTGAATGCGAGTTGCTCAAATTGTGTTTCGAAGCCGATTTGGCTCGGAAATGGCACTTTCTAAAAGTGCCAAAGCGATGCTTACTCGTGTTGGATGCGCTAAATCATGCACGAGTTGGTCTGTGCACTCTACCTGGTGCAGATTGACCATCCATGATATACAGCAATTCGTACTCGAGTACGATTTATAGATAAGTCGTGCTCGATAAGTCGTACGAGTTACAGTCCAAAGTGCCAAAAAGTCTGCAAAGCACAATACCAAAGGTTGATACTAATCGTTCATTCTTTACCAAAACCTGCGCTCAAACACTTACGGACGCTCCAGTACACTATGAGAGCGTCATGGCCTGTATCAATTTACGCCATAATCGGCCAAGCTTAGCTGAAGATGACAAATATGACTTGTCTAGCTGCAGGCTGCATTTTTTACATGTCAATTTGTTCAATACTCAGTCAGTGATTGGCAATCACTTAGCCGAAGATGCCCAACCTCGTGTCTCTCGCCAAACCAACCAGCTCAACTCGACAGTGACACGAGCATCGTTCGTTTGAATTAGGCTTTCCTTAACTGCGTTGAAGCGCCCACTTCCAAGGACTTGGCACATTAACGTATTTCTCATTCCGCAATTTACCCTCAAGTTAAAAGGTCAAGATCAGCGCACCATGCATCTCTCCTTCGTTCCGCTTGCTCTCTCGTCTGATCGTTAGCACACAACATAGTACTAAATGAGCACAGTATACCTTACCTGCAAACTGAATGAAATAGCTCTCTCGTTGCTGGCATCAACGCAGCCATTGGACGCTGACCAGGGTGTTATTCCCGGGCAGATGCTGCGGCTGTGAAGCAGGCGCAGTAGATGCCCAAGTTAGAATCTACTAGAGAGTTCGGCTGGATTAAAAACAACACAACTTTGGGATTTACTCAATTGCTATCCGTTATCATCGTCCATGAAATTATTCGCCGACCTGTGTACCCTCTCGGAGCAACGCTCCGGGTTGCCTATAGACATCTCCACAATGCTTTCGTGTAAGAAAGCATTGTGGAAAGTCTACCAATCAAAGTTAATAAAGTAAGCCTCCAAGACTATTGGGAGGCCAAGAGACATCAAAGGTACGCTGAACGACCTCCAATACAGTTTGCACGATATTTGAGACGGATACGCTGTGTTTTCCATGACAATTCGTACGGAAGTCTATTCAACCATGTAACTACTTTTTTCACGCGCGGTGACGTCGAAAAAGGGCGTCTTGATCGATAATATCCCAGGCCGGTTACTCAACGCGAGACTAACATCTACGCTGGCTGAGGGAACCCCAGTGGCATGGCCTGAGTGAGTGAGCTGACCCTCTGTGGCCATAAAATAAGCCAGGCCACTGTAAAGTGATAGCGGCGTGAACGGTTGAGCCACAAGTGCGGGTGCGACATCCAATGCCGCCCCCAGATACATGTCAAACTTGTTCCACTGCGTGACAAGCACGCCTTCCTGCTCGTAGTCGAAGCAAGGCAGTACGCGGCTCTTGTCGGGCTGCGCTACAATCCATCGCAACGTTTTCTTCACGTCCATGGGGTTTTGTGGTTGAATTCCGTCACGAACTGCTTCAGCAATCTTCGATAGATGCGCGTTGAGTAGCTCAGCCGCAGGCAGCGACAGTACCAGCGACAAAACGGCGTTAGGGAAGTATCGGGGTGGAAGCTCTGCTAGTTGGTCGCGACTTCGCAGGTCTATCGGTACCAAAAGCTGGCGCGATAAGCGACCTGCAGCCTCACCTGACGTCAAGCCTTGGGCTTCGTACACACTCGTCCTGGCGCGGTAGACAGTCTGCCAGACATGAGCCGCCAAAACGCAGAAAGTCGACAGCGGTTTGCCTGGATTGGTTTGATTGGCTTCAGCCTTGAGGGCAGCTAGCTCGCTCGAAGAGAAGGGGAGCACGCGACCGATGATGGGCGGAGGTGGAGGAGGAGGAGTTGGTCGCTTGGAGGCATCAGTGTCGGCCGCCACATCTTCCAGCGTTGGTAGCTCCTTGAAAACAATCGGCTTAAACTTGAGCGCTTCTTCTCTCTCCTCGGCTGTAACATCGTGCAGTCCCGCCATGTAGGAGCGGGTATGGGGCGGCGTGGACAGCTTTACAGCATGCGCACGTTCCAAATGCTGATAGTCGACGTCTCCATAGCCTCGATACAGTTCAGCCAGGTCACGCGCGAGTTGGAAAAACCCACAGGCGTCACAAATGACGTGTCGAAGACAAAAGCCGATCGACACACTTCCACACTTGAACCGCGTGTGCTGTACTGCCAGTATCGACTCGTGAGTCAGTCCTGCCGCAGTCGCATCAAACGGCGGCAGCAACGCGTTGCCTCCATCCGGAAGATTGGTAACTACCAATCGCGGCGGCTGGTCGTCCTCCACCATCTTCTCAAACGCTGCGAGGGGTTCACTGCACTCCGCCGCCAGCAACGTGACCCCCTTTCCAAGCTGCTCAACGCGCGGTGTGCGGTCCTTCGGGTCCATGGCAAGGCGTCCAGTGAGATGGGGATAGTAGTCGAGCAGGCGACTCAGCGCGCTCCGAAAGCGGTCGAAAGGAACCAATTCCGCACTTGCATCTCCCCCCCGACGGTACACGAACACGACCGTGATAGGCGTGAAGCTCTGCGTGATGTGGTCCAGCGGCCCGAGCACCACTGGCGACTCGAGCTCTTGCAGCGATGTCTCATCCGAGCAATACACCGTCAATTTCTCCACCACCGTCACATCAGAAGACAAACCCGTCATAGCTACCGCGACTTGAACAATGAGCACTCCGATCCAACAGCATCTCAAACACTGCAATTGTTACGGCGAATTGCTTGACCACGCCGAACACTTCAAGAGTGTTCGGTCTGGTCTGGTCAAGAGTTGAATTCAAGTCGAGATACCCATCACGCCACCGATTGCTTCGCCTATTTCCGGTTTCTTTCCCCAGCGATTTGCGTTGAATTACCCATCAACTTACCCCTGCATTGCCTTTCGCCTCCAAGCACCCGCTGGTTCGATTGCCTCAGTTCCCCCTTCCTCCTCTCCCTACTGTACCGCAGAGCTCGAAAGCATGGAGGCGCTCGAGTCCCCCACGAGGCTCGTGACGGACGAGGCCACGCAGTGGCTGGCGTCCATGGACGAGATGCGCGACGACGACGCGACGGACAGGGCGCCGTCCCCCAAGGCAGCGGCTGCTAGTCCCGGCTTCGTGTCGCCCAGCACCGACTCCAGCCCCGTAGCGTGCAGTAAGAAGCGCGAGCTGAGGGAGAATCACGACTCCGAGCCCGAAGTCCCGAAGAAACGGCCCAAGCGCAAGTTCCGCAAGTCCACGATCAACGTTCGAAAAGTGAGGACAACAATTATTTAGTGGGTGGGTGGGTCGAATTATTGGGTTTTATTAACGAGTACGTGGGTTTTATTGCTTTTATTGCAGGAGGAGAAGGCCAACTTGCTGGAGGAGCTGGCCGAGCTGCACACCAAGATGGAGGAGCTCAAGGCGCGGGCGTTCGCCACGTGTGCGGGCGTGAACACGCGGACGCCGAGTCAGACGCAGGGCGCAAATCGACTACTGAGACAGGCGATCCAGAAGCAGCAGCTCGAGTGCACCAGGATCCACGCGCTCATGTCGGAGTACTCGTTATTTGTGAGTTCAACTCCGTTATGTTGCAGCTGGGGAGAGCGGAGATCTCATGGAGTTTTTATTGGTTTTTTTTTGCAGAATATTCGCGTTGGCAGTCCTATACATCGGCCGATCCACTTACATCGGGATACGCACTCTCGACGGGCTACGCTGTTGGCGTTCAAGAGCAAGGTTCTGCAAGACGGCGCTAAGTTTCTCAATGACCGGAGGCCGCGTGTGGACCCGCTGAAGCCCATGAGAGAAGACCACGGCTACGAGGCGTCGAATGGGGACTTTTACGCGACGTACATCTCTACGATGCAGTTCGAGAACACGGTCAAACAGGTGTACGACATTTTGCTCGCGTACTTCAGCAGCATCGAGATAAGCGTGTCGGAGAAGCTGGGCAACATCACGATCCGCGAGGACGACGACAACATGGCGCCGGGCATCACACAAAACCGCCTCGTGTCCACCACCATCGGCGGGCTGCGCATGGAGTCCAACACGGTCTACTTCTCGCGGTACGAGCCGGGCGACCAAGACGCAGGTCCGCAGAACGGGTACGGCATCTTCGTGGCGGACTTCGTGGACGACGACGACCTGAATCCGTACCACCCGCACGAGCGCATCCGCCGCGACTTCTCCGCCGTGCTCGAGCTCACGTCGTACCCGATCAAGCACGGCGTACGCACCAGGTCCAAGAACACGAGCGAGGGTCGCGTCGTCGTGCTCACTCGCTGGGTGCACAGCAAAGTGTATCACCCCGAGTACGAGATCCCGCAGTCGGGCTGGCACGAGATGCGCGACAACACGGAGCGCTGGATCCAGACGCTGCACCACACGATGATGGAGCGCCTCTCCCCCGTCGTTTGCTGTCGTAGGTAGAAGAATAAATTCACACGAGTTGCCACAACTGCAACTGCAACACGAAATATCTCGCCAGTCGCCCCGTCACAGGAACATGGCTACATGCAAAATGTACCAAAAATGCGGTACATGTGGCCCGTCACCATGTTTACAGGCCATTTCGCTCAGTATTTTCGGGGCGATAGACACACATTGACGAGCATGAACATGAGCAGCGACCTGTTCGGCCGCCTGGACGCCGCTGGGCAGCGCGCGCCGCCTCGTCTCAATGGCGGCTTGGAGGCTGTGAGGTACCAGCGGTACCAGCGCCACCAAGCAGTGCTCCGCAGCGCGGAAAGACGGCACGCGGTCGCAGGCGAAGCTCGCCAGCACAGAAACCGCTGCGACTGTGGGAGGTCACTACCTCTCGTTGCCCCGCGCGGCAGCGGTTAGCAACTGACAGACGCAGCACATTAGCAGCTTCAGCAGCAGCAACAGCACCTACCAGCATAGCAAAGCATAGGTCGGTTAGGAAACTCCTTCAACACGAGCAAGGGTCCCAAGGCGGCGGCGCCGAGCTGCTGCGCAGCTCGGCACTCACTTCCGCATTCTCCAGCAGGAGCACAACCAGCTCCGCCGCCTTGGTTGTTCCCGCCACGGCATTCTGCCAAGGCAACCTCAGTCTCCTACCTTCCGTTCGTCTTCTGCCCGCACCTTCGTGCTGAGATCAACTCTGCTACGCCTACAGCTCTGCAGACAGCAAGTACACGACTTTCAGCACCTCTCAGAGGCGAGTTTCCCGCAGTCGCAGGCCGCGTTCGCGCCCCTCGGAGGGCTGCCCGTGAACCCTGGAATGTCCATGCGAACGTACCCCGTCAACGCCAACGCCAACGCCAACGTCTCCACTGTCGTCCTCATCGTCCACAACTGCGGACGTGGTGGACCCAGCGCAGCCGTGGCTGGCGTTGATGGAGAGGAGGGGGCTGGTGATGCACCAAGAAGGAAAAGAGAGGCAGGTTGTGGTCAAGAAGAAACGTGTGGAGGGGGAGCAGAGGAGTGAAGACGGAGGAGAAGCCCAAGCGGAAGAGGAAGTATCGAAAGGCTACGCACACGATCAGGAAGGTGAGGTGGTGGTTGACCAGCGATGTGAAGGCGAAAGGTCTGGGGTTTAACTGGTGTGGTTTCTGTTGGTGCTTAGGAGGAGAAGGAGAGACTGCTGCAAGAAGTGGACGAGTTGAAGGCGAAGATTGTGGAGTTGCGAAGCCACACAAGAGTACCGATAAACGAGGAGGAGGAGATGATAATGAGAAAATTGGAGGCTTCTAGGGCCCTCCGAGAAGGCGTGAAGCAGCGCCAGCAGGTCTTCAGTCATCTCTCGTCGATCATGTCGGAGTACACGTTATGCGTAAGCTTCGTCGGGCTTCAATCCCCGGTATTCGTTGAATCTTCTCACGTTTTTTTATCTGTGATGCTGCTTCTTGTAGACAATCCAATCGGGTAGCCCGCTGCAAGACTTTATCTACTTAAAGAAGGACGAGCAATCTCGGCAGGATACCCTGGCGATGATAAAGCGAAAAAGATGGAGAAGGCGCAGCGCTTCATGCAGATGCGCCGACCAAATATTGACCCGTGCAACACGATGGCCGAGGAGCGCCGATATGAGGCTGAGAACGGAGACTTCTGCTCCACTCGCTTCGCCGTGACGCAGTTCGAGGACGCGCAGAGCGTGAAGCAAGTCTTCGACCTGCTGCTGTTGTACTTCTGCAACATAGAGATCAGCATCTCGGAGAAAATCGGCCACATTACCATCCGAGAAGACGACGGCGTCGATGACAGCGGCATCGTACAGAACCGACTGGTGTCGATCACACACAAGGACGTCAAGATGGAGTCGAACACGGTCATGTTCTCGCAGTACTTCGACCGCAGCACGGACAAGAGCAACGGCCCGGCGGACAGCAGCTACGGGCTGATCGTCGCCGACTTTGTGGACGAGGACGAGCGCCACCCGTACGTCCCCAACCAGCGCGTCCGGAGAGACGTGAACGCCGTGCTGGAAATCCGCGAGTTCTCTCCCCAGCGCCCCAAGAGCGTGGCAGGAGGCCCTCCGTCGTGCAAACCCGTTGTCGTCCTCAGTCGGTGGGTCCAGAACCGAATGCACTACCCCAAGTTCCCCGTCTACAGGGACGGATGGTACGAACTTCGAGACAACATGGACTTGTGGGGACGGGCTCTTCATCGCACGGTAGCTGAAAACCTACGGGGGCATCCGTAAAGCCTCACAATCATTGTGACAATGGCTTAGTTCTGCAGCAGCATGGATGCAGCGTTGTTTGCTCTGCTGTTGTGTCTCAACCATCAACCACCTGATTGGCAAAGACAGGTCCTGGGATTGTCATTGAGACTTGTCACCTCCGCCGATGCAGCGACTGCCATCAATGAGGCGCCACGACGGCGCGTTCCGAGCAGGAGTGGCGTCGTCCAGCACGTCGTCCACGACCTCGTCTCCTCTGAGTGACAGCGCCGCCCCGACGCGCTCGTGGGCGTCCATAATAGCCCCGAGACACGACGAGGATAGCGAGGTGGAAGACGCGAGTGAGACGACTCACAAGCGGCCGACAGAAGCACTGCCAGAGCTACAAGTCGATGGAAACCAAGGCGATACTGGCACAGAGTCAGCGGAGAGCGCGCAGCCGAAGCGCAAGCGGAAGCACCGCAAGGGCACCCACACGATCAGAAAGGTGGCGATGGACGCGGAAGGAGTGTGGTCGTTATGGCAGTACTGACGGTGCTTTTTGACTGTAATTGTCGCTTATAGGAGGAGAAGGAGAGGCTCTTGAAGGAGATGGAGATTCTGCAGCAGGAGATGGCGGCGCTTAAGAAGCGAGCGGTTGATCCGACCTTCCCGGTGGACCGATTCGTGCGCAAGTCGCGGCGCCAGATTCTGCGCGAAGGAGTTCAGGGACACATGGAGACGTTCTGCCGGGCGCTGTCCATTATGTCGGACTACACATTGTGCGTACGTATCGGTGGGAGCTGGTAGTGCTGGCGCTGAGACAGAGAATTATTACTGATGACTTGACTCATGTATTGTAGAATATCCAAGCGGGGACGCCTCTGCAAGAGAGAATCGTGCTCAAGAAGGATTCCCACTCTCGCCACGAGACGCTGCAAGCGATGAAAGAGAGGAAGATCAGGAACGCCCAGCATTTCTTAAAAATGCGCCGCTCCAACCTTGATCCGTGCAAGGCCTTGACGGAGGATCAGCGCTTCGAGACGGACAGTGGGGGCTTTACCTCAACCCACTTCGCCATCATGCAGTTCGAGGGCGCGCAGAGCGTCAAGCAGGTCTTCGATCTGGTTATCTTTTACTTCAGCAACATGGAGATCAGCGTGTCCGAGAAGCTCGAGACGCTCGTCACGGTCCGCGAGAACGACGACGACAGCACCATCGAGGGCATCACGCAGAACTACCTCATGTCCACGACGACCAACATGGGCATGAAGATGGAGTCCAACACTATCATGTTCTCGGAGTTCTGCGAGCGCGACGACATCCCGTGCGCCGACCGCGGCTACGGGATCGTGGTCTCGGAGTTCGTCGACGTGGACGAACGCTACCCGTACCGGAGCAATGAACGCGTTCGCAAGGAAGTGAATGGCGTTATCGAAGTGCGGGCGTACAACCGCCCGAGAGCAGACGGAGACAGCGACGACGAGCAGGAGATGGTCGTCGTGATGACTCGCTGGGTGCAGAACACTTTGCATCGACCCGAGTTCCCCATGGCCGTCGAAGGCTGGCGAGAGCTCCGTCACTCTATGGACAGCTGGGGACTGCTGCTGCATCGTACACTGCTCGAGAGTCTGCACACCCACGCGTAAATGACGAGGCTACTTGTTTGTACACTGTACCGCAATCTGCTTTTGGCCGAACATGTACTATGTGTGCAAGTTGCCTTTTGCTAGTCGTGACAGACGTACTTAAGCGGGATTTGGATTGCGCACCGATTGCGCGCAGTGCAGGCCTTCGAGTCCTTCCAGCGCGAGTCAGCGAACGAACGCGTCGGTGCTAGCGGGGGAGTAAGAGAGCGGAAGGAAGCGATGGATCGTTGCTGGGGCATTTCGTCCACGCCGGATGAGCCTCAGCAGATGGAAATTATCACGACGTCGGATGGAGCAGCGGAGAGAGCGACCGAGGCGCGTGCCGGGGCTCCGCTACATACAGCGTTGGGGAAAAGACATGCAGCGACCAGCCCAGCCGGGCTCGATGAGGTGCTGGGTCTGTGCGGGGGAAGGAAATATAGCGATGAAAAGGATGCTGGAGTCGACGGCACCAAGTCGGACACGTCACAGAAGGCTGCGACCAAGCCGCAGCGCCAGCGGAAGCATCGGAAGTCGACACACGTTGTCCGGAAGGTGTGTGATTCGTGCTTTCAAATAGGTGGAGGCTAGTGTTAACGAGAGTCTGTATTGCTGCTGCTGAAGGAGGAAAAAGCGCGGCTGCTACAGGAGATGGAGGTGCTAAATGCCCAGTTGGTGAGCTTGAAGCAGCAAGCGATGGCATCGATGGGCAATGAAGACCCTGACACGGCGAGGAGCATTCGAGTTGGCCGACAGCTACGTGATGATGTACAGGCGAATCAACAGCGGTTCGGCGAGGTCGCGTGCATCATGTCGGAATTCTCCATGTGTGTACGTAAAATGATGTGGCGCTGTCCTGATGTATCCTCATGAAGATCGTATTCTGAACTGCGTATGTACTCAATGTCTTGCAGAACGCGCGAGCTGGGTCTCCACTGCACGACACAATCGTATTAAAAAGAGATCGAGACTCACGCCGACGGATGCTGAGGGGCATGAAAGCTGGCAAAATGGCGCAGGCCGAGCACTTCCTACAGCTGCGGCGGCCCAGCACAAACCTACGGAAGATCTGCGATGAAGGTCGGCGCTTCGAGATGGACAACGGAGACTTTTTCTCCGAGAGGTTGACAATAACCCAGCTTAAAGACGCCCAGAGCGTGAGGCAGATCTACGACCTGTTGCTGTTCTACTACGGCAACCTCGAGATCAGCATCTCGGAGAAAATCGGCCACATCACAGTCCGCTTGGACGACGACAATGGGAGCAAAAGTATCACGCAAAATCGACTGGTTTCAACGACGATCAACGACCTAAAGGTGGAGTCGAACACGAGCACATTTGCCCAGTTTCATGAGCGTGATGAAGCGAAGAGCAATGCTCACGGAGACGGCGACTACGGCATGATCGTGATGGACTATGTTGAGTCGGACGAGAAGTATCCTTACCAGCCGGGCCAGTGCATTCGAAAAGACATCGTCGCAGTGATTGAAGTGCGCGAATGCAAGGAAGCTGATGCTCGCAAGACTGTGGTGCTCACTAAATGGGTCCAGAACACGCTTCGCCGCCCAGACTTCCCAGTTGGGACCAAGGACTGGCACGAGCTTCGCGACCGCATGGACCTATTCGGCAAGACGATGCAACGCAGTCTGGCCGAGGACTTACATATCGGCCTTGGGCTGCCTGTCGGCGAGTAGTCGAGTGAAGCGACAGCTTAAGCGCGCAAATATGCTACGTGAACGCGACTACTAGTATAATAGTAATACAGATACCACCCAGAAACTGCAAACCGTATAAATTGATACCCTTGTGGAATCATGATATCAAGGGGCATCATCTCAGGAGGGAGCGCCCGTCACATTGAAGTACCGCCACTGTGTGGTCTACATATTCCATTTTCATTTGAATCATCCCGCCAAAAGCATGGCGCACTTTTTCCACAGACAAACTCAAGGCAGCACTGAGCAGAGGACCAGAAGTGATCTAAGGGCACCCAGAAGCGTACCAAGGGTGTGTGACTAACCATCCAGCAGAAGTGCGATGTTATTGAGGAGTATCAACCTCTCTCTTAGAAGTAAAAAGGATTCTTAGACGGAATTGGTTAGACAATCGTCAGACGTGAAAATTCGTATGATGTTGGATAGGATATTGATGACGTTGGATAGGATAGAGGTATCCCTTGACCGCTTTAGTTGCCGCAGTTGCCCTACAGTGCCAACTACGAAGTGCAACTAGCAGTGCGTAGTTGGCACTGAAGCGGTCGAGTTCTTGCCTCAGTACGCACACAGTCTCGCCGTTGTGTGGCCATTAATTGCAGCCAAACAAGTCGTTTCCACTACTATGCATTAAGACTTGGTTGTGAGCTTAGCCCTTCATGGTGAGTGCTCTACTGTAGCCCAGCTCAACTGTCCGCCCAATTGCTCCTACATGTATCGCTAAGTAGACTCAGCAAATGCGGCACTAACCGCGTAACGCATGCAGAGACGCATTGCTAGGCTTCGACAAGCTGCAGATCTGTCCCTACTTGAGCCCAACTACCTCATGTACTCTATTGCCTGGAATACAGTGGGGGCCCACTTGGGCCTCTCGAACTAACACACGCGCCAACAGTAGATTACCGGCGGTAAAATCCGTCGATTGTACAGTAGTTCAGGGCTTTTCAGGAATCTTTATAAACGCCTGTGATTACTTGGGAGAGTCTATTACATTTTGTGCACAGGCAACTCGAAGGCACCAGTCTTGCAGGCCTGCATGCGCACGGCCAAGTCGCTGTAAAGCGCCTGCACCTCTGCGCGCAACGTATCGTAAGCATTGTAATATCTCGTGGGCGGGTGGCGTGCCGCCAATCGCACGCTCTGTAATACTGCTACATTACTGTCCTTGTTACTTGAAAATGCTCTTGAACGCGAGGCGTGCCTTGTTGGGGTATGCAAGGCCGAGTAGGAACGCTTGAGCGCGCACAGGAAATTGGTTTGCTACCCATCATCGACAACTTGTCTAACGGATTTGGTGCGAAAGACGATTTGCTAGAGTAGCCACACAATTAATTAGGGAAGCGAATCAAGACTTTGGAAAATGGCAGACACGGCGTCTAGCGCAAATTCAGATGTGGCCCACATTGTCATACGAATTTTGGGGAATGAGCTTGGAGGAAATGGTGGTAGTAACGCACCTCAATCACTTATCTCCTTAGATTATATAATTTCCTGTAGGAACTTGGATGTACCACTCTTTGCAGTTTGTGGGTCGTATCTGTACCGTGTTCAACAGGTCAACTACATCCATCAAAAGAGAGACCTGTTTAACTTCCCGTCTCAAACTCAAAACCTCCGTTAAAACATAAAATGAAATCTGTTCACGAAAGTCTGTATCGGCATTCACAACAAAAATACATACAGGTACCTCACAGCATTGTGGCCAACACAAGTCTCTACTATCCATCTATACAGACCTTTCCAATTCCGGTATAACAAACAACAGGCTCATTGCAAGTGCCCCGTAATCACCGTCACGCGCGTCAGTCCTCAGTCGACAACTTGCCCTCAGTTGCTGCAATGAAGGCCGCTTCCTCCATGAACTCGCCGCGCACGGACGCGGACCTGTCATCGTCCTCGACGTCCGCCTCCCCACTACACCCCGAGCCCACGCATCGCAGCAATTGGCTCTCGTCCGGAGGAGGAGGAGAAGGATTTCTGCCGCTGCTGCGTGCGGCCAATGCGTGTGCTCCGATGACTGGGACACCGCACCACAACTACCTCCTGCCAGTCACAAACCTGGCGACTACTAAGCGTCAATGGCAGACGGAGAGCGGCCCAATTGCATCGAGGAACTGGGACTCACCACAGTGGGGGAATTCCCCCTTGGCGGTGGAGTCGACGGGGGTGGTCCGTCCGACGAAGAGGAGGGCGACTCAGCATGCACCAGAGAGCAGCAAGAGTGACGAGGATGGAGAGGAGGAGGAAGAGGTTGTCCAAGTGGTTAAACGAAAGAAGAAGCGAGGGTACCGCAAGGCGACGCATACGATCCGAAAGGTACAGTGGATTGTCTGTTTGCTTTTGAGGTGGATTATTGGTCGACTATTGACACCGCGCCTGTGTTTCTTGTACTTAGGAGGAGATTGATCATCTTCGAGCAGAGTTGGCTCAGCTGCAGACTCAGATGGCAGAGCTACAGCAGCGCGCGTTCGCGCCCGATCGGAATGACGAGAACGAGGCCGAGAGACGTCTGTACTCGAACATACTCCACAATGCTGTAAGGAAACACCAAGAGGCCTTTGTGGAGATCCAGGCGGCGATGACCGGCTACGCAGCATGTGTACGTTTGGTATCTTTGAAATTTACGAAATATCCGCACTGGTAGTGGGATTCTAACCACTATATCTTGGATCACTGCAGAACATTCAAGCTGGAAGTCCTATCCAGAGAACGCTCACCTTAGGCAAGGATGAGCTGTCAAGGAAACGAGCGCTGCGCTCGGTGAAGGCCTTGAAGTTGCAAGACGCTCGCGATTTTTTCAGCCGACGACTGTCCCACTTGAACCCGTTGAAGTCGATGTCCGAGGACTATCGATTTGAGAGCGACGAAGGAGACTACTGGGCTGTCCGGTTCGCGACCTCGCAGTTCGAGCCCGCTCAGAACGTCAAGCAAGTGTTCGACCTCGTCGTTTACTACCTGTGCAACATCGAGATCAGCGTCTCGGAGAAAATGGGCCACCTCACAGTTCGAGAAGACGACGACAACAGCGAAGAAGGCATCACGCAGAACCGCTTGGTGTCCTTGACCGGCAAGGGGCTTCACATGGAATCCAACACGGTCGTGTTCTCAGAATATTTTGGCGCGACTGGGCCGGATCAGCACGATGACTATGGGCTAATTGTTGCTGACTTTGTGGACGAGGACGAGAGGCACCCGTACAGACCGGCCGAGCGCATCCGCAAGGACGTCAACACGGTGATGGAGGTGCGTTCGTACACTCGGCGTTCTTCTCACAGCGGAGTTGATGAAAAGGTAGTCGTTCTGACGCGGTGGTCGCACTCCCGACTACGCCACCCAAACTTCTCCGTCCGCAAGGACGGGTGGTACGAGCTGCGTGAGAACATGGATCGCTGGAGCCAAAACATGCACAACACCATCATGGAGAGCTTGGACCCGAGCAACCATGGACCACCTACATGGGGCTAGACTAAAGGTTAGCAAATTATTAGTGTGGGTTTAACAGAGATCACCTGTCGAATAAAACACAAGGAGTTTATTTGGCAGATGAGTAAAACCCACACAAAACCCACAATAACCGTTATCTCAGACATTTCGCTATTTGTGTCTTGTAAGGGGCGTTCCAATGGTGTTCGGCTCATCGCGCGAGGAAATCCGGGACGACAGCTACTACAGGTCGCTGCTGCTGGGTCCGCGCGTGGCCCTCGTCGTGTCTCCGACGTCCGCTCCGCCCCCGCCTAGCAGCCTGGAGGATGGATCCGCGCACACGCTTCTGGCGCTAAAGACGTCGTTTAACGACCCAAACCCCACTTCCCCAACCACCCAAAACGGAGCAATCAATCGAAGACGCAAGCGTGAAAAACCCATCGACTCGGAGAACGACAGCGGCACAGCAGAGTCGGAGCCTCAAGAGACGGAGAGGAGAACAACCAAGAGGAAATACCGCAAAGCCACCCACACGTTGCGGAAGGAGGAGAAGGAGCGGCTGGAGAAGGAGCTGGACGCTCTTCATGCTCGGATGGAGGAGCTCAAGAAACAGGCCTTAGAGTCTTTTGGAACACCGGGGCAAAATGACAAGGACAGAGTCATTGCCTGCAAAGTGCTGCGGGATGCCGTGCAGACCCAGCAACTGGAGTTCGCCAATATCCAGGGCATCATGTCGGAGTATGCACTATGTGTACGTTTGTGATTTATTGATTACAGCCCATTTTTCCGCGGTTGCTAATTTTCTTTTTGTGAAATGAGGTAGACTATTGAAGCCGGGAGTCCACTACAGAGATATATCCATTTAAAAAGATATGAAACATTTCGACAAGAAACCTTGCTGGAGCTGAAGCCAATGAAGTTGGAAGATGCAGATCAGTTCTTGCGCCAGCGACGACCTAATGTGGATCCGTGCAAGCCGATGTGCGAAGATCGTCGCTATGAGCTGTCGAATGGAGACTTTTGTTCGACACGATTCACGACGATCCAGTTTCACGGCGTGGGTAGCGTCAGGCAAGTGTTCGACATGCTGGTCCAGTACTTTTGCAACATTGAGATTAGCATCTCAGAGAAGCTGGGACATATAACGATTCGTGAGGACGATGACAGGCGTCACTCAGAACCGACTGGTTTCTACGACCATTAACGGTTTGCTGATGGAGTCCAACACCGTGCTGTTCTCGCAGTTCTTCGAGCCTGGTAATGAACCCGGTCACGAGAGAGGGAGGGGGCTGATTGTTGCAGATTTTGTGGACGAAGACGAGAGGCATCCGTACAGACCCCATGCGCGCGTTCGGCGCGATATTAACGCCATTCTCGAGTTGACGTCGTACACACGCAAAGTTGCGGCTATCGGTGGCACATTCAGCGGGCAACAGAATGCCGGACAGGAAGGGAGCGTTGTCGTGCTGACTCGGTGGGTATTTTCACAGCTGCATCGACCCTCCTTCGCGGTATCGACGGGTAACTGGGAAGAAATACGCGATAACATGGATCGGTGGGGTGAAACAATGCACCGCACGATGGTAGAAAGCCTCACCCCCAATAACTAAACAGCGAATTTATTTCTGTTTACTGAAATATACGCGCTTCAATATTTTTCAAAGAGCTTATATAACCCATTTTGGGTTATTTGCATTGCACAATTTTGACCGATTGGGTAAAGTATTCCAATCAGCAACACATGACGGAGAGACAGGAACGCGGCGGCCCCAAGCGCCGCAGACCGTCATACCTCGTGCGACAGGATGAGGTGAAGAAGCTCAAGACGCAGCTGGTGGCGCTCCAGAAGAAGCTGACGCGGCTCCAGGCGCGTCCACGCAGCGCTCGAGCCCAGATCCTGGACGTCGCGCGCGCCAACAATTCCCTCCGAGATATCATACACGGTCAGCAGCTGGCGGTGGCCGGTGCGCGGTCCATGCTTGCTGGGATGCAGGTAATTTATTTTTGGGAATTTATTTTCTACTTTATTGAAGTAGTATTTTTCATGTGGGTTTTTCGAGCTGAAACGTGGGATTAATGTTCCGATGCCGACTGTACTAGGAGAGGCAGCCTAGCAGCCCGCTGTGCAGACACATCCACCTGCCCCGAGAGTGGTGGGAGCGACGCCAAGTTCTACTGGGACTCAAGAGCGATATGATCACGCGGGGGTGCCAGTACGTGGTAGCTCGCAGCCAGCACCTGGACCTGATGAAGCCGCAGCTCATGGACCACCGGTACGAAGACGCGCAGGGCAACTTCTGCTGCGAGCGGTTCGAGTTCTTCCACTTCACGGGCGTGGAGTCCATCCGGCAGGTGTTTGACGCCATCAAGTACTTCATGCTCAACATGGAGATCACCATCTCCGAGGCGCTCGGGCACACCACCGTTCGCGAAGACTACGACACGGTGGACGACGGAACGTCAATCTGGAACTATCGGCTGCTGTCGACAGATAGCCATGGGATCACGTCTGAGGTGAACAAAGTGGTGCTGACCGAGTACTTTGACGAGTCGGAGCAGATGGGCGGCAGACCCTGCGCTGTGGTGGTCACGGACAGTGTCGACTTGGACGAACTGTACCCGTACGATCCGCGAGAGAGGGTACGACGCGATATTAGCGCTACGACGGTGCTGACTGAAATGAGGCGCAAAAAGCAGAAGCGGTCGATGTCGACGGAGAGTGAGCAGAGTGGCGATAACGACGGAAGTAGTGGCGATGGTGGCACAAGACGTGGTGATGCGGAGGCTGATCGAGACGATAGTGAAGAGGAAATTGTGGTCGTGATGCAGCGAGCAGCGTTCATGAAGATGCACAAGCCCGACTTCGAGATCTCGAGAAGTGCGATGCGCTCCCTGAAGGAAGGCATAGCGAGCTGGGGGGAGGTCGAGGTGCAATCGATCCGAGGCGCCGTTAACGCATGATTGGCCTCGGCTACTAATCACGGTGGCTGCGTGCTCAAGCTCGTCTTGTGTGGAAATATTCAATCTTCCCGAACCAAGTTCGTAAAATAGTGATTTTATTCCAAAGTTTGTATACAAGAATAAGAATAGAAGTAGAGGGGCTCCCGATAATGAGCTTAATCGCATGTCAGTTTCAAGCCTCCTTATGGTACTAACCGACAAGAAACACCCATCAGATCGCTCGAGCACGCGCTCTGTAGACTGTTCGCAGTTCGAAGAACTGTGTTAGGCGGCCCCAGAAAAGTTTGACATCCTGCAACATTACGGACAGTGATTTTAAGTTGCTTGAGGTAGCCATGTTTGGTTACACTGGTGAAGGTGTCGATCTGAGGATCATACAAATTTCATCGAAGCGGCCCGAGTTAAGAATATAGATGCTGTACATTCTTGAATTATATTCCTACATTCCTTCAATTACAATAGGTTTTGAAGTCCGTTAATAAATATTTTGATGCTAGTAGATTTTTTATAGCGCCTGTGGTTCAGAAGTAGATGGTATGCTGAGTAGTAATAATAAACTAAAAGGCAACTCAATGCACTACTGTCCGACTCATGGCTAAGGCATTAAATGCAGTATCAGCCAACCGAACGGCACTCAAAGCATGCGAGATGTTCAAAACAAAATACTTGTACACTGGAAAGCCCAGTTAATCTAGATCTTTTATTATTATAATGTTGTTGTTGTCTGGTCCAGTGCCCCGCAAAAATGTCATTGAGATTCTTAGTGTTTTCTCAATTTTGCTTTGCCTATAGAATATAGTGAGATGCGCAGCACTTCACCGCCAATGGACTGAGAGGAACAAAGTTTGTTTCGAGGATGGAGGACCGGAACCCTTTGAAACAGCGATATTGTAGTGTGGTGGCTCGTCCCTCCTCTGAGGAACACGAGCAGGATCTGCGGAACAGCGTCCAGGTCGTGATCGACTTGACGGAGTAGCTGGTGTGGCACACCGAGCAGCAGTTGGTGACGAAGAGTGTGGGGACGGCGGCTAGTGGTGACGGAAGCGAGCCAGTGGGCTACCGTTACGTGCGACAGGAGGTAGCAGTTGAAGTTGACGGCTGCAGAAGATCGCAAGGCGAGGTGATCTGTGAACAGGACAGAGAACGAGTATGCAGAGAGGAGAGGTGACGCTGGAGAGCGAGTGTGAGGCCAGGAGGCCACGAGGAAAGAGATGAGGGCCCGAGAGGGAGAGGTCCAAGTAGGCTAGAAGGCGCCGAGTGGATAGGATAGGGTAGTTCGACGGGGGTTAGAAGTAAGTGGGGGCAACGAGCTGCGGTGTGGCAGCTCGACCCTCAGTTGCGATTTGTTGCTGGATAGTAACGAGTCAAGACTTGTAATACACTCAGTTGCGCCGAAACGCGGGTTCCTGTGACCTAGTACCAGGGAAGTGTCTTGCGACCAGGGAAGTGTCGGCTAGACACGGAGGTAAGTGGCATAAGGTATGCGATAGTGGCGGGCGGTACACAGATGGGGGCGATGCATTGAGTAGGGTAGCGGGACCACGGAGAGAAGCCGTGGGGGCGCGAGGTGCACTCCTGGCAGCACCTTGGCCGTGAAGGACAGCGCTTTCGAGTGCTTGGGCGTGCCCGAGTGACGTGACTGAGATGCTGTTCGACCTGTTTGCATGTCCGGTGGGGGTCGCCTGTGGCTTGCCGGAGCCCAGGTCGATTGCATTTGCCCTCCCAGCCGTCCCTATCCCCGACACGCCTGGTGAAGGGGTCAGTACCTGTCTGGTTGATCATCGTACTGCCTCGTACCTGCTGGCAGTCGGCGCTATACTGGCCTACCTAGGCGTGGACGCGACGACAACAACGGTGTAAGTTCGTAAGGGTGGACGCGTGCAATACTATGGGCGACCGGGCTAGACGGGACCTGGTTACCTGTGGTAGACGCGGAACTGTGGTGTAGCGGGATCGGCCAAAATCTGGTTAAGGCCTGATCAAGCTTCCCACCAGCGCCCAGACACCGACTAACGGAGGGGGTCCCCCAACGATCCGTGATCGGCTGAACTTGTTCTCACCTTGTGTACCCGTCGGCGGGCTGGATCTGCTCTCTCGGGGCTCCGAAGATTCAGTGCTTGGTGAAGATCGAGTGTCTTGGCGTGACGCGGGGATAGTTTGTGGAGCAGCGCGGTAGTCTTCGCTCTGCGTCCGAGTATACGCTCCGATCGAGGGTTGTTCGCTGCGATCGGTCGGCCTGGAGTTGATCCAAGGCCTGTGGTTGCCTTTCCGGGTGTGTTCCTTCCTTTCCTGAGTTGCTTGCCGCTTCCTATAGCGAGATCGAGGTTGATCGAGAGGTGAAACGATCGCCGGCGAAGCACCAATACCCGGTCGATCGAGGACTTGCACACAAGAGATAGATCACTAAAGTAGGTCAAGCTGGCCAATGTATTAATCCAGTCTTAACCGTACCGCTAGTTCACTACCCAAAGTGTCGACGCTGCCGAGGCCAATGTAGTTCCTGGGACTTGGTGACTTGATGGGACTTGTGGTCTTCGGTGCAAATTCTGCTCCGATTTATGTTTAGCTGGTCTCTCCCTAATGCTACCATCTTGCTTACCCTCCTACAACCACACAATTACTGGATTCTTGCCCCGACTTCGTCCTCCATGTGCGTCCCATCCTGGTCGATCCACGATCGGCCCCGATCGGCGACCCACGATCGGCTCCCGATCCATGATCGACCCCGATCGGCGATCCGCGGTCGATCTCGATCGGCGATCCACTCCCGATCCGGTTGCCATGTGCCGCCGATCTATCACCTTCTGTCCTCGGCCATCTCGGATCCGCGGGTTCTGTCGTTGATCTGGACTTGGGTCGGCCACGAATCACGCCGCGGTTCGGGCACGATCACCCACAATCCGGCTTGCCACATGTCCTGCCTTACGCGCCGGCGTCATCGGACCACCTGAGATCTCCCGAAGAACCCCTTCTGATCCGTAGATCCTTGATGCCTGTCTCTCGATCGCCGATCTCCCACGCCTCCAGTCGATCGGCCCTGCCGCCTTTCTCGGAGAACAATTCTTATTCAGCACTTCTCCACAGAACACTACGGGCGGTCGGGCTGGACGGGACCTGGCTACCTGTAGTAAGGGACGACCGGGCTGGGGATAGACCCGGGAGCTTCCTACATGGTGGTCATAAACAGAGGCTCTCTGGGCTTGTCAAAAGGAGTTGACATGCGAGCTGAGCTTTCCGTGGGCAAACCCCGCAGCGTGAAAGAGAATTGGAAGAGACAGAGGATTAGATGAGATGAGCGTGAGGAATGGGGAACTGACTGAGATGATTGTGATTAATTGTGTTAGAGCTAAGAGAATGGCTACGAACGTGGTGGCATGTGACGAACGAGCGCAGCGACGCGCTGCATCTGCGGAGCGAGTGGCTGCGGAAGCAGCGAGAAGAGCGAAGGAGACGACGGAGGTGACTGTGGACACCGGCGACAGCGGCACGCCGACACTGGAATCCTCGGTAATCACCAGCACGTCGGGCGACACGCCGCTGGGATCGGCGAGTGACGGACGCGGAGGTGGCCGTGGTCGGCCCGGACGAGACGATGGAGCTGGCAGTGGTCGTGAGCCGGCCGGGGGCAACGACGGCGAACGGTCCACCAGCGGCAGCAGTGGCAACGTGGCTAGAAGCAACTTGACTGGAGGCGGCACGACGCCGACAGCGGGAGACGGAGGTCGACGTGGCGGCGGACACGGCGATGACGGACACGGTGATGACGAAAACGGGGGTGACGGCGGTCACGGTGAGCGGGTTGGTCAACGTGAGGCGGCCACCAGCTTCTCCGGCGGCTACGTCGACTTGACGGGAACTGGAGGTGGCGGCGGACACGGTGGCGCTGGTCCTGGGCGCGCATCGACCCCACCACCGACACTTGGAGCAGCGAGAATGAGAGCGGCGGCGGCACCCATCGTCGTCCGTGAGAAGGCGAAAGCACTGAAGTTGACGAAATTCAAGGGGCTTGACGACACGATGCCCGTGAGCATGTGGCTCAAGACGGTGCGTCAAGAGGTGCGTCGGCAGGCGGTCACCATGGACGTCGAGTGGAACGAGAATCAGCTGTACCACGAAGTCGCGTCGCACTTGGAGGGCGAGGCGAAGCGCTGGTTCTCGATCGTGATGGAGTCGGTGCAGCCGGAAGAAGAAAGCATCAACACGCTAGCAGCGATGCTACGCGCGAAGTACATGACGCAGCGGTCAGGCCCCGAGGTGGTCGACTTGCTGAACGCGCGTCGGCAAATGAGAGGAGAGCGGCTCGTTGACTACGCGCAGGCGCTGCGTGAGATCGCCGAGCGTGGCGAGATCGGCGACGATTGGCAGGTCAGCGCGTTCTTGAAAGGCATGAGCAGCACGGAGGGGGCGACGCATGTGCGCGGACACCGGCCGAAGACGCTGGACGAAGCACTGAGTGTGGCGATTCCCCAGGTCGGAGACTACGGCGAAGGATACGGGATCAGACTGGAGGAGGCGATGGCCGCGTGGGACGCGCGCGAGGCCACGAGCGGGCACGGGCCCTTGGCGGCGGCGAAGGCACGCGGCGGAAGAGAGCAGTCGGCAGTTGGCGGCAACTCGTGGAATGTGGTCTCGGGGTACGGGCCCGGCTGGGGTGCCGCTCCGAAGCCACCACGGTACGATACTGAGGGGAGACCGGTGGATACCGGTAAAGCCGGTGCGGGTGAGTGGTGGAAGGCCATCCCACCTGGTTTTCAACTGGTACCGGCCGGTACTTCAAGTGGTACCACTGGCGGTTCAAAATTTCAAACCAGTGGCGGTGTTGAGAGCGGCAAGCGGCAAGCGAGCGACCAGAACACGAAGAGACCGGCTAAGACCTTAAAGGTCGAGAGTAAGTACGGAGGAGGAGCGCAGAGATCGGGTAGCGGCCCGAGCAATCCGGCGCTGGCCACTCGAGAAGGACGACTGCGCAACCATGAGCGCTACATGGCAAGCAGGGCGCCACAGCGAGCGTTTGTGCCGAGAGAGGGCACAGAGTGCTATTACTGCGGCTTCGCGGGGCACTTCGCGCGCAACTGCACGCTGAAGCAAGCTGATTTAGCGGCTGGGGGCGCGACGGTAGGAGGCAGAGAACGACGGGAACGGGTCGGGAAACGGTCCGCGAGCATAAGATCCCCGGTCTTATCGCTCGCAAGACCTGATCCGGGTAAGAAGTTGGCAGCAGGACGAGGGCAGGCCAGCGGGCAGCAGCAACGGCTCCCGCGTGGCGCTGCGAGGACGAGTGCAACGGCGATCAGAAGCCGGAGCAGCGGAGTGAAGAAAGTGGCGGCCGGAGCGGCGAGGAAGCAAGTCCGGCACGGCGTGGTTGAGACTGGGGATGGCGGTGTGCTGCGTGCGCGGCATGCTGCTGGTGGACGGGCGGTTCTGCAGTCTGGGGATGGCGCGACACATACAGTGCCCGTGGCCGTCACAGCGGCGGATAAGAAGGAGTTGACGAGCACGGGTGCGAAGCCGTGTGTGGTGACGGAGACAAAGCACGTGCGGTTCGCGGTGGCCGAGGACGGCGCCGAGGAAGAGTTCGTCAGCGAGGAGCAGACACCGATGGCGAAGACGGCCAAGGACAAGGTCGAGAAGGTGGTGGACGTGGGCGACGTGGGCGACACGGGCGCGGGCAACATGAAGCGCGCCGTGGTCGACTTGGCGTGCGCGAGCGTCAGGAAGTCGAAGGAGGAGCTGGAGGCTGCGGTGTCCAAGCAGCTGGACGAGTGGCTGGAGCAGTTCGGCGCGGACGGCACGATGGTCGATGTGGCGAACACCGACAACGCGGTGACGAACGGCATAGGGGGTGACGACGGCTCGCCCGAGTCGGTGCAGAAGGTGATGACGGCAGAAGTGCGGCGACAAGACGTTATCAAGGCCAAGGTGCTGCGTGTGAAGGCGGCTGAAGTGATGCAGAGAGCTGTGCGTGCCGACGAGGAGGCACGGCACCTGCAGAAGCGACGGAAGCGGAAGGAGCACGAGCGCGAGCGGCGTGAGCGACGTGCTGCACGTGGGCAACTCGACGGTGGAAACAGGCGACGGCGCGAGGCTGTGGTGATGTGGCGATTCGATGGCCCGCGGGGAGCAGCCCGTGCCCCAGTTTGTGGCAATGGCAGCGGACACCGAGGTGACGGCGAAGAGCGACGGAGCTCGTCCGCGTGTCGGAGGACCAGACGGGTATGAGAAGTTGGTGCGCAAGGCGAGGGCGCGTGAGGACCGGAAGCTGCGCAAGTGGCTAGCGACGCAGTCGTACCCGGACGAGACGTACATGGCGTTCGTGGACACGAAGCGGCGGCACAGCAAGGGCGGGCCACGACTGTTGAGTATCGAAGAGGCGACGGCGATCGGATTCACGCCGCCGAAGGCAACGACGGTGGTGACGAGGGTGACGCGGCGAAGGATGCCGAAGAGAAGCTACCAGTACGAGAGTGGCAGCGTTTACGCGGCCCCGAGCGTCGTGTGGACGGAGGACGGTGCGAGACCAGCACGAGTTGGACGACTACGAGCTGTGCAGGCCCCGGCGGTGGACTCACTGCCAACGGCCAAGATCGAGATTGGAGACGAGTGGCGGAAATCAAGTTGGACACCGGCGCGCAGTTCTGCGTGGCCGGCGAGTCGTGGAAGGAGTACGGCGAGCGGCTCGGCACGCTGCCACCCGTAGACTTCGTCGAAGGATTCACGGGTGCAGTGGCCAAGGTCGAAGGAGTGTGGCGGTTCAGATTCAGGACGCAGTACGGGCAGTGTTGGTGGACGCGCTGGTGGTCGAAGGCGCGGCCGAGGAGTTCTTGCTCGGCGAGGATTGGATGCTGACGAACGGAGTCAAGATTGACTTCACGTCCTGTGAGATGAAATGGTATGACGGAGTCGACAAGAAGGTCGTGCCGTTCAGCTGCACGGCGGAGAGCGAAAGCGAGGGGAGAGCAGTAAAGGTCCGTCTGGTGCGGAAGGAGCGAGTGCAGACGCGGACGTGCCGTCGTGTGGAGCTGGCAGTGGCAGCACCTGAGGGCACTGTGGGTTTGTTCACGCCCGCCCTCGGTGTAGAGCCGCACCTGTTGCTAGCACCCACATTGACAACAGCTAAGTGGTCGTTCCGATCATGAACTTGATAGGGCGTACCTCGAAGTTACCGTCTCGCGAGAAGCTGGGAACTTCGGCTCCGACAACTGAGGACATGCAGACCATGGAAGTGACCGGGGATTCGACAGAGAGCGCGTGAAGCAGTGACGGCAGGAGAACCTACACGACGAGAACGCACCTCTGAGCAATGAAGACGAGCTGAAAGTCGGAGACATGGACAAGGAGGACAGGGAGTTGTTATTGCGGATGTTAAGACACTACCCTAGCCACGTGAGGGGTGTCCACCTCAGACTACGCTGGGTGTGAGTCACCAGATTCACACGGGGAGTGAGCCACCGATCAAAGTGCGGCCGCGACGGCACTCGCACTCGGAGCAGGCGGTCATTGACGAACAGACGGACAAGATATTGGCGGACGGAGTGATCGAGGAGGCCAATGGGGCCTGGGGTTTTCCTGTCGTGTTAGTGCGCAAGAAGGACGGCTCGGTCAGATTTTGTATCGATTATCGCCTCCTAAATGCTATCACTAAGAAGAACGTGTACCCCTTACCTCGAATCGACGACACATTGGACAATTTGCATGGAGCGAGGCGTTTCACCAGCCTCGACTTGCACGCGGGGTACTGGCAGGTGCCTGTTGCAGAGAAGGATCGTGATAAGACCGGGTTCATCACAAGGAAGGGGTTGTTTCGGTTCGTCAGGATGCCGTTCGGGTTAGCGAACGCACCTGGCACATTTCAACGGATGATGGACGCTGTATTACGGGGGCTTACGTGGAAGAGCTGTCTAGTCTACCTAGACGATGTCATTGTGTTCTCGAGGGGCAGCGTAGCGCAGCTGGCAGCGGTGATGGAGCGGCTGGCGAGGGCAGGCTTGTCGTTGAAGGCGAGCAAGTGCTCGTTTGCATCGAAGAAGTTGAATTATCTTGGACACGAGTTGGACGGCGCTGAAGTGCGCCCGATGCCAAGTTTGGTCGAGAGCGTGAAGAACTTCCCCCCCCCCCGGATGCGACGGAGGTGAAGAGGTTCGTTCACATGGCCGGATACTACAGACGGTTCGTGCCGGAGTTCGCTGCGAAGGCGGCTCCGATGACTAAGTTGTTACGAAAGGGAGTGGTCTGGCGCTGGGGAGAGTCTCAGCAGGCTGCTTTCGAGTGTTTGAAGAAGGCGTTGACGGAGAGGCCGCTTTTGGCTTATCCTGACTTTACGAAGCCGTTCAGATTGGTGACGGATGCGTCACAGGTGGGGCTCGGTGCCGCTCTTACCCAGGACCAGCGGCAAGGCGAGCAGCCGATTACCTATGCATCACGAATCAACTCGCCTACTGTGGCAAAGTACAGCATTGCGGAGTTAGAATGCGCAGCCGTGGTGTGGGCTGTAAAACTTTTCAGACCGTACCTCTATGGACGAAAGTTCGTGTTGATGACGGATCATGCAGCCTTGAAGTGGCTGATGACGTCGAAGGAGTTGACGGGGCGGTTGCATCGCTCGGCTTTACAGCTCCAGGAGTACGATTTCGAAGTAGTGTATCACCCGGGCGCTGGCAACGTCGTGGCGGACGCGTTGTCCAGGGCACCGGCGCAGCTGCTGGGCGAGGAGAAGTCGAGCAGCGGCGGCAAGGACGAGGAGAAGTCGAGCAACGAGACGAAGGACGATAAACAGCAGGTAGTGACGGCCAGCTGACGAACCAGATGATCAAGGACGAACAAGCACGGGATCGCACCGTGCAGAACTTGGTACAGAAGGGAAAGTACCGCGACAGAGAGATCGTGGTCGAGTACGGAGTGGTGCGCATCGTGGAGCGTGACGGCAGCAAGCGGGTGGTGCTCCCCACCGCGCTGTGGGCAAGTGCTCTTCGTGAGAGCCATGATTCGATCTACGCGTGTCATCTGAGGACACCACAGACGTATGCACGTGTTGCTAGGAGTTACTGGTGGCCGGATATGCAGGTGCATGTCCGCCGGTGGGTACAGGCGTGCAGAGATTGCGGCACGCGGAAGGCGAAGGCCAAGGAAGTGATTCCGCCGTTGAGGAGTCAGGGCGTTGGTAGTCCAGGTGATAGGTGGGTTCTAGATGTTGCGGGGCCTTTGCCCGTGACGGCAGGCGAAAATCGGTACGTGGTGGCGGCCGTGGACTACGCGACCAGGTACACGGTGGCGGCAGCAGTTCCGCGCCACACGGCGCCGGATATCGCGAAGTTCGTCATGGAGAAGTTGGTCCTAGTGTTTGGGCCGATGCGTGAGTTGGTGTTGGACGGAGCGCCGGAGTTGAGCGGCAAGGTGGTCGAGGCGTTGACGGACCTGTTGCAGGCCAGGCAGATCTCGCCTGTGCCGTACAGGCCAGCGTTACTCGGTCTGGTAGAACGATTCCACCGGAGTTGGAAGGACATGGTGTCCATCTTTGTGGCGGAAGCGCAGAACGACTGGGCCAGATGGCTCCGCTGCGCAGTGTATGCATACAACGGGGCACGACACACGGCGACGGGAATTAACCCGACCGAGTTGATGATGGGTAGGCAGCTGAGGACGCCGAACGATCTCTTGCGCACGGCGGGCGTGACGCAGCTCGGCGAGTTTGCAGCGGACCATCGCGCACTGGTGCAGCAGATGGCACGGTGTGCAGCGGCAGCGAAGGCGGTACTGGCGAAGGACCAGCTGCACCGAGCAAAGTATTACAATAGACGGCAGAGATCGACGACGGAGTTCGGCGTCGGAGATTTGGTGTGGGTGCTCAGACCAGGGCATTACCAAGCTTGCCCACCAGTGGGTCGGCCCAGCACGCATCGTAGAGGACGCAGGCTTTGACAATTGGCGCGTGGTGCGCAAGGACACGGGTGAGCACCTCATGGTGCATTGTAGATTTCTGGTGACGAGTCGGTGTCCAAGCGACTCGCTCGGACACGTGGCGGATCGGATCCTGAGGGAGCTGGCCGAGGACGAGGATAGCGCAGCGACGGAAACGAGATCAGGCGGTGGAGATGGCGCCCAGAGCAGACAACACGACGGTAGTGGCATGCGGATGCAGGACGAGGCTAGCGACAACGGCCAGACGGACATGCAGTCGGTGGGCGTCGGAACGGAGACGCAGGCGGAGACCAGTGAGCAACGGCAGAGCGCTGGAAGTGCAGCAGCACCGGCAATGAGTCAGCGTACCGCTGGGTCAGTACCAACGGCGACGGGTCAGAGAGTTGACGCGGGGTCGGCGCCAGCAACGGCTTCGACGGGAGCTCGTACTCCAGGAATAGCAGGACGAGATGCTGTTGAGGCAGCAAGGCCAGCGACAAGGAGGGACGCAGCGCCAGACGCAGTGGCTTCGCCACAAAAGAAGCGGCGTCGGAAGAGGAAGGTGTCGGTGGACGAAAGACCAAGGGAGGCGATGAGCAGCCACCAGTACAGCATACCGGTACTCCAACATGGTGATACAGTACGATATTTGGGATATTATATCGGGACGGGCCCAATGACGGATTACAATTGGGCGGTTCGCATCAGGAATATACGGCGCAGGTTGGTGACGGCAGCACAACTGGCAACGAGCGTTGAAATGCGGGTGACGCTGTTGAACGTTATCATGATGCCGGCAATTTTATTTACAGCAGCAGTGTATGACCTGCCACACTGGGCGGATCGCGAAATACGGAATCTTCAGAAACAGTTTCTCTGGAGACACTCCACTAGCTCAGACCCCAGCCGACACAAAGTAAGCCCAGCCTTACTTTATACGCCAAAGCAAGCCGGGGGTATTGGGCTGGTCTCGGTGGGCGTGGCTATCAAAACTCAGCGGATGAAACATGCACTTTTGTGGCTCACCCAACGACTGGATATTTACTATGGGGCGTGGCGATCATGGGCATTCTGAGGGGATGACACTGAAGTGGGGTCAATCTCTCCACAGCTTCTGCTGCTGCAGCACAACAGAGGATTGGTCCTTTCAGGGAGGAGGCTGCGATCGGTGATAGGTGGAGGGCTCGCACCCGACTCGGCCACCGAACTGAAAATGCAGGTTTATCGCGAAAGCCACATGGCCGCGCTGTTGAGTGAAATGGCGTGTTGGCGGGATGGCAACACACTCGAAATCAGTTTGAATTCGCCAATACCCGAGCAGGCGTCGACTTGGCGGGAGGTAGACAAGAGGTTTTGGCCTACGTTCTTGTGGAGTGACAATCCTTGGCTACGGGAAGTAGGGGGAGCTGTTCTTACAAGCAAGAAATATCATCGGATCCGAGTGTGCGCGTTAGCCGAGCTACACATTCAGCGAACTGGAGTAGCATCATACTCCATCGCAATCCCGTCTCCAGTACAGGAAACCAAGCACCACACCCGACCAAAGCTGGGCCGATGGGGATTGGCGGTTCTTCTTGGATCACCACCACTGGCGATTGTGGAGGAGATGCGGGTCAAGCGGGAGCTGAATCTACGACATCAACCGGAGTTACAACATCAATATTTCTGGACAGTGAATGCACAAGGAGCAGTTAGTGGAGTCGTTCTCGATGACCAGCGACGGAAAGTCGCTTCCCTTCGGCTGCACCAGCACGAAGATGGTATTCATTGGGAACTCAGAGCCACCATTCCCTACCACACAGCTTAGCTGCTGACATCACGAAGCTCGAGAATACGCAGCGGAGAGGTGGGTTGGTCATGCAGGCACACCCGGGGATACACAGATACCCGTGGGAGGTTCCAGACACGATTGCGAACAGAGATATCGTCCAGGCGCTGAAGCAACAACCATACCGCCGCTACAAAGGGGGAGAAGACAAAGCCGCCTTAAGCCGAGTCATTCACCGCCTCGACGAACGGGCAACACGAAATCGATGGCAAAATCACGTTATGCAACAGACACCGAAAGAACTCTGGTCACACGGCAATATGCTGTCGGAGTATCAGGTATGGGTTGCATACAGGCTGGCAACATGCCAGTTAAGCCTGTATTTTGATGGAAGACAGCAGAACAATAGCTGTCGCAAACTCGATCGATGCCAAGGACAAAAGGAGACGTTAGAGCACATATTCTGGCAATGTCCATGTGCCCAAGCGTGCTGGCAGGAAGTAGCACAGCGATGGACAGGTCAGGTGCAGAGTCCGGAGCGGGTGCGGATGTTCGAGAGCTATTGTGCGTCACGATCGGCACCTCCAATTTCTCAACGCATTCGAACCAGGTTAGCCACCGTCTTCGAAGGTGAATCGGAGGCATACGAAGGCGAGTGGAAGCGTTTGTGGCGAATCCTGTGCACGATCTGCGTAACGTCACTTTGGATACAGCGAAACCGAGTAGTCCACCAAGGTGGACGAGTTTCACAAGAAAGCAGCGTAAGCGAATTCAGGCAAGCAGCAGGGCGACACTTACGAGCGCTGGCTAAACGAGAGCGGAGGAAACCGCACACAATGGTCCAGGGCACATGGCTACTGCTCTGCCTAGATATGTATGACTGCCCCCTACATGAGACACCACAGCAAGTGGTGAGCCACGTAAGGCCACCGGGCTCTTTGAAGACACCGGCGCTGATATCCTGGCTTAGGGCTTACCAGACATCTTGCACTTAAGTAACATTAAGTTAATAGAATAGTCTGACCCTCTCTCTATCTGTTGTCATGTCTGCTGATGAAGTCGCCTAGATGTTTGGAGTACCGAAGCCGTTGTAAAAGAGAGTTGAACTTGGTTTGATCTTCGGAGTTTGATAGTCTTAGGAGGCGCCGATTGTTGGAGCTGAATGTGCTGTAAATGGTTGATATTGTAGGAAGCTCCCGGGTCTATCCCCAGCCCGGTCGTCCCTTACTACAGGTAGCCAGGTCCCGTCCAGCCCGACCACCCGTAGTGTTCCACGTCTACCACAGGTAACCAGGTCCCGTCTAGCCCGGTCGCCCATAGTATTGCACGCGTCCACCCTTACGAACTTACACCGTTTTTGTCGTCGCGTCCACGCCTAGGTAGGCCAGTATAGCGCCGACTGCCAGCAGGTACGAGGCAGTACGATGATCAACCAGACAGGCACTGACCCCTTCACCAGGCGTGTCGGGGATAGGGACGGCTGGGAGGGGAAATGCAATCGACCTGGGCTCCGGCAAGCCACAGGCGACCCCCACCGGACATGCAAACAGGTCGAACAGCATCTCAGTCACGTCACTCGGGCACGCCCAAGCACTCGAAAGCGCTGTCCTTCACGGCCAAGGTGCTGCCAGGAGTGCACCTCGCGCCCCCACGGCTTCTCTCCGTGGTCCCGCCACCCTACTCAATGCATCGCCCCCATCTGTGTACCGCCCGCCACTATCGCATACCTTATGCCACTTACTCCCGTGTCTAGCCGACACTTCCCTGGTCGCAAGACACTTCCCTGGTACTAGGTCACAGGAACCCGCGTTTCGGCGCAACTGAGTGTATTACAAGTCTTGACTCGTTACTATCCAGCAACAAATCGCAACTGAGGGTCGAGCTGCCACACCGCAGCTCGTTGCCCCCACTTACTTCTCACCCCCGTCGAACTACCCTATCCTATCCACTCGGCGCCTTCTAGCCTACTTGGACCTCTCCCTCTCGGACCCTCATCTCTTTCCTCGTGGCCTCCTGGCCTCACACTCGCTCTCCAGCGTCACCTCTCCTCTCTGCATACTCGTTCTCTGTCCTGTTCACAGATCACCTCGCCTTGCGATCTTCTGCAGCCGTCAACTTCAACTGCTACCTCCTGTCGCACGTAACGGTAGCCCACTGGCTCGCTTCCGTCACCACTAGCCGCCGTCCCCACACTCTTCGTCACCAACTGCTGCTCGGTGTGCCACACCAGCTACTCCGTCAAGTCGATCACGACCTGGACGCTGTTCCGCAGATCCTGCTCGTGTTCCTCAGAGGAGGGACGAGCCACCACACTACACGCCATCCCCGGCTCCAAGATCGCCCTCGATCTTGCGGGCTTCGAGCAGCTCCTCGAACTCCGCTGCTGATAGCCACCTCCGTGCCGATGGTCCTCCACGCCGAACTCCATACTGCACCTCATGCTCCATCTCATACCTGCCGGTACGATTCCGCACTCGTCGTCGCGCAATCTCCACGATGTACCCAGCAGTGGGCACCTGCAACAGTTCGGGCATGGGCGCTGCTCGCCGAGGCCGACCTCTGCCCCGTAGCATCTCCACCGCTGCTCCGTTGCCGTCACCACCGCCCCGGTCTGCCTCTCCGTCTTCATTACCTTCGTCTCGCTGCTGGTGCGCACGCACTTCTCGTGCGCGTCCTTGCCCGTGTTCGTCACCGCCACCGGCTTCCTGACCGCCGTGAAGCCCACGATCACCGTCTGCACCAGTCTGCGCTGCTGCTGCCGCTTCCTGCTCGTCACGCACAACCTGCCGACGTGACGCACGGCATCCGCTTCTTGCCGTCGCTGCTGCTGCGGAATTCCTCGAGGCTAATGTCCGTGTTTAGAAATATAAGCCTGCTCTTTGTGGGCTGGAGAGAGGTCCCCGAATCTTTTGACGATCTGCATCACTCTGGGGATGTATCGAGCCTGGTTGACGAATACGGTCGAATCGTCGACGAATGCCGAAAACTTATGCACTGCGCCGGCTGTACCGGGTACTTGTAAGCCCTGGACGATCGTATCTTGAGCTATCGCTATCGCCAAGATTTCTGCAACCAGTAGAAATAACAAAGGTGCGAGTGGACACCCTTGCCGGATGCCAGACCGCACTGTCGTTGGATCTGATAGTTCCCCATTGACAAGGAATTGCGCCGTTGTATCCTGATGCATTTTCCTTAGTACCTCCACAAATGCTGGCGAAAATCCAAACCGCAGCAATACAAGGAAGAGAAACTCTCGCACAACTGTGTCATAGGCTTTTCGGAAGTCAAGTAACAGAATTGATCTACTCAGCTCTGCTGCCAAGTCCGGTTCACCTTTCGCAGTCGCTACAATCGCCATCATCATCATAACTGTTTTCATCATCTGGCGTCCGTGGACAAACCCTTGTTGCGTCTCTCCAATTACTTTTCCCAAGATTCGCTGCACTCTCTTCGCCATTACTTTTGCTAAGATATTGTAACCGGTTTGCAACAGCAAAATTGGTCGGTAGTCCATTGCGTCTCCCGAATCACCTTTCTTTCTCAGGGGAATGATCACACCCTCGAGAAAAAAAGCCGGTGGGTCCCCACCACGAAGCAGCTCGTTGCCAATTGTCACCATCGCCGGGTCCAGCACCGCTTGTGCATCTTTGAAAAAGTCGTTAAGTCCGTCGGCTCCGGCCGCCTTGTGTCGATTAAGTGCTGATATCGCTGCTATGACTTCATCGAGAGAAATATCACTCATTAGCATCGTGTTGTCGTCATCTGTCAGTTTCCGTTCAGGTGGAATCGAAACGAAGTCGTCTAATTCCTGATCCAGTGTTGTGCCTGGTACCGTTCCGTGACACTTGCTGAGAATTGGCTTCCACTCTGATGCAAATTTGTCCGCTACAGTCATGTTGCGCCCGAACTCCTCGCCGTTGATCCTATTGATTCCCGTCACATGCTGATCACGCTCCCAGTCTGAAACCCGTTTGAATTGCCATCTAAGTCGTTCCGTGGTTCGTTCTAGCTGTTGACCGATTCGCATCATCCTCTCCTCCCTGAGTTCCTCCACACTGGCTACAATCAGATCCCGTCGGCTGCTGAGGTGCTGTCTCGCTTGTGAGCGAATCTTTGCTCCGTAGCGCTTTCGTCGTTGATTCACCCGTTTCCGCACCTTCTGGATGCATTGGACACATTTGCGTGCCTCAGCATCCCACGTCGCTGCGGTAGTGCTTTTGCCGACTTCCTCCATAATAAGCTCGTTCATAAGCTCATCTATGACCCGGTAGGGCTGGGACGAACGTATTGGGTACGTTACCCGTCGACTAGTCCGGCATGGAGACGGTGTTTTACCGTGAGCCATGTGTAATCGCACGGTCTGATGATCGGAGTGAAGCGGCGGCTCTGCTACCGATAGCCATTGAACTGCAGCCGTACAGGTACTAGGCACGTAGAATCGGTCGATTCGACTGGCCGCGTGATAGCTCCAGAATGTGTAAAACTCGATTGGTTCCGGTGGTTCTTCGTCATCAACATGCCCGGTTAGAATTTGCGCGTCTTCCAGTGCTAGCTGACGTTGCAGTTCCTGTAGCGCTGCACTTTCCGGTCTTCCCGTCTTTCGTTTGCCGAGTCTATCGAGATGAGGGTTTTGCACGCTGTTAAAATCCCCAGCGAGAACAACGTTGCTGCCTCCCCATGGCCAGCTCTGTAGACCAGTGAAAAATGCCTCTCGTTCGTTTGCTTCATTCGGTGCATACACATTGATCAGTACCAACTCGTCCAGTTGCACGGCCATTGCACGTTCCGACCACAGTTCCGGATGCCACGGAGCCGGCAGACATGACAACAGATTCAAGTTCGGCATGTACAACTACACTTAATATCCCGCTCTGGTGTGGTGTTCCGCACTGTTGTCGAGTAATTAGCACCCTAGTTCACATAAATTGAGAAGTCAGATAAATCGGTAATCGAACACATCTTCTTCTTGGTGGTTTCTCAATTTGAGAAAGAACAGCGTTTGTTGGTGCTGAGCGAAACGTTTTTGAAAAAAAACGCATACTAGTAGTGAAATTTGAGATTTGTGACTTCGCATTTTGCCAGTTACTCGAAGTCACCTCGTAATTGTTGTTGACCTGAGTACTCCCCGGGAGCAAGTGCTCCTACTCCATGCTAAAATATTTCAGGTTCACGCGGTTACTTGTTCTGGAGTTGATCAAGTCAGTACAGAGAGCTAGCCCTCCTGGTACCTGTCCCCGAGACACAACTTTACGCTAGCCAACGTGTAGCTCCATTCAGGAGCTTTGCAGACGTACGAGCGCGCGACTGCTTCCCGTTTTGTTTTTTTGTTTTCTTCGTGGCAACATCCAAATTCATTTTTTAACCCTAAGATACGGCGACGAACGCTTGCTCGGTGCAAGCCTCCTCCTTCCATGAACAACAATACCTGTTTTCTTCTTTTCGTTGCTTCTAATCATTGGTCAATGAGAACTGCGAATTTCCGGGCCTCATGGCCCGGGTTTAATTTGTAGAGTGCTGCAATGCAACGAGTGCTTCAAGGAAGCATCTCTTGCGAATCTTGTCATCCAGAACGGCGTTATGGACAATCCTATGCGCCCGTCTGGAGAACACCTTAGAAGAAATGTTTATCTAATTATGTACTGTACGCTCGCATTCATGACAGTGATAATTCTACCGTTCAGTTACTCTGTTGATCCTGTAATGCACTGGGTAGGTATCAAGACTCTTACTTTGAGTGGATCGGTTTGCTGGATATTGCAAGGGCTACCTACAAACATGATGTGACGAGTAATGGCCAAGCCATTATTTAATCATTTTGGCTACGGTCTGCATGAGCGGTTGCAAATGACAGTTTATCCACGAGGATGGTTTGTTCTGTATTTTGAGAAAGATCCACTACAGCGATATGCAAAATAAATGGAATCCACTAAGTGTACACTGCATGGAATTTCTTTTTAAGTAAGATGTCTTAGATTTCACGAAATTTCGGTACAACGGTTTGGTCATTTTAAATTAAGTACCATTATTATACATTTTACAATCATTATTTTACTTCAAAAAGGGATGCCCCTAAAAACAAAAACAAAAACTGGCATTCGCAATAAGCTTACGATATTAAAAAAGAGAGGGTTTGCGGCAGACGTAGCGGTCATCATTGTTATATTCTGTCGTCGTTTGCTATATCATTTTGAGCTGACCCACGGTTGAAGTTTAGAAAATTCCATTAAGTGTGTTGCGTATCTTCACAATGTCAGACTGACCCATCTCATTGTTGTTGTCGTTGATGCAGTGTCGCAATGCTCCACGGGGTCGCCATCTAAATTCGCGTAGCGCAGTTTTGAGTTGCCATCGCGGGTTGCGTTATATCCTGGAACTTAAGGCGGACAGTAAAATAAAATAAACAGCCCGGATATACAGGCACACATCACATGCAGGTCCCAAGCTAACAACAAGTAAGTGATGTACAGTAGTGAATGTCGCACATGTAAGCACAAACCAGCGCGTGTACGGCTCATTTGGTTTTGGCTGCAAAACTCTTTACGTTCGGAGGAAAATCATGAATGGTCTGACGCACGGAAGCCAGATTCATTGTAGACACCTGACGCCAATGCGATACATTTCGGCACAATAGGACAGACCCCACTTTCAAATTTGCCAAAGCTAGAACACCCACCCTCCCCTTGTCCTACCACGAGAGCCATGAAGTTTGCTGCCGTGGCCGTACTCGCCTCGCTCATGTTCGCCGGAGCGACCGCGGCCGGCAGCGTCGGATGTGGCCCCGAGCAATGTTCGACCAAGCGCGATGCCGTTTGTGGAAGTAACGGAGTCACCTACCGCAATATGTGCGAGTTCAACAACCATAACTGCGACAACGGTCTGCAGTGGACGGCGAAGCCCGGCAATTGCCCGCGCTACCACAGGACGGACCGCGAGTAAGAAGGCGATCAAGTGTTCGAGAAGAAGCCTGCAACAAATTTGAAAAAAATCATAAAAGTATCATTTTACGATCAATACAGTGTTGCAATACATGTATGGCTGCTTTCCGGTTCATTACTTCATACTTCTAGTTCTCTCGATTTTATCCGAGTTGTTAGGGCGATACGACTGCAGGTGCAAATCACTATAAAAATGCATGCTCCGCTATCGGTTATAAACGAACGAATCATTAACGTATCGGAAGTTCCGATACGTTAATGACGTCCGATTCGGAACGTACCCGTTAACTTTAATAAACGCTTGGATATTATATTATCTAGCGTCGTGTTGCTTGAGTCTTTTAGGGTCGACATTCGCGTGACACGATCGATCGGCTCCAAACATAACTGCAGTTGTGTTTGCAGTACAAGTATGTTCAACGATGTTACATCGGTGTCGCCACGTTCAAGTCATGGAACGACACCTACGAACACCCACGACTTCAATTTAAAGTCGTGGGTGTCGTTGAAGTCTTCAAACGATGCTGGTCTCGTTTCAACCATTCTGCACGTGCTCGTTTCAACCATTCTGCATGTGCATACGTACCGTTACCGCCGCATTCAAGCCTTGACGTTGTCTGCATATTATTGCAAGATAGCTATGGCATAGCGAGTGACCAGTACATGCTCGCGTGAGGACTTGAGATAGTTGTCAGTTCATGCTTTCATGGTTTCGGAACTTGGTAGCAAACCCGAATAAAGACAAAAGCACCAACTGCTGAAATTTAAGGATACTTCGCTCTAACTAAAGAACCTCGGGCAGAACTGCTAGGCACATTTAAGATAAATTAACTTAGAATCAAACCTAGAATCAAAACTACATGATAAAATCCAGAGCTTCTCTAGCTAGAATAGCTGCTGTACTGAAGGAGGCAGAAGAGGAGGTAGTATGTGAAACCACTAACGCGCAAGCTCAAGTACTTCGTGACAAAGAGGAGCTGTATACTGTCTGCGTAGGATTTAACATGGAGCATGAGTAGCATTAAATTATACAGAGACCTGAGCGCGCGCGTGACCTCCGCACGGAATGCTGGATTCGTCACTTGCACAGCAACAGCTTGTCTTGTTTCCTGTGCATGAGCAGCCCGTGTCACTGTGCTGGAGTACACGATCCACGACTAGTCGTTTCATGTTGTCGTGTGAGTGGAACATGCTGAGGAAAAACCGATCCTGCTGCTTTTGGGCGACCTTGTGCGGATACATGTGCAGCTTGGCCATCGTGTATCGCTTCACCACGACGTACTTTTTCCCATCGCTATCATCATGAGCCGTGAGCACCACACCACTGGACATATCCTTTCTTATGCGATTCGATTCGTCGTACGGATGGAGCTCATCGTGGTCAACGTAGTCGGTAGCCAGAACAGCTGAGTTGTCTCCAAATCGACAGTAAAAGACGCCATTTGACTCCATTTCCGGCATCTTGACTGAGTTCCTTCCCGTCTGCTTCGGTTGCGCGATAATTCGCTGGTGCATAAAGTTACACTTTAGAGTCCCGGTTGACTGCAGATACACATAAAATCAACAATTGGCATCCGCTTGAAGAAGCAAAGGTAGCATGAAGCGTACCTCCCGCTGCGCAGTAATTCCTATGGCTTCATTCAGAGTTTCGTCTTTCTCGGTGAGCTGGTTGTAGATCCCACGAGCAACCTGGTAAATGCTCACCCCGTCATATCTGGAAATAGTAAAGTTCACGCAGTAGTGTTTGCCGAACTTGTCGAACATATCCGAGAACTCGTGGGGCTTATTGCAGTCCATTCCAAGCGTCTTCTGCTCGATGAACTTGTACGTCATGTCCAGCTTCTCCTTGCGCAGCGACAGAATAGTCTTTCTCCTCTCGCCCAAGTCCTTCCCAAGGCGAATGTACGACTCCAACGGCGTCATTAACGACATCCTCTGTTCACCGCAACCAACCGTCAACCAAAAAAATAAAATAAAAGTTAAAATGATAGCACAAAAACTCACCACATCATTCACTGGGGCGAACGCCAGCATAGCCTTGAAATTGTCTGCGTACATCTTCTGCTGCGTCACAAACCCGTTCAAAAGCTGGCTCTCCTCCTGACTCTTCAGCAACAGCTTCATCTGCTCAGCAGCGTCTCGTCCTCTTCTCTTCTTGATACTGATCCATTGCGGTCGACTCTTGTCCTTAAACTCGAGAAACTCCTTCTGTGCAGCCAGATACTTCTCCTCCCTCTTCAACAACTCCACTTCTTCTTCCTCCTTCTCCATCATCTCAACCTCGTCTTCTTCATCTTCAGTGTGGCCCGATGATGACGAATCACAGTGAGATAGTTTCAAAGGAGACATCACCCCCTCTCTGTTAGAACCTTGCGTCAACAGGGGGCTCTCCACCTCTCCATCCGTTCGACCCGGCGAGTCTTCCAGAGCATTACGCCACGAGCTGGTAGCGGGGCTCAAGGGCAGCATCATGTCCAGATCCGGCACAATGATTGCGTCATCGTTCTCCTCCATACCTCGCAGAAATAATTCGTCCTCCAGTAAAAAGTCTCCCAGTTCAAGAGAATCAACCGGCGATGAAAAAGAAGAAGAAGAAGAAGAAGAGTTGGTGCCGTCGCTCTGGGGGCTGTCAGCGACCACATTCTGCTTGCGAGAGGGCGTGAAGGGTGTTGGAGCGACTGTGGAGCCGTCGTCGTCCTCATCCAGCAGCTGCAGCATGTCGTAGTCGCGCGTTAAGTCGGCCGGGAGCTCGACGCCCATGGTGTCCAGAACGAGAATGAATTTATGCGCGACAGACGAAAAATAACATTAGATTGCGAAAATTGGCATTAGGTAATCCTTAGTTTACGTGAATAATTACGATAGACGAACAGCAAAACGGAGGGTGGACTGACATGAGTGCATGGACGTTTTGATTCACCTTGCTGTTAGCACGCAAGCGCCCGCAGCGCTGCAAGCGTTCTAGCTACAGGAGAGAATCGCACTAAACAACCACTTCGCCATGGTGAGCACGGAGCGCTTTCACAGCAGCTGCCACATAATAATCGGCAGTCACTCGCTCCATGGAAATGCACGTCCCTGGTCAGTCCTGCGCGTCTTGAGAGGCGAGCACTCCACCCCACGCTGCTGACGCGACCAACCGGGGTAACAGTCCCGGCACGGGGAAACGAACCACTTGAGAAGAAAAAATGAAAACCCGAAGTAAGCCGGCGAGCGACGTCGCTCACCTCGAAGACGCCGCACACAACTTCGCGGACCTGAACGTGTCGTCATACAGGCTAAGCCGCTCATTCCTCGCCTGCGCATGGACAGCCCGTTTCGTTGCGCTGCAAGCGGTCCACTATGAGCGTCTTCATTGTGTCGTGGCACTTGGGCATGCTGGCAAAGAAACGATCCTGCTGCTCCTGGGACACCTTGTGGGGGTACATGTGGTACTTGGCCATCAAGTACCGCTTCATCACTACGAACTTCTTGCCGTTGGCATCTGTGTGGCCGGACAGCACCACGCCGCTGGAAACATCCTTTCGGATGCGGTTTGATGTGTCGTACGGGTGCAGGTCGTCCTGGTCGATGTAATCTGTTGCTAGCACTGCTGAGTTGTCGCCGAAACGACAGTAGAAAATGGCGTTCGACTCCATGTCCGGCATTTTGTCTGCGTCCTCGCCCTCCCAGTGCATACTTGAAACGATGCGCTGGTGCATGAAGTTACACTTGATCGTATCGAACGACTGCAAGTAACAACAAGCACAAAATCGCAACAGTTAGCATAAGAATAAAATGTAAGAACGCAACCAGCCCTGACTTGACGTACCTCACGAATCGTTGTGCTTCCCATCGCGTTGTTCAGTGCCTCGTCCTTGCCTGCAATCTGTTCGTAGATGGCGCGTCCAACCTGGAAGACGCTCACTCCGTCGTACTTGGAGATGGCAAAGTTCACGCAGTAGTGCTTGCCGAACTTCTCAAACATGTCCGAGTACTGGTACGGCTGGTTAATGTCCAGGCCAGCAGCCTTCTGTTCGATGAATTTGTAGGTCATGTCGAGCTTCTCCTCACGAAGAGACAGAATGGTTTTTCTCCTCTCGTCGAAGTCCTTGCCGAGACGAATGTACGACTCCATGGGCGTCATCAACGCCATTCGCTGTTCACAAAGCAAGCAATTCACATCAAATCAGAGCTCACGCAACCGCACAGAAACACGCTAAAAGTCAACGTACCACGTCGTTCACCGGAGCGAACGCCAGCATGGCCTTGAAGTTGTCCTGGTACACCTTCTGCTGGTTCACGAGGTCATTCAGGAGCTGGTTGTCCTCCTGGCTCTTGGCCAGCAGCTTCGGCTGCTCCGTGTCACGCGGGCGACGCTGCTTAATGCTCTTCCGCTGGGGGCGGCTCGACTTGGCACGAGACTGCAGGAAATCCCTTTGAGCATCCAGATACTTGGCCTCCTTCTCCAACAAGTCCATCTCGTCCTGAAGTATCAACAGCAAACCAATTAGAAACACAGTGCTCCGACTAGTATCTCCAAGTCCTACCCACGCACATCCATGGCTTCCTCCTCCATTTCTTCGTCCTCCTCGTCGTGCACCTCCAGCATATCCGGCTCGTTGGCAGTCTCCTCGGGCATCGAAGGCATCGGCGAGGCTGACACGCTGCCGTCCGTGTGGCCAAGCGACGACACATCGGAGGCCTCGGAGGTCGTGGACAGCGTCGAGTTCGTGTGCTGGAGTCCTCTGGGCGGCGACATGGGGGGCAGCACGTGGCCCATCAGCGCATCGTGGTACCTCCGGGCCTGCTCCTCGTGCTTCTTCTGCTCCTCGGCCAGCAGCGGGCACTCGACGCCGAACTCGTCCTCGTCGTTCTTGCAAGGCGACCCGTCGGCCGTGCTCGGGCACGTGCTGGGGGCGCTCGGGCAGGGTGACGGCAGCATGTCCAGGCCCGTGAAGGCATCCAGGTCGATGGCACCATCACTCTGCTCCAGCGCCGTCTGATTCTTCTGATTCTCGTCCAAGTCTAATTTTACCACCTTCTCCATGTCGCGCAGGAACTGCTCGCCGTCCAATAGGAAGGCGGCAAGTTCGTCCTGAGTGTTGGTCTCCGCCGGCTCGGGCGACTTGGACGCCGTGGCCGTCGAGCAGCCAGCGCCTCCGGCCGCGCAGGCCGACGACGCGCACGAGGTGGAGGCCGAGGTACCATTGGCCGCCGCCGCGTCGGCCGTGGCGATGCTCACGCCCACGGAGCAGCTGGCCAGCAGGTCCTCGACGGTGGCCGAAGGGGACGCGGAGGGCGCCGCGTCCATGTGGAAGCCGCCGGCGAGGTCGTCGCCGTCCACGAGCTGCAGCATGTCGTACTCGAGCACGAGGTCGTCCGGGAGCCCCGCCGCCATGGTGTCTGCCGTCTGAGGAGCTTTCTGGGTATGAAGCAGGCAAGGAAGGCGAGACCGCTCCAGGTCGATTTGAGCCGCCTGCTTGCTTGGCGTTTCTTGGGCAAGGCAGTCGGAGGTTGACTGCGAGTTTGTATGCCTGGGTTCTCGAATAGGATGGAAGAAGGGGAGAGGCGGACTGGCTGGAAGGGCTCACTTGGTACAGTGTGCCGAAATATGCGACATGGTCCTCTGAGAGGACTCCTCTCGCTGAAGGTCGACTGTCATTGGTCGAGTGGTACACATGTATAATCATCATGATTAGATCGCCAGAATAGGGTGCAATCTGTCGAAAAGCGACGTTTGTGGGGGTATCGCTGCTCTGATTGGTCGACGCACTTCAACCTACTGCGTAGGTTCTACGGTAGTTGAACGCCCGACTGAGTCCTTACGTAGGTAGAGCAGGTTAATTGCTGCAGACATGGAATCGCGATAGGGGGCGGTAGGCTGCGTCTGAAGGCGTTTAGTTAGCTGGTGCAGCCTGCACCAGCTTAACGGCCTTGTCGCTCAAAAAGATAGCCGACCGAGGTCGCCGCAGACGACACCAAGCCACGCCGGATAACATCGCACCTTGCGCCATGTGCACAGGCAAAATTAGCCAACAGTACGCTTGGATCAAAATGAAATTGGGCCTTCCTCATGTCAAGGTTATTCTTAGTGCTCTCCAGCAGCAGCACAGCCTCGCAAGGTAGCTCTTCTCTGGCATCCACGTCAAGCAAGATAGGGCGCGTCTACCTACACTCCATCTTCGCAGCAACCTGCGCGCGTGGAAAATGGTGAAGATCCACCAGTACTGGTCATGGTCCATGATCCTGCTGTCCTACTTGATCTCTACGACGGGTAGCTACTGCAGTGAGTCCTGCCTTGTTGCTGTTGCATCTTTCTCAATCCTGTATATATATATTCACTTCAACTGGTTTTGTCGTCGTAGCGATTCAACTCATGGAGAATTGGCGTCGCATCGACGATGTCAAGCACAAACGCGTGATGCTCGTCCTATCTGCGTTTGCGCTCGGCGGCTGCGGTATCTGGTGCACGCACTTCACAGGCATGACGGCGCTAGAACTGGACCTCGAGGACGGCTCAGCTCTTGAGATGGACTTCGAGCTGGGGCTGACCATCCTGTCGTTCATTTTCGCGGTTCTCGGTGTACTTGTTGGGCTGAAAATCGCGTCCATGGATCCGTACTTCCTCGAGATGGAAGCTGCTAGGCGCAAGGAGATGCTGGTACGTGGGATTGCCATGCAAACAATCGCAATCCAGGCAGGAAGCTCACCTCTTCTTCATTTTTCTCCAGGCTGCAAATCTGAAAAACGTCAAAATGTCGACAGTAGTGAATAAAAGCGCAGTCACCCGTCGCATCAAGGTAAGTTAGCATTGAGTGACTCTTAGTGTGTGGGGGTCCATTGAGACTGAAAAAGTTGTTTGCCATAGATTATCGCTCTCTTTTCGAGACTACGGCTTATTATGCTTGGAGGGGCGTTTGCAGCGCTGGGAGTGCTGGGAATGCACTACCTGGGTATGATGGCGCAGCGTATGAATGCTACCATGGAGCTCAGCGCCGGAATTGTGGTGCTCTCCGTTTTCATCGCCTTTTTCACTGCCAACGCCGCCTTTTGGATTTTGTTCCGAGCGGTAAGTGAGATTGGTGCAGATTGAAGACTCGGTACCGACAATTTCACACTAACACCTCCCTGTAGCTGACGTTTATGCCCGACAGTGAATTGTTACGACTGGGGAGTGCTCTGATCATGGGCGTTGCAGTTTGTGCTACCCACTACTGTGGCATGGGAGCTGCGTCGTACAAATCCAGCAGCGAAAACTATCTGGATTCCACGCGATTCATCATCAATCGCTCCGAAGCTGCAATTGTGGCCTCACATGGGGCACTGCTGACCTGCTACTGGCTGGCCAGCTTCAGTGTGGTGCGTCTTGTGCGCAAATCTGAAATGACAATGACAGCGACGACCATGCGCGAAGGTGTGTCCAAACGAGACAAGAGCTCCAAGAGCCGAAAGAACAGCAGCCAGAAAGTCTACGCGGCGGACTGACATGGCTGCCGTAGCTATCATATACTTCACCAGTACTCAATACCAATAGTGCATTTCCACTCATTGATGCCATATAGTCTGTGGTTTACGTGAGATCATTCAGTATTAAAACGCCTCATGGCATGCAACACGAGGTCTTTCACACGAAGGAAGAACCCCTAAAAATACTGCCGCCAAGTTCTCAGAATGTCTGTCCACTCCTTTGGTGCTCGTCCTCAATCGCCCAGCTTTAGTTAGGTATTCCTCAATTTCTTTTATAGGCGGCAGAACGGCAGCGTCTAGTTGATCGAGGCAATCATGTCCAGCGACGACGAGGTGATATCGCAACACTGGCTGGTGTCCAAGATTTTCCTCTCGTACCTCATCGCCGTCACGGGAAGCTTCTGCAGTGCGTCGCTGCACCTCCTCCCTCCTTTTTCGCCCACAGACTACATATAACCTGCTTTTATCTAATGATGTTGGTGCTCGACAGCGATCCAGCTCATGGAGAAATGGCGCAGTGCGATTGAGACCAGGGACAAGCTCGTTCTGATGATTCTCTCTTCGGTTGCTCTGGGTGGTTGCGGAATTTGGTGCATGCATTTCACCGGCATGAACGCACTTGAGTTGACACGAGAGGACGGGTCCGTACTGACGGTGGATTTTGAGGCTGGTTTGACGATCCTCTCCTTCATCTGCGCCGTTGGGGGAGTGTTCGTTGGCCTCAAAATCGCGTCTGCTGACCCATTCTTCCTCGAGTTGGAGCAGGAAAAGCGCAAAAACATTCTGGTATCATAAGCCAGTGCTTTCTAGTTCGTTTGAAGTCTAGAGTACGCTCACATGGATTGTATCAACTTTGTGGACGTCAGGTGAAAGATCTGGCGACCACGGCCATGTCGGACGTCGTGAACAAGCAGAAAGTTGCCAAACGCATCAAGCTCATCGCCCTCTTCTCGCGTCTACCCAGAATTGCAGGCGGGGGCCTCTTTGCCGCTCTCGGTGTGCTCGTCATGCATTACCTGGGTATGATGGCTCAAAGAACGCAAGCCAGTATGACGCTGACTGCCGGAGTTGTGGTGGTGTCGGTCCTCATCGCATTCTTCACCGCCACGGCTGCGTTCTGGATCCTGTTTCGAGCGGTGAGTGGCCTGTAGTTACCCAGAACTATCGCTTAGCGCTAATTTGCGGATTTTGTACGTTATCCTAGCTGACATTCTTCCAGGACAGCGAGTTGCTCCGATTAGGCAGCGCTCTGATCATGGGTATCGCAGTTTGTGGGACCCACTATTCTGGAATGGGAGCTGCCAGCTACACGTTCATTGAGGATGGGATGGGGAGTGGAGGAGTTAATTTCAAGGGCTCTCAGGCCGCCATCCTGGCGTCGCACGGTTCACTGCTGTTCTGCTATTGGGTGATGACATGGAGTGTGGCTTCGAGTGTGCGCAACATCGCGTCCATGACCTCAAACCTGAGCAAGGTTAGCAAGCGTGACCCCGGAGCCCCGCGCAAGATCGTTGTGGGTCAGGCAAGGGCCACTGAAAACAGCGTACGCGCGAGTGATAACCTCACAAAAATTAGCGCAGCCGCCCCCTCAAGAACCCCGTCGTCAGGCCCCCAGCAATCGGTGGCCGAGATGGATCGCAAGTCGTCGGAAAGCGTATTCAATGAGGTTTAGCGAGCTACAGATTTTCACATTAGCACAATAAAATCAAGAGCATGTACTTCCGATATATGCTAGACGCTTTGAAGTGCATTTGATTCTTCAAACTACAGCTAGCCAACGTATGGTCATGGGCGTCGCTGTCTGCGCTACCCACTACTGTGGAATGGGGACTGCGTCGTACAAGCCCAGCATTCAAGACTACGAGGATACCACGCGCTTCGTCGTAGATCGGACCGAGGTTGCCGTTCTGGCCTCGCATTTGTATTTGTTGCGGTTATGGCGACTACGCCCGAGGCGCGCTGCGCTGCATCCTCGCCTACGGAGACCACGACGAAGCGTAGGCCCCGCGGTGGCATGAACGCACTTGAGCTTACGAGAGAAGACGGCTGCTTTCTCACTATTAACTTTGAGGTTGGGCTTAGGTTCTCTCGCTGGTCTGCGCCGTGGGGGGCGTCCTTATCGGGCTCAGAATCGCGTCAACAGACCCATTCTTCCTTGAACTGGAGGAGGAAGCGCGCAAAAGCATGCTGGTACAGCGCTACGAGTGGTGTGGATGCAAGTAAACTCTCGAGGTCATGTTCTTATAACTATTCTTCATTCTTTGTATCGTAGCTGAGGCGTCTGTCATCTTCGACGATGTCGGATGTCGTGAACAAGCAAAAAGTTGTCAAACGCATCAAGCTCATCGCCCTATTTTCACGTCTGCCCAGAATTGCAGGCGGGGGCCTCTTCGCCGCTCTCGGTGTGCTCGCCATGCACTACCTGGGCATGATGGCGCAAAGAACACAAGCCGATATGACGCTGACCGCCGGAATAGTGGTAGTCTCGGCCTTCATCGCATTCTTCACAGCTACGGCTGCGTTCTGGATCCTGTTCCGAGTGGTAAGTCGCCTGCGGATCTAATTCTTGCGCATTGAATACTCACTATCAACCATAACACGGGTAATCTTCTCCTGTATATTCGCTACCAGCTGACATTTTTCCAGGATAGCGTGTTACTTCGAGTGGGGAGCGCTGTGATCATGGGCATAGCAGTCTGCGGAACGCACTATTCGGGTATGGGAGCCGCCAGCTATACATTTGCTGAGGATGGAGCAGATAGTGGAGGGTTCGTCATCAAGGGGTCTCAGGCAGCTGTAGTCTCCTCACACGTTTCGCTCCTTTATTGCTACTGGGTGATGTCGTGGAGCGTGGCTACTACAAGTATGCGCGGTATCACCTATAGTGTAAGTAAGCCGCTGTCGTCGGTTAGACCAGGCGAAGCCTAAGACAAACACGGACTCGCATCTTGAGAAATATATGTAGAATCCTGCTCCTGTAGTGCGTTCAACCGACTGACAGAGTACAATAAAAACGAAGGCAAAGCCAGGGGCCACGAATAACGCCAAGGACATTGATACTCCTTATTTGGCGGCTGCAGCAGTTGGGCCTGACCCCCATTGTTGCAGCGTGAACGGAAGTCGACTTCGGTCGAGAAATGAGAACACACTTCAGCCAAGATTTTGTTTTTCTTATAACTGTGTTGTTTTGGCCATATATAACCGAAATATGACTAATAAGACCCCACGTTCAGCGATAACACATGCCTTCGGCGATGACATATCTCACATAATACTCGATGGTACCTAAAAATACAACCTACAGCTGCTGTACTCGCTCCTTTGGAGCTCATCCTCTGCTCGAGATATTCTCCACCTTTCCTTGACGAAGCTGCAGTATCAAGTTGGCCAAGGCGGCAATGTCCAGCAACGAAGAAGCGATATCCCAACATTGGCTGGTGCCAAGAGTTTTCCTCTCGTACCTCATTGCTGTCACCGGAAGCTTCTGTAGTGCGAGAATGTGTCTTGGCATCCGTCGAATGAAACTCACTTCTAACTCTTTCCGGTTCATTCACCCGACAGCAATCCAACTCATGGAGAAGTGGCGTAGCGCGACTGATACCAAGGACAAGCTCGTTCTGATGATTCTCTCTTCGGTTGCTCTGGGTGGCTGTGGGATTTGGTGCATGCATTTCATCGGCATGAACGCACTTGAGTTGACACGAGAGGACGGGTCCGTATTGACGGTGGATTTTGAGGCTGGTTTGACGATCCTCTCCTTCATCTGCGCCGTTGGGGGAGTGTTCGTTGGCCTCAAAATCGCGTCTGCTGACCCATTCTTCCTCGAGTTGGAGCAGGAAAAGCGCAAAAACATTCTGGTGTGAACCATTTGTGAAGATTCTCCAGATATCCTGGCCCACTAACACGGGCTTTATGAACACTAGGTAAAAGGCCTCGCGACCACGGCCGTGTCGGACGTCGTGAACAAGCAGAAAGTTGCCAAACGCATCAAGCTCATCGCCCTCTTCTCGCCTCTACCCAGAATTGCAGGCGGGGGCCTCTGCCGCTCTCGGTGTGCTCGTCATGTACTACCTGGGTATGATGGCTCAAAGAACGCAAGCCAGTATGACGCTGACTGCCGGAGTTGTGGTGGTGTCGGTCCTCATCGCATTCTTCACCGCCACGGCTGCGTTCTGGATCCTGTTTCGAGCGGTGAGTGGCCTGTAGTTACCCAGAACTATCGCTTAGCGCTAATTTGCGGATTTTGTACGTTATCCTAGCTGACATTCTTCCAGGACAGCGAGTTGCTTCGACTGGGCAGCGCTCTGATCATGGGTATCGCAGTTTGTGGGACCCACTATTCTGGAATGGGAGCTGCCAGCTACACGTTCATTGAGGACGGAATGGGAAGTGGAGGGTTCATCATAAAGGGGGCTCATGCTGCTGTATTCTCCTCGCATATCTCGCTTTTATATTGCTATTGGGTGATGTCGTGGAGCGTAGCTACAAGTCTGCGCGGCGCCGCCTACCGCACGCATAGTGCAACTAAGCAGACGTAGTCGGTTAGGCCATTAACTTAATGGACAGTAGGGGGGGGGGGCAATGACAACTCTTCACCAAAGCAACGTCGACCAATTTTTTTTTTCACACCAACGCAGAGGTTGGAGCAGAACGGACGAAACCCTGTAAGCTGGAACACCTAGCGTCCTGCAAGCGTCCGCAAGATCGCACAAAAGAGATCATGGTGGCGGCCTGGTCATACCGCAGACAGCTTTCGCTTCTTGCTTGCACTCGTACATGTGACACTTGGGGCAACTTCAATGACGCCGAATCTGATTTCACCGCCTACACTTCTGAAGCAACAAAGACGCGCCCCCGCTCACCAAGCAGCAACTACAAATGTAGCAATAACATGGAGGCAATACTGTACACTGCGGGTGGTCATGGAGGCCTGTCGAAGGGCGTTGCCCTAAACTGGGAGACTGAAGCAAGTAGCTGGGATTGTTCCCTTGACAGGAGGGGGGCCATCGTTGCTGCGTGGACGGAGGCCACGTGGCGACTGACGTCCAGCGAGAAACGAGCACGCGTTCAACTGCAACTCGTGCATAGACCTTTAGTCGAGTGAGTATTCACAGCCCCGCCAGCCGCATTAACCTCCCGTGTCTATGCGGGCAGCCAGGAATCCATGGGTGTTCGGTGGCCCGGCTGAAAGTGGCGACGTCGGCCCCTGTGCCAAGTTGGCACAGGGGCCGGGCACTGCCAAGGCGTCGGTAGTAGCTCGCAAAGAAGCCGCCGAACTCGAAGCGGAAGGCAGCCAACTGTTGAGCATCCAGTGCAACCAGCCTGCAACTCGACCTCGGCGTTTCTTTGCCTCTACAAGAGCAGAGAGCCATGGCGGCATCAACGCGATGATGGCGCCTGGCCGCAGAATCGGTCCACCGCCAAGCTATCGCCGCGCCGTCAGCGTTGTCTCATAGGCGTCGGAGTTGGCGGCAGCAGTTAATTCAGGGCTCAGTGCTTGCTTTGCCTATTGACACCATGGCGGCTCGACCCATTTGAACGTCGATCGGTCTCGACAAGAAAAGAAAAATCGTGCGCGCTGCATAAACCACGAAAACTGAAGTTGAATCAGCAATCTGCCTCCGGTCGGCGTAAGCGGAGGGACACCCAGACATTTTGATGCGGTTCATGGGCCCCCTTGCGCTGCGTCTCACAGAGACTCTCCAAATCCCTGCAGTCTGGCCGTTAAATGGGCAGAGCATTCATCGCGCGGTATGTATCGCAGATGGCAAGCGCTGAACAAGGCTTGTTGGCGTGCTTGTTGAACAAGCACACCAACTTGAGCTTCAGAGAGCCACCGCCTTCGGCCCAAAGACGACGTGGCCCTCGCCAACAATACGGCGACGGACGTTAGCCCCGAGCTCAAAGATCGTTGAGTCCCTCATTCCCAAATCGACGTTCAAGAGCTCAAGTAGCTGAACACCACAACCCTCCCCCACTCCAGCACCATGGCCGCTACCGACCTCATCATGTCCGGCGACTGCGGCGGCACCAACACGCGTCTGTCGCTGTGGAACATCCCCAAGGAGGCCAAGCACATCAAGGGCGACATCGCCCCCGGCCAAATGGTCTTCTCCAAGAAGTACCTGAACGAGGAGTACGCGAGCTTTGCCGAGGTGTGCCACCTCTTCCTGAACGAGGCCAAGCTCGTGAACGAGGTGCCTGCGGCCTGCGTTCTTGCGTGCGCTGGCCCCATTCTTAAGAACACGGTGGACTTCACCAACGTCGAGTTCGGCTGGAAGATCGACGGCCCGGGTCTGGAGAAGGAGCTCGGCATCAAGAAGGTCCGTTTGATCAACGACTTCGCCGGTATGGGCTACGGCCTGCTCACCCTGCGCCCGCACGAGTACATTGTGCTGAACGACGCCCCCAAGGACGAGACCGCTCCCATGGCCACTATCGGCGCCGGCACTGGACTCGGCGAGTGTTTCTTGACCCCTGGTACCGATGGCCAGTACTCGTGCTTCGCCTGCGAGGGCGGCCACACCGACTTCGCCCCCGCCGACGAGATCGAGATCGAGTTGTACAACGAAATCAAGGAGAAGCTCGGCTGCGGCCAGCGTTTCTCCGTGGAGCGTATTATTTCGGGCCCCGGCCTGGCCACCATCTACGAGTTCCTGGCCAAGAAGTTCCCCGAGAAGGTGGACCCCAAGGTGCACGAGGAGTTCCTCAAGGCCAACACGCAGCAGGGCAAGGTGATCGGCGAGAACGCCAAGACGAACGAGCTGTGCAACCAGACGCTGGAGATCTTCGTGGGCGCGTACGGCCGCGAGGCTGGCAACGCGATGCTGAAGTACCTGCCGCGCGGTGGTTTCTACATCACGGGCGGCCTGGCACCGAAGAACCTGGACTACTTCACGAAGAAGGACATTTTCCTGAACTCGATGTTCGACAAGGGCCGTGTGAGTCCCGCCATCCGTGCTTGCCCGGTGTACCTTGTTTTGAACGAGGACTTGGGCGAGCGTGGCGCGCACTACTACGCATACCAGCTCCTGCGTGAGATGGAGTAAGCTTGTGCGACAATCCTCGTTGCTAGTGGTCGCGCTCGTGTAGCATTGAGGTGGACGACTGTCCAAAGAAGCGTTCGAGCATGTTTGATAATAAACCTCTATTGTGTCCTGTCCGTTGGTTTGTACACTCCGTCGAGTTTCACTGATCAACTATAGCTGATCCAGGGACTCAATCGAGACCGTGTTAACAGCGCGATCGGAATTCTGTCTGTCGGATGGGTACATTCCGTTGTTGAAGCGGGCCATCACTGGGCCCGCTCTACCAGGATCTGCAAAGAAGTCGCGGGTGCAGCAGATTCATGGCCGAGCTGCAACTTGAGCAGGACCAACTGCAACTGTCCTCGGCGGGCCTCAAGCTCCACGTTTTTGCCTCCGCATATTTGCGTCGCTCGGCCAATGGGGCGAGCACAGAAGTTTATTTTCTTAATGAAGGCCAAGACTGGTTAGGACTCTTGCATGCTCAGGGCACTTCCCCTACCGACTTGCTTGTGCCAGGCGATCGCAGTTCTCCACATCTTTCTCAAGATTCTATCTTGGGAAAGGTGTTTTTTTACACCGTCTCTGATAGAAACGATAGAAACGACTTGTTACAGTACTCTTTAATTCAGTACATATATTATATACTAGGGCTACGCGTAGGCCGGGATAGCAATTTTATGGGAGCAACCAGGGTTTCCAAGTAATAGTATGCTCTGTCTGGAGATGTTTCTGGTGCACCTGCAGACGAATACATGAATACATTTCCAAAGTGAGATCAAGGCGTTGTAGGAGCCCGGTGTTAGAGTGGTCAGTATGGACTTATCCCGAAGAAGCTTTGAAATTTAAGATTTCTAAAAGGCTGGCCCTACAGCCCATGTTTCGGAATAGGGTTAGGGATAAATGCATACTAAAACCAAGTAAGATCTCCAAACATGTAAAACATGCTGAAATCATGGACATCCATGTTTCGGTTTTCAGGACGGGTGTCATGGCACCCAAATCTATTGCAAATCCCGGTAATCGAGTTGCTAAACGTGGCTCTACCTGTCCTTAAAACCTTTAGAAGGCCGGCCCAGCGCTAGGCAGGGAACTGTAGACCTAAGCCTTGCTTCGGGGCTACGTTTGCGGGTTGTTCATGCTTCTCAAACGCCACTGATGCCGATTTGGTCTCTGCATCACGATAGATTTGCGGGCCATTTCACCCCCTCCAATCCGAAAACATGGGCTGTACATTTTCCGTTTCTAAAACAAATCTGATTTGGCCTCATGCATTTAGGGCTACATAAATAGAGTATGTATTCTCTGCGGTCACACTTTCGATCTTGTAGCTAGCTACTTTTGTACGGTACAAAAGTTCATACCAGCCCGAGTTTAGCTGGTATCGGGCGGGTATCGCGGCCTTCTGACGAAGCTGATATCAGCGATACTGATACTAATATCAATATCATATCAATATAATGATACATATATTGATAAAAATGGTACCTGCAGTAATTTGGCTAATGTCGCCGTCTCCTATTCTTTTGCAGCACTTCCTTGTACTCGGACCAATTAGCCTTCATCAAGCTCATCGTCTCCGCCCGGTCGTTATCAAGCTGGGTTCGCAACTCGTTCTCCGCATAGCCACTAAGACTGAAACATCGCTCTTGACACACGGTAGATAGTGGTTTGGCGAGACAGATTCTCAAGCTTATTTTCACCCGAAAAGGGATGATCCTTATGAGCTCTGAGCATGTGCTTCCTGGGGTTAGCAGTCGTCTGTTGTCGCATTAAGCATGATCTCCGTCCATAAGAGGTCGGGTCTGTGCTTTTTGTGTGTGCTACGCACACGAGACAGATGTGGGTGAACAAGCTGCTTTTCTTCTTTGTGTCAGGAATCGGAGTAAGGGGATTGGCCAGTTTAGTTGAGCAAGCTGAATTTTTTACTTTGAAAAGTATTTTCTTGAAAACTACTAATCTTTTGGAGATAAAACGTGTACACAATGAAAGCCCTGGATTTGCTCTAACATGTGCACCAATCCAGACACAGCAGCTATGAAAGTGCTATTGTAGCGCGCAAAAGAAAACATGCCTACAGTATGCTGCGATCAGTTTAGTAGAGCGGAATAATACTGGTCTTTGTATCGAACTACCATATGGAAACGCGTGGTAAGAGTTTTATAGCCAACCAAAGCACGTATTTCATTATTTCTGCAATATTACTGGTTCTACTAAACTGGTCAGTTCTACTAAACTGGCCAAAACCCTTAGCAAGTACATGGATGAACTCCCAGACAAGAACAAGCATGTTCTGGTTTGAGTGACGCACAGATAGTGGAATACCAACTCGACTCCAACTTCGCCTTCTTTATCTCTACGGCCACGATCACTGGGCGACGTATCCTCGTCGGCCATTCTCTAGAGAGCGCGCACGCAACCGAACCGAGATGGTAGTAGTAGACTTGTACTTGCCGTGGTTTTGTTGGGAGAAGTGGCTATATGCAAGTAACTATGTGCGGTAGCGCACATGGAAATAACCTGGTTAGTGAAATCTACACTAGGTCGCAGGATATCGATATTTATATGCCGAAGTATCATTGGATCTCGATACAGCACCACCACCAATATCAGGTGATACTGATACAAGTATCCGGCCATACAGTATCGATATTTATTACAGGTATCAGCCTTGATATGAACCCCTGTTTGTACCTCTTAGCTAAAACTCCTGTTGTCCTCATACCGCTAATGAAGAAGCGTACAGAGTGATGTGCTGGCGTGGTCATGAATATAAAACACAGACACCCGGGGCAAAAGGATTAGGTGCATACATACATGGATGTATGAAGCTGCAAATACTTCTCATGTTAGGTTCGTTGGTTATAGTTTCTCTTTTTTGCCACCTCTTCCAAACATGCTATATCTACTTTTTTTCGCATTTTATTGGGCATATCATGGGTAATAACTCTCCATGTTAGTTCAGGGGCCGTGGAGCGGTACTCCGGCAGTTGTTGTAGCTCGCGTGTAAGCTGAAGGCAGACAGATGGGTAAGTACGTAGGGCGGTTGCTTGGTTTTGTGGTAGCGAAATGGCACAATAGCTGAAGTCCTGCTCAACGATAGATGTGGTCCTACGAGTAGACGAAAGTGAGTGACTCGGGCGGCGGGTCACTACCATGCAGAAAGACAAATATCGACGCGGCTTCAGTTTACCGGCCTCATTCTACTTGCCTCAGTTACCGAGGTCCGAATTAACCCGATTTTGGGCTGCCTAGCAGCATGACCTATCGGCCACCGCTATCCCAGTATAAATGACTTGCTACAGTACTCTTGAAATTAGTAACAGTGCTCTCAGAAGTGCTACAGCCTGATCTGGCGGTGCCTGCCGTTGTACTTCGTTGAGCTGGTTAGATAATGATTTTCATCTATCCAGCTCAACGCCCACACAAAGTACGTTGACCCTATCGACAGATTGATTCGGCATTGTCCATGGTTCTAAATTTCTAATAATAAGTGGCATTTCTAAGCAGTAGTCAGTCGCAGACTGACTAGTTGAAGTTGTTCCTGGATCGGAATCCAGTCCACCGGTTTCGCGTCTCCGACGGTGAGTACCACTGCTGCGCGGTCCAAAGATGAGAATCGCTTTTAGCCTTCACTTGAAGTGAGCTATCTAGCCGCGATGTGAAAGATTTCGTGAGCGGTCCTCATTCCTGAATCAACGTTCAAGAGCCCAAGCCACTCCCAGTATCTAGCTCTCCCCCCCTACTCAACCATCTCCACAATGGCCCCGTACGTCGCGCTTGTCGTTCTGCACCTTGCTGTAGCCATTCTAACTCTGTCTCGACTGTGAACTGTGCAGGTGGCTTGGATGCTGCAGCGATGAATCGACGACGAATGTCGTCGCTACTCCGGCCGCCCCTGCGGCCCCTGGCCACGACCTCATCATGTCGGGCGACTGCGGCGGCACCAACACGCGCCTGGCCCTCTGGAACATCCCCAAGGGGTCCAAGTACACCAAGGGCGACATCGCTCCAGGCGAGATGCTGTTCGCCAAGAAGTACCTGAACGAGCAGTACGCGAGCTTCAACGAGGTGTGCCACCTCTTCATGAACGAGGCCAAGCTCACGGACCACGTGCCCGAGGCCTGCGTGCTGGCCTGCGCCGGCCCCATCATGAACAACACCGTTGACTTCACCAACGTCGAGTTCGGCTGGAAGATCGACGGCGCCAGCCTCGAGAAGGAGCTGGGCATCAAGAAGGTCAAGCTCATTAACGACTTCGCCGCTATGGGCTACGGCCTGCTCACCCTCCGCCCGCACGAGTACATTGTGCTCAACGACGCCCCCAAGGACGAGACCGCCCCCGTGGCCACTATCGGCGCTGGTACCGGTCTGGGTGAGTGCTTCCTGACCCCCGGCAACGACGGCCAGTATTCGTGCTTTGCCTGTGAGGGTGGCCACACCGACTTTGCCCCCGCCGACGAGATCGAGATTGAGCTGTACAACGACATCAAGGCCAAGCTTGGCTGCAGCAAGCGTTTCTCGGTTGAGCGTATTGTTTCGGGCCCCGGCCTGGCCACCATCTACGAGTTCCTGGCCAAGAAGTTCCCCGAGAAAGTGGACCCCAAGGTGCACGAGGAGTTCCTCAAGGCCAACACACAGCAGGGCAAGGTGATTGGCGAGAACGCCAAGACGAACGAGCTGTGCAACCAGACGCTGGAGATCTTCGTGGGCGCGTACGGCCGCGAGGCTGGCAACGCGATGCTGAAGTACCTGCCGCGCGGTGGTTTCTACATCACGGGCGGCCTGGCGCCGAAGAACCTGGACTACTTCACGAAGAAGGACATTTTCCTGACCTCGATGTTCGACAAGGGCCGTGTGAGTCCCGCCATCCGTGCTTGCCCGGTGTACCTCGTCCTGACGGAGGAGCTTGGTGAGCGTGGTGCACACTTCTACGCGTATCAGCTGCTTCACCAGTAACACGGCAACGTTGATGCCTCGTTGGTCCCGGTGCTGTCATCGTA